TGCGCGGCGGACTTCCTCCTGTCGGGTTTCACGAGCGCGTCGCTCGGCCTCCTCCTTGAGGGCGCGGGTAGCTTCGGCACGGCGCTTCTCGTCTGTGGCGGCCGCGGCGGCAGATTTCGCGGCAGATTTCTCGCTCTTGTCCTCGTCGCGTTGCTCGCGGTCGTGACGACGCTCCTGCTCTTCGGTGAACCCGAAGCGCACGTTGGCAGGTTCTTTGGACTTCCTGCCGCTTCCACTTGCAGCGATGATGCCTGCAGTGGCGATAGCAGCACCGCCAATGATAGCTGCGTCACGGGCAAAGGTGCCATTGACGGGGCTGGACATAGCACGACGGAGACGACCGGGGCGAGGCTCGTTAGAGTCAAAGTCTTTCGGACTTTGACTGGTGAATGCGGGTTTAATTGGATTGATGGGCTGAGGTTGTTGAAGAGGTGCGGGACTTGGTCGGCCGAGCATCGGTTCTTGATCAAAGGCCCCAGGCATGGCCGAGTATCGCGACTGAGGAGTACTGAGCGCATCGGAGACTGGTCGTGGGTCAACGTATTGCATCGGCTGCTGCGATGCGCTTGAAGACGAGGTACGTGATGTGGTGACTGGTCGTCCATTTTTATCAAGATACGTTGGTTCGTAATCTTGTCGGCTGGGCCTGATGTTCGAATCGTATGCCTGTTTCGCAGCAGCACCTGTAGCAGCATAGGAGCCAGTGTCCGGGACAGTATTCTTGTAATCTGCATCATAGGAAGGGAGGAACTCAGATGAGTTGCGGGCCTTCTTCTTTTGCTCTTTGCCTCCCCATCGCCAACCCCAAGCGCCAAGTCCGCCGGCGGAAGAGTTGGACCCCATGCTCTCACGGCTTTGGCGACTTGAGAGACGTCTCTCGTGATCGCCAAATGCTAGACCTTCGTCCACGCTGCTCGCATCATCGACATCTGATGGCAGCTCATCTTCCCACTCGTTATCGTCCGAGGACTCCGGGGCACCGTGGCGGCGTTGAGCGTTGGATGAATACTGTCGCTGAGGACCGTTCTTCGAATTGACGTCAGAGCGGCTAGAGCGTTTTCCGACACGCTGGTTTCGTTGAGCGGCGGTCAAGGCAGCTGCGGTGGCTCCAATGCCTGCAATGGTTGCCGCAATGCGCTCCGAGGAAGATCTACGCACAGATCGTCGTGAGCTCTTCTTGCGAAGAGGTAAGCTAGTCTTGCTGCTGAAGCCCTCACCAAAAGCCAGTTCAGAATTGTTCGATGACGAAGATCCATTGCTGAAAGTGAAGAATCCACGTCTCTTCTTGGCATGCTCTTTCTTGGAGCTTCGTCGGCTACCCTCGGTAGGAGAGTATCGACCACTGTTGGATCCGCCAAAGTCTGAGCGGCGAGAGGAGCGGCCTGATGATTGTCGTTGGAGGCCTGAGCGGGAGTCGCTTCGAGAGCGTCTGCGCGAGCTGCTGGCAATAGCCGATGCTCCAAGAGCTGCACCAGCGGCTGCTCCTAAAAAGCTGCTACGGTGACCAGCGGATCGCGAACGAGAGCGAGAGCGTGTCACACGTCGCTTCTCTAGGGTCCCATCTTTACGACGAACTGTCACATACTCGCTTCGACCACTCGAATTGACAACACCATAACTCGTTCGGCGTCGTCGCTCATTTGAGGAGCTTCGGCTACGACGTCGGACGGTAGAGCCTTCGCGATGACCAGACTTGACGCTGTAGGTATCGTCAAAGTCCTTGCGATTTCCGAAAAGAGCGTTCGCTCCAGCAGCGACACCAGCGGCAGCGAGTCCGGCACCTAGGAGACCAGATCGATCACCACTGTTCCTCCGTTTCCGGCTGCTCTCGGATGCGTAGTAGCGGTTGTCCTTGTCCACGCGAGTGCTACCGGATCGGCGGATGGAGTCGTTACTGGACTTGCGGCCAAGGCGTTCATTAGATCGGCGTCTGCGGAGCTCATCGTACGCCTCTCGCTCTCCCGGTTTGTGGAAATGATGTGGTCGTGGCGCATCCCAAGCAGAGGTACGCGGGTCGAAGCAGTACTTGCACACACCAATGTACTCAGTGTACATCTCCATCTTCGCCACATCCTCGGGAGTTTGGATGAGATTGAGCAGGCCGTCCTTGAGTCGCGTGATCGGACCTTTGTGCTCGTGCGGTGCAGGATATTGATCCATAGTGTCCAGGCGGCCAGATTGAAAGCCACCACTGCCAGCAGTATATGGCTGAGGTGAGCGTGGCGGGTTCGTGGCGCCATTGTACATTCCCGAGGGACCTATGACCGGCTCGCTGTGGGAATGTTGGCTCATTCCATACGCGGCGAGACCGGCTGCCGCGGCACCGGCGGCGTAGAGGGGCACACTCGAACCATTGGACTGCTTACCTGTCTTACCTGTCTTACCTGGGGTCGAAGCGCCTGCGTTCGGATACGCACTACTGCTGTTGACCGGTCCATATGATCCTGATGTGTATCCTCCTGAAGGTCCTGATGGGAAGCTGCCTGGGGTTCCTGATGGGAAAGCGCCTGGAAGTGGTGGGTATGTAGACGACCCGGTTGCTTGTGAAGACTGCTGCTGGTACGACTGCGACTGCGACTGGGTCGTGCCTTGAGATTGACCGAGATAGCTGGCACCCACAAGACCAGCTGCTGCCGCAACAGTACCAGCGACCACATTACCTGTTGAAGTCTTGGAAGGCTTCGTGGTCGAGCTCGACGAGGAGGACGAAGTCTTCCCAGTCTTGCCCGGCTTGCTGGGTTTGAAGATGCTCGAAGAAGATGTCGAAGTTTTTCCAGTCTTGCTCGGCTTATCCGACTTGCTCGGTTTCGTCGGTTTAGTGGATGATGAGGAAACAACACCAGCGCCCACAGCTGCAGCGCTCGCCAATGGCACCCCCATGTTATAGAAGTCAGCCGCAGACCCATGGCCAGTATCTTGAGCAGGGTTCGGCACTGCAGAAGCAGTCATAAGATGGGTATCGGGATTGATCCGCATGTTCGGGGTGTGCGGTCGGACTCCCGGCTGTGTGTGGACGGATTCACCCTGATCCAAGTAATAATCTGCGGCCGCGCCAAAGCTGTCCGTCCGGACAGGTTGCAGAAGTCCTGATGAGGGATCCGGTCGGGATATTGGCGCATTCGATGTGTGACCATTCGATTGATTGACCGGGAATTGATAGTCAGGCGCCGGACCGGGCAGACCGCCCGACATCATGGGCTCTTGGCTGAAAGATGAATCAAACATGGGTCTGCCAGGATACTGTCCTGGGAATTGGTCCAGACTTCCCATGGCAGGCAGCGCGCGCGAAGTCTCACCGCGGCTTGATGTCACCTCTGCTCGCGGCGCAGGATCTCTCTCCTTTTCGCGGCGCTTTTCTGAGTTTGAGGGAGCTGTACGCGAGGTTTCCTTCCTTTTCCTCTCCTCACGCTCCCTTTCGCGTTCTCTTTCGCGTTCTCTTTCACGTTCGCGTTCCCGCTCCCTCTCGTGCTCCTTTTCGCGTTCTCTTTCGCGTTCCCGCTCGCGCTCCTTTTCGCGTTCCCTTTCCCGCTCGCGCTCATGACTCTTCTCCCTCTTCTCGCCATGGCTCCGACGACGTCGTTCTCCATCCTTCTCCTTGGTGCGCTCCCGACTTCCTCCACGTCGGCTCTTCCTCTCGGTGCGCGCATCATCGTCGTCTTCCCATTCATCGTCATCGTTGGGAAGCATGCGCAAGGCGCTAGCAGTCAGGCCCTGTCCGCCACTGCGCGAGCTCGAGGCGCCTCCGTATAGTGACTCGCCGTCGTAAGTGCTGCTGGGTCGGCTGGAGCGTCGTCGCTCTTTGGTGTCGTCGTCATCGTATTTGCGCGTTGCGGACGAGACGACGGATTCGGCACGTCCACTGCTCTTTTTGCGATTTGACGAAGATCGTCCTGATGTAGATTTCGCGTCGTTCGCGCCCACCTCGCTCCGACCAGAGAATGCGGCTTTCCACATCTTTGCGACCGTCGGACGGTTCCAGATGTGAGCAGTGAGTGGTGAGGATTATGCGCGTGGCGCGACAAGTTTAACTATTCGTTGGATGGATGGTATATTACAGTCGATTTGAGCGATAGTGTTATTAATCCAACGCGATCATGTGTCGCCGTCGCAATGGTGATCGTAATGCCGTTGGTTTCGGTATTGATCGTGTCGTAAGCAGACGGAGTTGTTCAACATTGCACAAGCGAAAGTCGTCCCGCATGCGTCGATTGAATGCGCCCGCGAAGGCGAACACACGGCACTGCTGCACGATGTGCTGGAATATCGTATGTAATCACTGCATGCAGCTGCAGCTAAGTGTGACTTTTTGTGTGTGCAGCCCGAGCATATAGAGAGGGCTGGTACGCCTGTATTCCCGTTCGTTGTTGTTTATGATCGTGGAAATGGGGTCTAGCGGCAATGAATGGACGGGAATGGCCGCCCGATCGATCCCACCCTGAAACGAGTCCTGGAGGGAATGGAATGGCTGCCCAACTTTGGGCGAGCATGTGTCATCCCATCTTTTGTTGTGGTCAAACAGTAGCGCGCTGGCTGCATGTGGTCTGCGAATTGCCATTCCAGCCACCTTTCCAGGGCACGCTTCATCGCCTGAGCCTCATAACTTTCCGCCTCGGTCCTGGCTGCTATGGAGTACGACAAAACGACAATGTCATTGACACCTGCGGGCATCGACGGAAACACGGCCTGTTTGGGATGCTGGCACGCGTGGCCAGCTAGGATTGGTGGACGACACATGGATTGCTGTTCACCGCCTCTTCGTATTCCGTACAGCTCTCAGACAACCCTATGATGCCAACATAACCCCAGCATCGACCCTAATGTCGTTTCCGCATGGTTGGAACTCATGACAGACACCACGACGAGGCATTTTCATTTCAGTGTCTAGGTACCTACGTAGATAGAAGCCTTTGATCGAAGACTGGTCAATTTCAAGCTGCATTCTCTATATACAGCTGCAACACTTGGTAGATAATACGAGGGTGTTCAGGATATTATCCGCGCTCGTTGCTTCCCACATCTTGGCAGCTGTGCAAGTAAACCTTGGAAGTTGCAACCATTTGTCTCCTCAGCTAGCATGAACATGCAAGCCATCCCGACGTTTGCCACCGCTACAGTACACCACATCGAGGACGAGAAGTTGTGATGTAAACTATTTCAGGGAGGTGGCATGCTCACTATACAGTACTTTCGTAAATAGAAGTACACGAATTACACCTGACGGTAATGATACAAACTTCCCCTAATCACCGACACCCATGCCATTTGCGGTAATGCAGACACGCTGCAACCCATCGCTATTAGACACGCCTGACGCCTTACTATCCCACGCATAATTTCGCAAATCGATGACCGTAGATTTCTGCCGCCAAATACCGTCTACAACGGCGCTCCAAATTGAGCGCGTAACGCGAGAATTTGATCCCGTGCCGAAGGCTCCATGGCATATATCTGCTCCGCTGTGAGAGCCAATACCTGGCGAATGAGGTCCTCCTGACCGGGCGGTGCCTGCGCTTGTTGCGGCGGAGGTGCTTGTGGTGCGGGTGGTTGGTAGGCATTGTGTTGTGTCGGAGGAGTAGGAGCATAGGCATTGCCATACGCTTGAGGAGGAGGGTACTGGCCGTATTGTTGAGGTGGAGGCTGGGGGGGATATTGTGCGGCGACTGGAGGTGGCGGCGCTGGCGCTGCTTGTTGTGGCGGCGGAGGTGCGAGTCCTTGTGACTGAATCAATTGGGCGACGATGTTCGGGTCGACGAGGCCTAGAAGACACATCGCCTGGAAGACTGCGTAGCTAAGTTGCGGAGCTTGCTGAAGCAGGGCGGTTGCTTGTGCTGGATTGCTCTGGCAGAGGCCCTTTAGCTGAGAGATGAAGTCGAGTAATGTGGCTGTAGGTATCGCGGCGAGCGTTTGACTGATGCCGTCGAAGATAGTCACACCGTGAGGTAGATCAGTTCCTTGAGGAAGAGGTGGTAGAGCTGCAGGGTCAGGTCTTCCATTCGATTGATTGTTTGAATTTGAGGGCGGAGGTGCATTTTGACCCATTCCGCTGCGGTTATCATTGCTATAGTCGACCCGAAGTTGTCGCCCATTCAATTCCATGTTGTTGAGATTTCGTACGGCCGAAGAGGCGGCATCTGCATCAGTGAACTCTAGAAATCCGTAGCCCTTTGGCTGTCCACTCTCTTTGTCATAGACCAATCTGAAGCCGGCCACTGTTCCGCATCGCCCGAAGATATCGCATATTTGTTCTTCGCTGACACCTTTGATATACATATGTTAGTCCCAAGCCAAGCGTTCTCTCTCGTTGATTCTGGATGTCGCTCGTACCATATGGAATGTTGCCAACGAAGACCACGCGACCGCCCTTTTCCCTGTTCGCCATGTTCAAGTCCCGCGACGGATCGCCGTCTTGCGTGCCTTTCGTTGAAGCCTCGAGTCGTGAAAGCGCAGACGCTCGTCTGTTTGGTGTTGTATATTACTTCTTGGAGCATATAATCCTCGGTTGTCCAGAATTCAGAGCGCTGTTGGAATGGCAATGCAATTGTGTCTGATATGCAGTCCGTCCAGATTTGCGACAATATCAAGTAGTTGTTTCTTCAACACATTTCAGTACTTCGGCGATGACGTGCACGGACCTTCGCGATCGACTGCGGAAGAGCTTCACGCGACACAATTATTGTCGGCGATGTCATACGTATTTGGACATTTGCAATTTGGTAGATCCGAATCATCGGCAATCTCTTATCCAGAAGGCTCGAGCGAATAAATTGACGACATCATCCGAACGATACAGAAAACGAACAATGGAATGACAGCGGACGCGCAACGTCTGGTGATGATCAACCTCTCAAATCAGCAAGCCTGGTCATGAGCCAGAGCGATCGCCTTTCATAAATCATGTTCAACTTCACGCCGCTTCTAGGCGCACAATCCGCGTCGATCGCATCGCAATCCTTGCTGGAATTGGACGGAGGAGTCAAGATACTGGTCGATGTCGGTTGGGATCCCGCATTTGATGTGAAGACACTCCAGGCTTTGGAAAAGCATGTTTCAACACTCTCTTTGATCTTATTGACCCATGCGACAATCGACCACATCGGCGCGTATGCGCATTGCTGCAAACACATACCTTCATTCAACAAGATTCCAGTATACGCAACTACACCAGTCATAAATCTTGGACGGAATCTCCTCACCGACCTCTACTCATGCGCACCACTTCTGACCTCGATTCTGCCATCCTCTGCTATTTCTTCAGCTCTTGTCTCGGATTCAACGGATCCTTCATCGAATATCCTTCTTTCCTGTCCGACTGCCGAAGAGATTGCATCATATTTCCATGCCATAAACCCTCTGAAGTACAGTCAACCTCATCAGCCAATCCCTTCGTCTTCCTCGCCGCCTGTAGGCAATCTCACCATCACTGCTTACAGCGCTGGTCACACACTTGGAGGGACAATATGGCATATTCAACACAGTCTCGAGAGCATCGTATACGCTACCGATTGGAATCAAGGACGAGAGAATCTTCTATCAGGAGCAGCATGGCTTGGAGGTGCAGGTGCGGAGATTATTGAGCCTTTACGTCGGCCTACCGCTTTGGTTTGCAGCTCACGAGGGGTTCAAAAGAGTGAGACGGTATCGCGGAAAAAGAGGGATGAGCAGTTGGTGAGCCTGGTACGCGACACTATTGCTCAGGGCGGCAAGGTTCTGATCCCGACAGATTCGTCGGCAAGGGTGTTGGAATTGGCGTTTGTGCTCAATCACACCTGGAGGGAGAACATCAGCGGACCTCATGGAGCGACATATAAAGATGCCAAAGTCTTCATGGCTAGCAAGACGGGCGCCAGCACAATCAAGCAGTTGCCGAGTATGCTGGAATGGATGGATGATGCCATTATTCGTGACGCTGAAGCCGCCATGAATAAGGACAAAGGCGATGACAAGGTCCTGAACTTACTAGACTGGCCGTATGTGAAACGCATCGAACGAAGGAGTCAGCTTGATCGGGTTTTGAAGCGGGCACAACCCAGCGTATTGTTGGCGGCTGATGCCTCATTAGAATGGGGATTCTCACGACAAGCTCTTGAGAGCGTTGCTGGGGATTCGCGAAATCTCATCATTCTTACTGAACTCGATTCAGCTCAAGACAAAGACAGTTCCAGCATTGCACAGCAGCTAAACGGACTGCTGCGGGAGACTGCACATATTGAGAGCAGCAGCGGTGCAAGAATCGTCAACTTGGACGGACAGCAGCTGCAGTTAAGGACCGCATCCACCGAGGCTCTCGCTCAAGATGAGGAATTGTTGCATCAGCAATTTCAGGCGCGACAAAGGCAAATGCACAGTAACTTGCAGGGTGACAATGCTGCCAATGACACAGCCATGGCAGAAATTGCCGACGATCAGGCCTCAGACGACTCTGAATCTGAAGATGAGAACGACGATCCAGAACACCAGGGACGAGCGTTGAACGCATCCGCCCAACTGACACAAAGCAACAAACGGAAAGTCGGACTCACTGATGCCGAACTGGGTATCAACGTTCTGCTCCGCAGCAAACATGTACATGATTATGATGTACGAAACAAGCGTGGCCGAGAGAAGATGTTCCCGTTCGTCGCTCATCGGCAAAAGGCGGATGACTTTGGAGATATCATCAAACCGGAAGAATATCTCCGCGCTGAGGAACGTGATGACGTCGACGGAGTTGACATCAAAGGCGGTGCGGCGAATCAAGAGTCGCTCGCTCTGGGTCAGAAACGCAAATGGGATGACTCAAGGACTGGCGTCTCCAAGGAAAAACGTGCGCACAAGGATTCTCCGATCAAGAAACCTCGAACGGACCGACAGCCTGATGATATCGATGCGCTCATCGCTAGAGCGACCGGCGAGAGTGGCGAAGGTGCCGATGCTGCGAACGGTGCCCGAGCGGGATCCGAAAGCGACAATGAAAGCGAAAGCGATTACGAGCCTGATGACGGGGCAGATGATGTGCCGAAGAAAGTTATATTCACTCCACGAACGCTCAGCTTGCAGCTGAAGGTCGCCTTTGTGGATTTCGCAGGTCTTCACGAAAAGCGGGATTTGCAGATGTTGATACCACTCATACAGCCACGGAAGCTGATCCTGACATCAGGTAACGCATCCGAAACCCGGACATTGGCGGATGAGTGTACACAGCTTCTAGCTGGCGGCAACAAGGCTGTGGACATACTTACGCCGGTGAATGGTGAAACCGTAGACGCTAGTGTGGATACCAATGCCTGGACCCTAAAACTCGGCCGATCACTGGTCAAGAAACTCCTGTGGCAGAACGTCAAAGGTCTCGGCATTGTTGCTCTTACTGCCCGGCTCGACGTGGAAGCCATTGAGGACCCGGTCAACGCCGCGGACGAGAATGTCAAGAAGAAGATGCGCCTCATCAAGGGTGAAGCAGAGGGAGACGAGCACGACCTCACACAGGGGAACCCAACCGACGAAGCAACATCTGTGGCCCCTAAGAACACCGCCGAATCCATCAAACCCCTCCCCTCCATCCCAGTTCTCGACGCCCTCGACAGCACCACGTCCACCTCCCTCTCGACTTCCACAGCACAGCGCCTCACCACCCAACCCGTACACGTCGGCGACCTCCGCCTGGTGGATCTCCGCCGCATGATGTTGGCCTCAGGCCACACCGTGGAATTCCGTGGCGAAGGCACTCTCCTCATCGACAGCACCGTCGTCGTGCGCAAATCCGCTTCTGGGCGCATCGAGGTCGAGGCTGGCGCCGGAGGGCTCAGTCTGCCGCCTTACCGCACCAAGGAGGGCCAGGGAAGCTTTTTCGCGGTGCGGAGGATGATCTATGAGGGACTTGCGGTCGTGGCAGGAGTGTAATCGTCTATACATTTTTGCTTGGGAGGGAGGAGTTGTACACCATGGATGCGCTGGGCGAGTGTGATTTGGAATCCCGTGATGATGCGATGGAGTTTTTGGAGGTGTCTTGTGTATCATATCACTCACATGATTTGTGTGATGAGAGTGTACTGCTTGTTGTGCGAGCCCGCCTACTGTACAACGTTCGAATCGCCGTCGTTCACCAATTTCGGCGAAGCGAAGTCAGCACCTCTATATGCCTCTAACGTAGAACGCTATTTCCACGCGAGCGCATGGGCAGAGGTCGCTCAGGACTGCATGATTCGATCATGACTGTCTGCACCACCCCTTGTCACTCATTAGACGATCACCCGGACGTCGTTCCCAAGGCAGCAGGAGCCATCGTTTTGATTCGGCCTACACTGCAAAACGCCCTACCCGATGCCAGCGTATGGGCTGACGTCGCTCCGGGCAGCATAATTCGATCACGACTACCTGACTATACTGTAGAATGCTCCCCTCGTGTCATCAGTGTACGGGTCGACGATGCCCAGGACAGCATGGTTCGACCGCGACGTTCGGAGCATTTATTTTGTCTTACATGGTTATGGCTCGATTGGGCAGGTCGAATGCCGGCGCTTGATCGGGTCATGTTGTGGATCGAATTCTTGTACCACCCCACCCCTGTACTTCCTTATCTACCTATGTAGGTAGCTACGCTGGCAAACTTGTCCTACGAAGCCAGGAGAGAATCAACTCTCAGTAGGATAATACGCTGTCTACTTCAGCGGTGTGCACAGCGTTTTCAGCATTGCAGCAAAGACATAAAGCTGGTCCATCGCTACTGCCAGGATGAAGAACATCTTTCCGTTCTCAATGATCCATCCTGCAGTGAGCTTTCTTCGAAGGAAAGCACCGCCGACAATACCCCTGACCAAGCCCCAACCCTCGGTATATAAATTTCAGCAACCACTACCGCCGACCACGACAACACATGAATTTCTCTACCTACCAGTGGCGTGCTGACGGCGGGTATCTCCCTCCTGCGGGACACCAGCCGGCCATGCTCTACCACGGCGCCCCACCGCCGTACGTCGCGATGCAGTTCTACCCGGCGAACACGTTCGTTCCAGTGCCTCCTCCCGGAGCACTCGCTCCGAGCCCAAGACCGCCTCCGCCCATGCCGCAAACGCTCATTGCAAGCAGAAAGCGGAACCCAAACCACCCACCGGCGCTGAGACCTGGCATGAACTACATGTTCGGCCCGGAACATACGCACCTGCACATCTTCGGCAAAGCATCCAAGATCTGGAAGGACAGATACCACGGCCAGGCCCAGTAAGCACCCTCCTACAATCCACCCGGTGTAGGCGAAACCCCTCATCAGCATGATTTATTCTTTTCTACTCGTCGAAAATCCATTCCTCGAGGCTGACAAGACTTTCCCACAGCAAATTTAAGCAATTCAAAGTCTCGACCACCCTCACTGTCCAAAATGTCATCTCCAACGTCCTCAACAACACAGATCCAGAGTACTGCAAAGGCTGGGCGGTAACGGAAGTCACCGAACTAGGTTCGATGGTGTGGAAGAAGGTATGTCTTCCGATTTGTATTTCCCTCGTTTATTCCCAAGACCGACGAGTTTCCGAGACTTCTGGGTGATAAATCGGATGCTAATCATCGTGCAGGGTTCGCAGATCACGTTTTCAAGCGACAAGGCGAAGAAGACGCTCAAGGACGTTGGTTGGGATAGTTCCCGTGGTGTCGGCCGGCCTCCGGTTTGGTTGGTTGTTCACCAGGTCTGAACCTTCTGAGGAACCTTTGGTCGATCACGATCATGAATCTTGATGAATCTTGCTCGACCTATTATCTAGGCGTTTTTGGCGGAATTTTCTGGGATCGATGTTTTCAGGAGAGATTTCGGGTTCGACCTTTTGGAAAATCTTGGAAGGAATTTTTATCTTATCGGCGGACATTGTTTCATTTTCATCCTTGAGAGGGATTGTCGGCTGTTACGATGTGTTGATTCCTGTATCTATTGGGGACCATGACAGGTTCAATCAACATGCTCATATTCTTGAATGAGAGATTCAAAAGAAGGTGCATGTACCGTGATGTGGGCCATACCTTACCACTGACGATATCGATACTACTCTCTGAAAAAAATTCCCATCTCCGGTACGCATTATCCAACCTTCTCCCAAGCCCTCCACCACAGTCCCACATTGACCGCCACCAACAAATCCAACATCTGTACTCCATCCGGCCAGATGATCAATTTGCCCAGTTTGGCCTGTTTCCCGCCAAAACCACCTCCAGCCTTCTCTTGGCCAAGATTTTGGAGTATTCGGACATCATGGTCATCGAAGTCGTCGTCATCGGAGTCATCGTGAGGGTTGTTCGTGCTAGTTGAGAGAGACAGGGAGGAGTGTGGACGGCGATCACTGTTGGGTACTACTGCGCCTGCAGCGAAGGCGGATCGAGGCCGTATGGTGGTTTTGTTGGAATTTGGGAGGTTAAAGCGTAGCTCGCTTAATTCCACGGGCGAATCGTAGGGTTCGTTGGGAAGACGGTGGCGACATCTTAGGTTGTTCCCGACTTTGCTGGGGGTGAATTCGCAGGTGGTTCCCCATGGACTCAGGAAATTGTAGACGCTGCTGCTGCTGGTAGAGGATTGCTGGGAGTGCACTGGTTTGCGATGAGATGATTTGGATGAGACGTCGGCGGAGCGACGGAAAAGCCGACGTTTTTGAGTCGTCGGGGTAGGTTCGGGTTCGCCCGATCTAATGGTGGGAAGAAGTGGTGGCGAAGAGTAAAGAGCGTTTGGAGATAGTGGAAATCTGTCGGAGGGATGGAGTTGTCGTCGGAAAATATGACTTGACGGCTGAGAAGACACCGTCGAGCTTGTGAGCGCATCTTGGACTTGCAGATCCCCGTGCTCGTTGTCGGAAAGGAATTGTTGATAAGATGGATTCAGAATCGTAATTTCCAGAGACAAACCAGCTCTTCGGTCTTGAAGACGGGATCGCCTGACATTATTGCCTGCCAGAGAATCGACTCCGGGAAGCGCTAACATATCACTTATGTTGGCGACGTTCCATTGTTCACATGAAACTGGATCGCGCCTGATGAGGGTCAGTGAGCCGAAATCTGTATTTGGGATATCTTGATTTGGCTCTGATGTTGATCTAATACGATTCTGCCGCGGACTTTGATTTTCGTAATTTGCATGCGGTGGTTCAGATTGGTGGTCGAAAGGTCGTCCGTACATCTCATTCGACGGCCCAGCATCATCTTGTGGTATCGCAGGCAATGGCCGTCGCGGCCTGGAAGGAAGAATCGACGAATCTGTCCGCTGCGGTGAAGGTACTTGTCTTGCAGTACCTATCGCTTTCCTCGCAATGCGAATTTCGGATCCGTTCTGATCCGTTGGTGAATATGATGTTACCGGCATTGACAATGGTCGTGGCGGAGGAGCTGGCTTCCTTACAATCCGACCATCTTGGACTATAGGCGCATAAGTCGACGTCGGACTACATGATTCAGCAGGTGATTGGTCGTCATCGATTTTGTCGAGATCCTCCTCTCGGCTAATGTGCACGTAGTACAAGGAGTTCTGAACGTCCTCGGCCGAGACAACCTTCTCTCGAGGCTTGAGAGTGGTCAGGAAGACGTCTTGACTCCCTGGAACTCTTGCTATGTAGAGGATGAGAGGTCGTAGAGGGATCGCTGATGTCCCTTGGCTTGGAGACGAAGGAGGTTCGGCCGCAATTCTGGTGATGGAGGAGAGGGAAGTTGCCTCCATGATGACCGCCATTTTTTCTATATTCGCCGTTCGAGGTCTTGTTCTCGAGACAGTATTGCTGCAGATGGTCGATTGCAGGAGAGATAGTATCCATGTATGTGAGTTGGATCCTGCTCTACGGGAACGACGAGCGTGTGTACAGCCGTGTTATTCTAAAACTCCATCTGGGTAAAACTATGACGAACACAATTGCTTGTTTTTGCTGAAGGTGATATCATGCGTTCGTATATATCGAAATTCCCGAGCTCGCAAGAACAATCTTTTGATATTGTCTGTAGGAAAGATGCTCACGCGAGCAAAACTCGACATCGCATCCAGCGTCGATCAGTGCTAAGAAATCGAGGTTGCGACGCCGCAGTGGCGGTGCAATCTAGACAATGATATACACATGGGCACGCGTTCGGCTTCGCCTTTGGATCGGAAATGACTCAGAATATGCCGACAGAGTCATCCCAGATGAAATTGATCAATGGGAAGGTCTTGTATTCGAGGAATTGATCGCATTGAATGAGAAGCAACGTTTATGAAGAGCTCCTTGGGCTTCGACAACCTTGGAAGCTGGTATGAACATGCCTCCCGCTCGACGTCATCCTGTGCATAGTAACATACAAGAGGAATGTCCTACTTTTATACAATCTAATTTTGTACCTCTGCAAGAATATTCACAATTTATTTAGACTGCATGGATGCGTAGTTTCGTTTGTGCATTGCATTTTCCGCTCCAAATGCAACCGACCTAGAAGCTCCTCCATGCAGGCCTCTAGTCATGGTGCTCGTCTCTTGCAGTTGCAACTCACGGATACACATCACGATACATCTCATCGACGCGGAATAAGCAAGCGCAGGAGACTGATGGTGTAGTAATAGGCTCAGCGGGGAGCTGATAGGTTTGTTGTTTGTACAAATTATGCTTGTACACGCTGGTCGAATCGGAAGCTCGTGAGGCTCTCCATGGTGGACTTACGCCGGACATTCTCTGGACTGCCACCACCGCCGCCTCCGCTCAGCTTCCGCCGAGTCCAGCCCAAAACGCCAAAGATGTCCTTGTTCATCGTCATTTGCGCCATCGTGGTATCATAAAAGCTTCTCTTCGTTTCTGCAGTGCCAGCGCCGCTGCTGCTCTTACGGCGAAGTCCTCCCCCTCCTGCTGCAGCAAAATTTCGGTTCGTTTTGGGAGTCGAAGCTCGAGGTCCGACTACTTGAGCCGAACGATCGACATCTGAGTCGAATCGCGCGGCAGATCGGACGGAGCGGTTCATCGCCGCCGCCGCCGTTGCCATCGCCTCTTGGTTCTCACCAGCTTCGTCTCCCGCGTACCGCTACTCGATGCCGTGCTCGGCTTTGAGCTTTTCTAACTTTTGCTCGCGCTCGGCGAGACTGGCTGCGCTTTTGGCCATCTTCTCAGGCTGTATCAAGGGTTAGTCATGTGGCTAAATTGCGGAGCATGATGGTGAAGTGTATTACCTGGTGGTACAGAACGACCAAGTAGCGATTTTGAAAGTTGAACCCGTTCAGTTTATCGCACGCGGCCTTGGAGTCCATGACATCTTCGTAGACAACGAACGCAGTTCCCTTGGTGTTGTTTGCGATTCCTTGACGAATTTGGCTGATCTTTTGGTTAGTCTTGAAGCATCTACCTAAGGTTCATGTTGAAGAAACGAACCGGATATGGCCGAATTTGCCGAATAGGTCAAAGAGTTCCTCGGGTGTGACGGTGTAGCTGAGGTTCTTGACGAAGAGGGCTCTATTGTTTTAAGATTAGTCGTCAGTCACGCGATCATGACGTTCCGGCGCTCTTGATCGCAACTTTTGATATCGACGTACCGATTGATCTCGGGAGCAAGCTTGGAATTGCGACTCATAGCTTGGCGAAGCGGAGGACAATGGACTGTGGTTACAATAGATGTTGTAGGGAAACGAGAAAGTTCCAGTAGGCAACTTCGGCGTATGGAGAATGATGCGGCGGCGGCCGCGCGGAGACAGTAGAGCACGTGGGAGAGTTGCGCGATCGATGATCACGTGAAACACGGCTGAATCGGCAGGCCCTTTGGTGATCGTGAATGAAACCTCAGGCTCCCAACCTCTCTGTCTTGCTGCGCAATTCATCCGGCCTAAATGATGCTGCAGTATACTGCACAAATGTGTTCCAATACTGTGCAGTACAGTAGGCATTTGTCCTTACAATAAGAGTCTGGTCAACTGTACATGGTACAATCAATCTTACTGTAGCCTTTCCCTCACATGAGTCAATGCGCCTGGCCCTCACTCACGGGCGACACATGTTTTGGCCAGTGCTACTGCTGTATGCAGTATACAGTACAGTACAGTCTCCATCACCGCAGCGCTACTGGAGACCGCAACTGAGCAATTCACCACCGCGGCAGCTACGGCGGCTTTCGTGGGGCTTCACACGGTGAACATTACCGCCCGGCGAAACTCGCTTGTGCTTCAGCGACTACCACTCACGACAATCCTCACCAGATCAATCGTCGCCATAATCCACCGCATGTGATTCCTCAAGACCTTCCAGAAACCCCATTCCGCATGTGAGCCTGTTCGGCCGGTCACTCCCTACGCGCCCGGCAGATCCTCACCGCGATCACATCTCTCACCTCACCTCCGAAGTCCGCAGCCCACCTCACCTCAATGCATAACCCAACGTTCAAGAGGCCAGAGGCCCATTGCCGTCCCGGACGTTCTCCCTCGCCGCCGAGCCAGTTCGTTGAGCCATTGTCGCCAGTCCTGGGCACAAAATCACTCGCGCCGATCTTCACATATCCAGCTGTGACTCAAAATGAGCATGGGAAGACAGTTGGCCGCCGCGGAGATGATGCATGGCATGAGACGCCGACGGCAAGGTCAAAAGGCGCCGGGCAAAAGAGCAGGTCACATCATCGAACGCCCTCCAACATAGACGCTCTGGCGGAGGTTGCGCTTGCTGCCAGTCCAGTATTTCAGTTCACGACAACGACCATAATCCCTTCAACAACAAGTACGCGCAAGTATAATCATACACATTCAGGTCATGGCAGTGGTGAACCACCTCATAAGCGTGCTCGATCCGAATTAATATCTTCAGCAACGCTTCCGCGTGACTTCTCACGACCAGCGACCAGTTATGAATCACCAGTGGACAGCTATCAGAGTAGAGCAGAAGAAGCTGCTCTGCTTCTGAACTTCCGCGCAGGCGGGTGGCCGGTGGCTGAGGCTACACCATCTCAACATGCGCAATCTCTGCCAAGCTCAGATTCTTATGTGTCAAAAGCCACCCGACCTCATGCTAATAGTCTTCCGCGAGATGCTGCCCCTGCGAGCTTTACTAATACTTTACCACGGTCCGGACTCCTGCCACCGTTTCGACTGGACAAACGAATCACGACTTCAAAGGGACTGTCCAGCACACGAGAAGTCACCTCAAATGGTCGTGGATATGCCGAACATGCTATCAAGGAGGATGCGGTCCGTCCTGGCACCAGCGGAGGAACTACGTTTGAGCTGGGCTCGTCGGCTACGCAATACAAGGTCAAGCACGACGATGAAGTTTCACTCTCCCGTACACCGTCCGACGAAGATTCGCGCACCAACAGTATTGACCCAAACACAGGCGAAGCTTCCGAAGCTGCACCTGTGAAGAAACGACGTGGCTGGCCTAAAGGAAAGCCTCGTGGACCCAGCAGTCGAAAGTCCATGGTTGAGAAGCCTGCACCAAAGCGATCGACAGCTCGACGCAAGACAACTGATGCTGTACAGCGGAGTAAGAACGAAGGTGTTGCAGAGTCATCCGACAGTGATGCAACCATCTTGCGAAGGCGGAATAGTTTGTCTGATGCTATACTGACGACCGGAAGAACACCTGACCAACATAGGCGATCGACATCAGTGCCGCGGGACATTCACATGATCATCCGCTCTTCCACTTTATCGAAGCCAACCCGTCGCACAACTCGAGTAACCCAAGAAATAAGTTGTGCTGGTTGTGCCATCGTTAGAGACTTGCTAAACTATAATGGCGAGTTGAAGGATGAATGGATCTCATGCAACGGTTGCAAGCAATGGTTTCACTTTGACTGTGCTGGCTTCAAAAAGGCTCACGAGGTTCGTGATGTGGACAAGTACTTCTGCCCTCCTTGCGAGCCAGCGCATGGCAAAACGACTTATGTTCGCAAGAGCACGCGCGCGCACGTTTCAGTCGATTATGCCGAGCTCCAGAAGGGTGTACTTAAGACCAGCGAGGAGAGTATGGAGCATCATTACATTCAACCTATCAAGGATGGCACTTTTCAGTTCGATCCTGAGTTTTTCCCTCGCATGCCGCCGGAGCTGGTCACTAAAGACTTTTTCGAACGTGGTGGTTTTGTGGAACCAATTTGCATTCCTGCGTCACTCAATCCCCGCCCCTGGCTGAAAAAGAACAGCGAAACTAAGGACGAAGACGGCGACGTTGAAATGACCTCGAGTGCGACGGATGACAACGACTCAGATGGCCTAGCGCTGGACGATTTCGAATACGATGCTCTGCCAGATGTGGGTCAGGATAAATTGGGAATGGTCATGCCACAAGATTTGACAGTCCGTCAAGTGTGTAGCTTGGTTGGGCCTGAAACACCGCTGGATGTGATTGATGTCAAGACACAAAACTCAGGAGGCAAGAAGTGGAATCTCAAGCGATGGGCTGACTATTACGAGGAAACAGGCGACAAGCACATTCGGAACGTCATCTCGCTCGAGGTCTCTCAAACCAAACTGGGACGGCTACTTCGTCGTCCTCAGGTTGTGCGAGAGATTGACCTTCAAGATCAGATCTGGCCTGCCAAGGAGGTGGAGCAAGGCAAATACCCGAAAGTCCAATTCTACTGCTTGATGTCGGTAGCGGATAGTTACACGGACTTCCACATCGACTTCGGTGGTAGCAGCGTCTACTATCATATTCTTAAGGGAAAGAAGACATTCTTCTTCATCCCGCCCACCCCAAAACACCTCAAGGCATACCAAGATTGGAACGACAGTCATGAGCAAAACTACACCTTCCTGCCAGACATCACTAAAGAATGCTATCGCGTCGATCTCGGCCCTGGCGATACCATGCTGATCCCCTCGGGCTGGATCCATGCCGTTTGGACCCCAGCTACAAGTTTAGTCATCGGTGGCAATTTCCTCACGAGAATGTCATATCGCAACCAATTCCGCGTATACGACATTGAAAAGGCCAATGGTACGCCGATGAAGTTTCGCTATCCTTACTTTGTCCGCATCATGTGGTATACTGTCATTCAATATCTGGAGAAGGATCCGCTCCCCGAGGAAGTGTCACAATCGTTCCTAGCAGGCAAGCAATTCGAGCGGGAGACTCCCATCTGGGCTGATTATGACGGTGATCTCGCTGCGGCGGATTCCCGTTCTGGTGCTCAGAACGAGAGATACTATAGCCAGGCCGAAGTCGAAGGCCTTCCTGATTTGGCACAATTCGTCTTCCGCACTGTCATGGTAGTCATGGGCCGGGTTGAGGGCATTTCTGCGGAACAGATGAAACGAGTTAATAGCTCGATTCCGAAAGGTCACGGCGATCCTCTGGACCTGGCGAGAGCGTTCGGATTGTGGGTGGCATGGAAGCGAGGCAACGAAGACCCACCTGCATGGGCGCATCCGGATGCTGTGCTCCCCAACCGCAGTGAAGAAGGACCTCCCAAGAAATTGTCCCAGCGTGCATTGAAGGAGATGGAGCGCAAAGAAGCCATCGCCGCTTGGCGCATTGCCCCAGACCGGCAAAGCGCGCGAGTGAAGAAGAACAACGCGGCAGTGGCCGCCGCTAGTACCAGCACGAGCAACAACGGCAGCGGGAGCGGGCCGACAGCCGCGTCTCCTGAACGCGAAAGTCAAGTGACATCTGCATCTACCAGCAAATTTATCCCTACACCTTCAAAGCCGCCTCCTCCGTCTTCGCCGCAGCAGAAGCAGAAGCAGCACGGTCCCATCAGCGAAGGCGAAAGTCATCAAAGTCATCATCGGAACGAAACCACACCATCGTCGCGGATGAATTCCTCATCAACGACGACCACCACGACCACCGCCACGATGATGTCAACGCAATCGATGCCGTTCGCTATGACCGCGATGCATGGCCAACATCTCAGCACCCCAAAGACATCGGTGTTGGGTCCTAAGCGCGTTGCTTGCGACGCTTGTCGAAAGCGACGTATTCGTTGCAAACACAAAGATTTCGTCATGCAAATCGATGATATCAATAATGTGAGTCCCGTTTGGCAGGCGTCACCATCATCATCGATGGGCCAGATCCATCAAGCAAATCCATCAAATCATCATCTCCATCAACACAATGGCAACAACAACAATTCGATCACCAAGGGCAATGATTCGGAAGCGAAATTTTCCAATCATGGTGATGACGCGATCACCGTCGCCGCTGCCGATACCGCTGCCACTGCCACCCTTTCATCGTCTAATGCATCAGAGGTATTAAATGAAAATATCCAGGTCACTCCCCTACGAACAGTACGAAATGGCAACTACCTCAACAATTTCTTCGACGGTCATCAACAAAGTCCGAATGCATATGGTTCGCCAAACGACAAATCCATCGACGGCCAAGGCTTTGCTCCCGGAACCAATGCTTACGTCAATGCCAACATTCCTATGGCAATGAACGGCATCCACATCTTTGGCGATGCCCCCAAACGCGGTCGGAGTAAGGCGTGTCTCGAGTGTAGAAAATCCAAGGTGGGTGAAGATCAAATGTCTAATGCACCGTTACTAATATTGTCCAGCGTCGATGTATCCATGATGAAAACGGCCAAGTAGACCCGGTCAAAGCGGCTGAAACTCCAATCCCTCGCGGTTCGGCCTCATCAAAGAAGCGACCATTCGGCAGTGAAGGTTCGCCACCGCAAGCATCGATGATCGGCAACGACCATTTATCAACACCACAACACCACGACGATGACGTCGACTCAGCTATGCGACGACTTTCAGCTGCACTAGGCGGCTCGAATCATGTTCAAACACCACCCGTCTTCCAGATGCAAGTCCCGCCGCAGACAGCGGTCTCTAATGATGTGCAACACATCCCCAACGGGCACGACCAGAATTCACTTCCCATCGATCCTAGTCTATCAGCCATGTACTGCGAACCGAACGATTCAAACGTCTTTGTCAATCACGAGAATCCATTCGCATCGCCAGATCGCTCGCATGCATTTGGAATGCCGTCGTTGGAGCAAATCGCGAGTGAGGTTCTTGACATGAATGGCGGACATGGCCATCCGGATGAAGGCTTCTCAGCTCAGGAGTCCGAGGTCCATCAAGCGGACGTCCTCAATCAAGGCACTGAGAACAGTGTCGCCGACCTGAAGGGCGATGTTCACAAAACTGACGGCAGTGTCGATTCCGCAATCTCCCTCGCCGCCAGCGACAGTCTCGACAAGACGCCGCCAGCTTCATCGCCGAGCACATCGTTCAACGCCGAGCAGCTGTCTGGACCTATTCAGCGCTCCGTCGAGCTTAACAATGCCATCTCTTCCACCTCAGACTCCCTTGCTACTGACGCACAGCCAGCCGCTTCGATTCCGCTGTACAGACCTCCGCCACCTCCTTCTGCTTCGCCGGAATTGTCCAAGCGACAACCTCTGCTCCCCATCAATGGCAGCAAGACCGCCCCTTCGGCTCTCCCAGCTAGCACCACACCCAATAAGCGAAAACGTGACTCTCACTCCGAGCACTCCGGCTCACCAACCTCAATGCACAAAAAACCTCATCTCAGCGTTACGCAGCGTCGTCCGTCCCAAGTTGGTCACGACGGAGAATGTTCGAAGCCGGACGGCCTTGTCGCGGACGTCGTCGAGGAGGTCTCCCAGCTTTTCGAGGAGGACGCGGAGAGTCTCGAATTGGCCAAGGCTCTGCAGCAGGATGATCTCGGGTTGCGAAAGCGTAGCAAGTAGAAATTGCGCGCTTTGTGATTTCGATGATTATTTCGACTTCTTGTACCCCTTTTTGAAAGATGCCTTGAGAGAAGATCTTCGAGGTGGCTGGTGATGGATCGGAGAGAAATGCACGTTTCCTCATTTCCGGAAATGTTGCATGAGTTGAAGGAGGAATTCTTGACCTTTCATTAATTTGGTAGGCTGGTTTGGCTGCCCCCGTTGTGTTATTGCTGTTGTATTACTACTATCACTACTCTTACTCCCTTTTTCAACCACACATATGCATTAGAAATTTTTGGGAGTCTTGCTCGGATTTTCTTGGGATGAGAGCAAGGGATGGAAATGGGAATGGAGCTGGGAAATGAAAGAACTCAAGGAACCGGTCGATTTTATAACCTCTCGTTTCAAACGTCCTTTGCAAGTTTCTCCTTGAAGACAGGAGTTTCATTCGTTGTGAAGCTGAAATCAGGTGCTAATGAAGAGAAGGGGTTATGTAAATTGCAAATTGAAATGCTCGTTGCACGTCTTCTTGTGATCTGCATTGTCTGTTGTGGAGATTGGATGTGGAAAGAGATTTAATCGCACAGGTCGAGTATCTCTGACCGGAATCGTTGATCGCAGCCCTCATCGTGTTTCATTTCTCATCGTTATTCGTCATGGGTGATGTGCTGTATCTTCATGTGATGCTCGCCAGCTTTCTGCTGCTGCATGCTTTTGTGCAAGACGATACGCTTCACGACAAGCAATTTATATGCCTTCCTCTTGGGAGACTTCCCTCGCCTTCATCATCTCACGACGCTCAAAAGACAAGGATCAAATGTGAATCTCCGCTGCCTTCCGCAATCGATTCATCACTGCTGCCGCGGCATCCACTTCTCCGTTGTCTTCGCCATCGTTCTCATCATCGATCCCTTCGACGAAGATGACGTCCACATTTTCCCTGTCCAGCGCGCGCAATGCGGAAAAAATCCCCCGCGCGATCGCGGACGTCTGTGGTCCCAGGCGGATGTCGTAGATTTGGACTGCTTTTCCTGCGGAGTTTGGAATGGTGTGAGGAGTTATAGTGGGTTCCCCACCGCTGCTTCCAGAGGGACTGATTTGGATTTCATGGAGCATGGAGGCGAAGCCTTGCAGGGTAGAACTAGTGGGAGTTGATGAAGGAGTATGGGAGGCGGTCGCCGATGATGTTGTTGTTTCGGAGGGTGTGTCAGCCTTTTGAGTTGTGATAATGTTTCCCCCACCGTCCCCTGTATCATTCAGAGACAAATTCCACGTCTTCGTCCGCACCAGCCCAATGTTACTGCCCGCGCCAGCAGTCTCCGCCCCCTCCAACGTTTCTCTCATCTCTGATAAAGTCGGCGCCGCACGCCTCGCTTCGTACAGCACCACTGTTGCCTTTGGCGAATAGTGTCGATACTTCATTCCAGGTGCCCTTGGCGCAGTGCCCGCCTCCGAAACATTCTTGTATGCAATCTGCGTAGCCTCCCACCCTGGAACCTTACGAATCTGGTCCAGACTGATCCCTCCCGGTCGAAGCATCGAAGGGGGAATACTTAGACCATCGACGACGGTGCTTTCTACGCCGACCGCACAGGGCCCTCCGTCGAGGATAGTGTTGATACGGCCCTGGAGATCATGGGCGACGTGCTCGGCAGCAGTTGGGGAGGGTTTTGTCGAGGCGTTGGCGGAGGGCGCGGCGAGGGGCACACCGGAGGTGTGGATTAGGGCGAGGGCGAGCGCGTGTCGGGGAATCCGAGCGCCGAAGGTAGTGAGACCGGCAGTAACTTCGGGAGCGAGAGGAGAAGGAGAGGGGTTTGGAAGAATGATTGTAAGAGGGCCTGGCCAGAAGCGTTTGATCAATTCGTGGTAGATTGAAGGTATTGGATCTTGAGAGATCTGGCTATCAGTTGCCATTGTCGTTGACGATGATCGTGGTTGTAGGACAGATCGAATTTGTTCGAGCGAAGAAAAGTGGACGATTAAGGGATTGTCTGAGGGTCGTTGCTTCGCCTTGTAAATACCTCGCACTGCATCACTTCTCGTTGCATCGGCTCCCAGGCCGTAGACGGTTTCAGTGGGAAATGCCACGGGAATGTCTGAAGTCCGAATCTGTTCAGCGGCTCGTAATAGATTCTGAACGTCGATTGATTGAGAATTAAGTCGGATCTCCAGCGAATCGAGAATATCGTTGGGAACTTGCTTGGCTGTTATGACTCCTAGTCGACTTGCATCGACGGGGAGAATGTGAGTCTCCATCTTGGAAAGGATCGAAGTTGGCGAGTCGTTGGGTTAAAGACTTGGTTCATGCCAGATTATGAAACCTCAGCTTCTATCTGAAAGTATCTACAGCCACTCAAATCGCGATGTTCTATACACTGATATGTATATCCTGAGATCAGGAAATCAAATTTTACGATTGGCATGTCGGTTCGACTTCAATCTTTCCTCAAGCACAACTCAAAAGTAATCTATATATTCTATATAATTTGACATGAAGCCCACATCGGTTGCGTGGCCCAATGGCAAGGCGCTTGACTACGAATCAAGAGATTCTGGGTTCGATCCCCAGCGCGATCACGTGCTTTTTGCCTCTTAGGAGGTACTCTTTTTGTTTGTTTTGTGCCGAATCGCAAGAATGGCTCAAGAAGAACATTTTCATCCACTAATCAAGAATTTTCATCGAGTTGTTGTTGAGATATCGTCGTTTGAAGTTAGTGTTGATGACTTAGGGTGGTGGTGAAATTTGGAAATCGCGCTTCCGTTCGAACCAAAATGCAGCCCTGGAGCGCGGTCATTTTAGCGCATCCTCGACAGGTGTGAATCACACATTTCAAATATGATTTTTGGAACCTTAGAAGGCGAACCTTTTGGTTTGGCTTGGCTTGGAAAGCATTCAGTACAGTCATCGATGGTTGACATTTCCAAGGTGGATGACTTCCTTAGGGTTTCGAAGGGCCATCGTTGAACATGTCTGAACGACTTCGCTGTGATAGGGGAATAGGAGTGAATTGTGACAGATCCATATAGCTTTCACGCATACGGAAATGGTTTCTAACAACGAACGATAATATCGTGCACAGGACAAGGCGGGCAACTATCTCGCCCTGGGAGACATTTTACTTTTCGAGCCTGAACTCAGTGATGACAGGGAGGGACACAGATATCATTTTCGATGAAGGAAATGTAGAATGGAAGAGAAAGGGCGATTGAGAACAAGCATACAGATAAAACCCATGCAGAACAAGAATGGAACACGACAGCATCCGTGAGGATCCACCACAGACATTCAGATCGTCATAAGTTCTCAAACATGCCCACCACCCACCGTCGTCAATGTGATCGGAATGACTTTGAAAATGGGATAGGTCGTAGTCGCCAACGTTGTGATCGTGGGGGAAGCTGTCGTGGCTACCTTGGTGGGCTGCGTGGTAGGATCTGCATAGACTGTGACGGTCTTGACGGGAACATTGTCGTCGTCGGCGGGCGAAGTGACTGCTTCTTGGGATATGGTGGTAACCTTGGCGGTCGGCGAAGCCTTTTGGGTTATGGGATTGTTTGGATCATAGATTTGGAACGCGGTGGTTGGCTCTGCGGCGGCTGCGGTGGTGGTCGGTGGAGAAGCGGCTGCAGGGGGAGATGTGTTGATTCGGGTTGTGGGAGCAAGAGTGATTTTAGGGGAGGTGGTTTGCGGGTCAAGAGTCGTGATGGGAAGGTCGGCAGAGGTGGTGGTCGGTTTTGCTTTTGATTCGGTTCCCGTGTGAAGCGTGGTCGTGGTGTAATCGGTCACGACCTCTGTAGCTACCTGCTCTGCGTTGGCTTGAGTTTCTGCGGTTGTGGCTGCCTCCTCGGTGCAGGTTGACGTAGGTTCTCCCACTGTTGTGTAGTGCGTGAGTACAACAGTCACTTGAGGAGCGGGAGGTTCGTCAGTCTGCGGTGGTAACTCGAAAGCTGTTGTAGCTTCTGCTGCAGCTGCAAGAAAGCTGTGATCGCTGCTAATTGTGTAGGGAATAGTCAGAGCAGTGGTGGTCGGAGAGGCGTATTTCCAGTGTGCGGACCGACGAACTGGACCTGCCAGGACACCTGGAATGGAGAAAAGAAAAAGAAAAGTTCGCAACGAAGCAACCATGTTGATGATCGAAAAAGCAAAGAAAAACACACTATGTGATGATGACGGTAGAGGATTGCGGACTTGGAGACCAGCTCCTTGGGTAACGAGAGCAGGGAACAGCCAAAAGGAAAGAAAAAGGACATATGAACAAAAAGAAATTCTAATGCACGAGGAAAAGAAGAGAGAGAAAGAGAGAGGAGACAACCCAGCCTTATTGCAAGCCCATGTCTCACCCAACTACCTGGAATGCTCTGTTTGAGCGTCGTATCGTATTGTCAGAAGGGACAAATACCTGCTGACACAAATCTCGCTCAATATCCCAATAGCGGCCGCAACAGGAACTTCTCGTGCCGCCAGATTACGAGCCATCATTTCCCGACGCTGTGGTCAGTCTCGTATTCATCAGCAGCAAGATAGCAAAGGCAATAATCGTAAGCAGAGAGGGAATGAGCTTAGGTGTTTTGAGGGATCGATTGGTGGGCAGCATCGGAGAAAGTGCACAAGCGAAACCTGGGCGCTTAGGGAAATCTCGAAATTCGCCGGGCGCGTGCCTTGCTTGGAATACTACACCAATACCACGAGATCTTAGGCCCAGTGCGTATCATCAGGTGACCCGAAGATGTTCCCTGTAGTATTGTTCGTTTGTACCTCAAGAGGTCGCAGAGCAAAGATCATGCTTTCGTGATGGGATGCATACGACATGTCGTCGAATCTGACGTGAACGACGCGCGGGTGCTGTGGGGAATGGAGAGGGCTCCGAACTCTGGGAGACACACATCTGTCGCGATGGCACGTGACCATGACATGATAATCAAAGAGGCGTGCATGCACATCTGGGCGATGATGGAATTATCGCTACTGATGATAGTCGAGTCATGGCGGACAGCTGAAGTGAAAAAGATCGTAAATATCAAGTCCAAGCAGCATGTGATACTTCCTGGCCCTGGCCGAAGCCTTTCGGCGGTCTTTCTGCCATTCATCCTTGCAAATTAAGAAATAGACTTGAAAGTCATGTAAATACATAAATCGAACAGCGATAAGCTGCATGGGGAGGGAATACGTCAGCTGCGAAACAAGTTGAAGCAAAAACCAAGAAGGAATTAAAAATATGACCTCCTCTCCTGAAACCTTCCCAAGAATCCTGTCTTCTTCTTTGGTGGCGCAACAGTAGCAGAAGCAGAACTGCTACTCCCTGCAACAGAAGACGAGGTTTTCGTTGTAGCAACTGTTTTGATCGGAGGAGCGGGCGATGGAGGGTCGAGATACCGGTTTTCTTCGGCAAAGCTGACTCTTCCACCTGTACTCTTCCTGCGGTGATCGGCAGGGCTTTCGATGTATTTCGTCGCACCCACCCATTCCCACACACGTCCGACATCGCCGGTGCGCGATTCCCGGACCATGGGGCGTACGTTGGAGTTCGCCTCGACTTTCTTCTGGACTTTCTCCCACAGAACTTTCCGTCGTGCGGCAGAGAAGTCTGTCCGGAGGAGATCATCACGAAGTTGGGCCATGCTCATGTGAGCTTCAGGGAAGACTGCGGGATCCTGCGCGTGGAGGCTGGCGTGTAGACTGAGTTGGTCCATGGCTTGAGATGCGAGAAGTTTGGCGCGAGCATCGGTTGCGCGAGATGTGATCAGGCGATGACGACCGTAGAAGCCAGTAGATAACAAGGACAATAAACCTATAAGTTGCCAAAGATACTGTCTAAGTGTGAGGAGTAGCGATCGACGGATGGCGCAGCTGAGGGGGACGCGCGCGAGGCTGGTAGAGCGGAGGGTCGCGTGGCCGGATCTGAAGGTATGGCGAATCTGTCAGTGAGAAGAGAAGAGGTAAAATGTAAGCACAGGTTCTTGATGTTGTTTTGCTTTTCGTTCTTCTGTCGGAGGAAGAGCAGCAGGCCAATGTAGACACGAAAAAGACGACTTACCCGTCAGATCCGCTAACAATCTCCTCCACTCGAGCAATCTCTCCGATGGCACTCGACCACAGATCTTCAAATTCTTCATTCGTCATACCCTTGCGTCGTTTCGTCGCGATCGCACGTTTAAGGTCCGTTTCGCGAATCTCTGCTTTCGACGCCTCTCCACATTCATATTTGGCACTCTGTTCTCGGAGCTCCTCTACAGCGCGTTCTTTGACAGCGTTGACTTTCCGCGCTCGGGCGCTGTCCGGTTCGCATGTAGGTGGCAGGGGAATCAAACCGCCAAGCGAAAGCGGGTGGTGTGCCAGCACAAACCCGTTCTCGCATTCGGTGTGTAACTGCTCGCCGCAGAAAGCGTGCGGTGGGCATGGTTCGCAGTGCGGCCGGACGGCATCAGCCCACTCAGGGATCTCCACTCCAGCAAGCTCCGTCGAAGGGTGTCCAACTCCACAATAGCCGACCTCCAACTTTTCCTGTCGCCAGACGAATGCGGATAGCAAGAGCATGATGAATGAGATAACACTGATACCTTGAGTACCTGCGGCGGTTGATTTTCTTTTCGGTCGTTTGGTGGGGACTACTGCTCCAGATTGTGTTGCCTGTACGAGATCGAGTTGCTCTTCCGGAGTGAATTCCTCAGTGGGCTCCAGTTCATCCTCCTTTTTAATCACAGCAACCGGCATGTCAAATGTTCTCCGCGATGGCACTACAGCGCCATCGTTCTGAGGACGAGTAGGACGGAACGCTTCAGTCTGTCGGCGCACTTCTCGGCTCTTCCGGTCTGTGTCACGGATAGGTCCCAGAGTTGTGCGCCGACGAGCAGAATCGAGAACCCGCGCAGTAGGAGGTGAACCACCGCTTTGAAAGACATTGTCATGTGTAAATGGACTTTGGTCATCCTCTGAATCGGCTTTCGCCACCGGAGTCATCAACTCCGCTCTCGACTTGCGTGAAGACGATGGTCGTTTCGGCTCAGGCTCCTCACGAATGACTTCTGACGCACGCGCATGCTTGCTGGAACTTCTCCTAGGCGTCATTGATTCTGGTGGGGCAGTACTATGCCTCATCGATCGGGATGTCGCAGGAACTTCTTGGGCCTCCTCAGTGCGCGCACGGGTTGTCCGACGACTGCCCCGAGCAGAAGGCGTTTGTGGTGCACGGACTGGCTCTGATTCCTCTTCTTCATCGTCCTCCTCATCCCGAGCATATCTTCCAGTGGTCATGTCCTCGATGCCTTTGCTGTTGCGCTTGACTCGTGAGCTAGCTGTGCGCAATTTTCGAGCCTGTGGAAGAACATTATTGTTAAACAAGTCGACCAGCTCTTGCTTCTTTGCAGATGAAGCATAAGAAATGTTGTGCATGACAAGGATGTTCCGCAATCGAGGCATCGTCAGGCTTGCCGGGTTGAAACCCGGCTCGAGATAAGCTTGGTCGTCCATGATGATGGTGGCTCAGTCTGGAGACGATTGATCAGGCGCAAGAGTGAAGTTGAAGCAGGATGCGCTGATATGACAATATTGACGATCGTGTGTGACGGTGACGATGTCTCGGATCAACTTTACAAGATTTCCAAGATTGTTTACACTTCGTCGGATGTTTGGTGGCCCGTGCATCTATCCCAACAACCACCACGTGAGCCAACGACAACTACCGCCTGAATAATTGTTTGAACTTGACATCTCTAGGCAGCAGAGCATTGTTATGACTTCTTCAAGTTTTGTAATGATTCGATTGGACGCATCGCGTATAAAGCTGCCACCGGTCATCTGCAACAACGTCGGAGAATAATTATCTCATCCTGCATGGCCAACATGACTTTCTTCGGCAAATCTGTGCCCCGCGAGCAACGCAATCCAGGGAACCAAAACACGCGGCGGGCTAGCCTGCATATGCCACATGCTGCGCGCAGCACAAGCACACTGAGCCTCCTTGAGGTCATGCTCTGTATCAATGCATCGGCTTGACCAAAGATTGCGACATCACAGGAGATAATCAGGAAAGGTTCTTAATGTGATCTCTTGGAAAGGTTGCCGTTCGATGCTTCATTGCCTCTGATGAGGATGAACGGAAGCGAAAGTAGAAGTGCATTAGGCGAAATGATCTGGTGGATCGGCCTTCATTCCCGTAGATGACCTCGCCATGATCATGAATGTCCCAAGAAGAGAATGGAGCAAAGAACACCGCACCGCCCCCAAACCCGCTATGCAAAAAGAGAAACTCCCAGCCCAAATGCTACTCATCAGAATCAAAGAACCCTCATCCCCGAAAATCTACAAATCAGAACTCTCCCAATCCCACCCTCATATTCCACACCGTCTTCGCGCCCACACCTTTAAGCTTCCCTAATTGCGAAAGATTCTCCACCAGCGTCTTTCGTTCCATCTTCTCCTCGTCACTGCTGCTGCTGCTATCGTGATCGACGAGGTCGTCGAGATCACACAGGCAGTTTACGATTGCCTCGGCCTTTTTCGCACCGACGCCTTTGAGGAGTTTGATCTGGTTTACGTCGCGCGTGTTGATGATGGCGATGAGACGCTTTGTGCGAGGGGTTTGGGCGGGGAATGGGAGAGAGTCGTCGTAATCAAGATAGGATTCATGGGTAGTCGGGGGCTGTGTAGTAGGACTTGTCGCGGCTGCAATGCCAATGGTTGGGGCACGATTGAGGTTTGCCATGTGTGGCCTTCGAGGCTTGGGTCGAGGACGATAAATGAAGCCGTCGTCTTCTTCATCGTCTTCTTCATCGTTGTGAGAGGTCCTTTTGTGATTTGTCGCTGCCGCGTTTTCATCCTCATGCCAGCTCTCATCTAGGTCCTCGTCTTTTGGCTTTCTCCTTGACTTATGAGGCTTCTCTGTCGTCGAATCCGTCGTGATGCCCTCCGTGGCACTCCCTTCCGAGAGCTTGTTCTGTAGATTGACAATCTTCCGCATCAATTTCTCATTCTCCGGGAAATGCGGCAATGCCAAACGATACATCTTTAACGCACTTGAATCCTCTCCTCGCACCTGATGTTGCTTCGCCATGAGGAGATATTGTAGGCCCTCAGCACGCTCGTTCTCTTGGCCCTCCACACGACGCTCGAGTGCGAGCAGTCGTTTCTGCATCTCATCCGAGACCGGATCTTGAGTGGTCGCGACAGTCGTATTTTCAGCAGCCGCTCGACCAGCGGCGAGGGCTTCAGTCACCTTTCGTTCGATCAACGCCTCGATCGCATCCTTGGACATGCCAGCTTCCACCATACTGCTAGTGCTAGGATTCGGTCGGGCAAATTTGGCAGCTCGACTGGTAGAGTGCAAAGCTTCGCTGCTGGTCCGTTTTGGTGATCGAACTGGGACACCTGAAATAGTGCGTGCTTGACTCGTATTGGCTGTATGGATGGGTTTTAGAACCGGCTTAACTTTGTCGGTGAAGACAGCGAATGACTTCATGGGTTTGGGTACGGCGGTCGTTACATCACGAAGATGACTATTTTGTGAAAGGAGCTTTGGTCGAAGTGGCTGTCGATTCATCGCAGGCCCAGCAGGCGCAACTGTGTCAAGCTTGTTCTTCCCGCCATTGTCCTTGAAGAAAGGTTGATTCTCGATTTCATTTACCTCGATCTTCTTCGTGCGATTCGCGAAATTCAAGCTGCTGATCGTGTCAAGGTGGTAGCTCCGTACTGGCGCGAGATTAAGAATCATGATGGTCAAGCCATTGTTCTGGCCCAATGCCAGAACCCTCGTCATCTTGCTGTCCCTATAGGGAGCGCGTTGCTTCTTCGAAATCGCTTCCACACAAGATGCCAACACAAACAAAGACTTGTTAATGCTGGAGCTCTCCACCATTCGTTCCTTGTCATTGTCAGTCCTTCGATTGTCCTCTGATCCAGCCAAGTCAATTGCCGATGCAGTGCTAACGCGAACTTCGTCACCGGTAGTCTGTGAGACCTTGACGCACAAGATCGCGTGCGAGCGCGACGAATGCGCGTTCAATTTGGTCGCCGAAGTGGAGCGGTTAAGATTGGCCTGGTCATATAATTGCTCAAAGTCCTTCAACGATGTGCATGGTTTCTCCGACAGTCCTACCACGATGGCTTTTCCACTCTGGTTGTCGCGTATAGGCAATCCCGCTGCCGTTCGCTTCTCTGGTGCCTCAAACAAGTCGAATACTCGGTCATTGTAAATTTCATAATAGCTCATCAACACCTCGACTTGTGTTGCGCCAGCGCTGTCTTTTTCAATCTTACGCGCGCGTCGATATATGCTCGAAAGCAGTCGCGGGATTACACCTCGTTCTTCCATCTTCTTCCCACCGCGCATCGTGTGCGTCTTTCCTGTGCCTGTGACTCCATATGCGAAAAGGGTAACATCGTAGCCTTTGAAAAGATGCTTGACGGTCGGCGCGACTGCATGAATGAGTAAGTGAGTGATAGAGGACGGCGATTGTACTGAATAGACGCGTTCCTACCTTCGCCATCGAACAAATTCGCCTGTGTTGCATTCTGATCGTAAACGCTGCTGAACTGGAAAGAATAAAGCTCCGCCTCGTTCTTTGGGTTTGGTATCCGGATGATGCTCTTCACTTCCGCGGAATCGGACTCATTTTCGGCGGCCGTGACGATAATGTCGCGTTCAATCTCCGCCTTCAGCAACGGACGTATCCTCGCTACCACTCTGATCGACATCTTGGTAGCTGCATGTAGGAAGAAACAGTCGAATGTCGTGAAGTGAAGATACTCTAGAATTCGGCGCACTGTCTCCGCGATCAATGCTAGCAGTGAATGGCGTTGCGCTCTCTTTAGGCGTGTCTCGTGCCCCCCGTTGTTTGGCGTGACGCTACTGGTGACAACTACGGCGTCTATGAAATTACCATGCCAAGCAGCGGTCGGGTAACGGGGAAATACATTGTGAATAAATATCGTTGACTATTCGACGTAATTATCATGCGCTCAGCATTAATCATAGTCTGACATCATGGGAGCTACATAACGCACTCCTCACCACGACCGCTGCGATCCATGTTTTTACGTTGCTGTTGTGGCTCGAGGCAGTTGCTATGACAACGCCGCAACTTGCGAATCAGCGAACGGGTGACTCAGCAGATGAGCGAGTTGATCGATGACTCAGCAGATCGGCATTTCCGCCTTCAAGGTAGACTTCACTTGTATGTGAAATTAAATAACAACGACAAGCATGTTTCGTTCCAGATGCTATGCGCAGGCTCCCTACAGAGAAAGAAGCTCGCGTTTGATTTTGCCAAAGTGTATCTCAATCGAGTAAATTAGGTCGTCTTGGATCTCCGCCGGCCTCGACAAACTCGCCCCTAGCCGGTAATCAGGCTCTTGAACCACAACCACTTTCTGAAACTTACTCGGGAGTCCGCCCTCGATGGTTTGAATGAGTACTTACAGCTTCATGAAGTATTGGAAACGATCTCACGAAGATCAAAAATATCACCCGGTAGATCGTGACGACAGCAGGCATGATCCCCTGCAAACTTCGAGATCGCTTCGCTGAGCAATCCAATTTCACCTTTCTTGCCTTTGTCTCAATTGCCTTTCTCACTGCTTCACTGGAGTCGCGGTGAGATCCTTGAATTGCTCCCAAGTACAAACACCTCGGAAAGTAACGGTCGAATCTTCAAGGTCTCCACAAAAACCATCCGTCTTCCGGATGGAATGATTGAATTTGAGCTTTCAAGCCTCTAGTCATGGACAATTTGGACTATATCTATCGTGACAACATTTGCATACTTTGAATTAGGTAGGCCTGCGACAGGTGTGAATTTACACGCAAACAAGGACGATTGTTCCCTCTAGGACCAGTCAATAGCACGCACGTCGCATAGCTGCTTCGCTCTCTGGTATCAGTCCAATTCCAGACCCCCTTCATTTTCGTTGTTCAGCTTGCGAATCGTGCGTCAAAGAATGAGCAGACAGCAGTACGTACTGCACTTATAAGTTTGAAAAGAACCCGAAAGGGAATTCATAAAAGAAAGCCGACTCCTACGTAGACCACCAGACGCGGTCACAAACAGAAGCTATTCTAGTTGCTCAACGCCTTTCACCACTTGCCCCACGGGACATGTGGTGAGTGAAGAGGTGTGGTTCCTCTTCGTATATAACAAGAGGTGACAGCTAGTACTTCAAGACCTTTACAAACGTCACCCGTGAAGTTCCGGAATGAAATCATCAAATTACAGCCTGGAAGCCTGCGTGTGCACGATGTGGGCCAGAGGTCTCATTGCTCTTAGGTATCACTTGAAGTCATGGCTGCGCCTCAACTACGTACAATACAGATGACCCCGAATCGGGTGCAAAATAAAACCGTAGTCTGCCATCCTCGACGCTGACATCCATGGGATTCTGCGTGAGCAAGACGCCCGAAGCACCGGTCAGGGTCACCGGAATCTCCGCAAGGGCCACCATATCTTCAACTCCGACGATAGCCAAACCACCAAGCCTGTTGGCAACGCCGGAACAAAGCATGACAGGCTTGTCGTTGTATACCCGGGCATGTCCGAGGAACTTGCAATCCTGGTAATCGACAAAGTAACTCGGGTTCCTGACGATGTCGTTAGGCGTCCGGAATCCACTGAAGACATTACGGTCCTGTCCGAATGACCACCAGAAAGGAAATCGACGTCGCCGTAGGTCGAAAATGCTCTCATTCCTCGAGCCCCAATTCAATGTGTACAGTCGATCCGTCTGAACATCGTGAACGATTCCTCCCAAATGATCATTATACCTGAGAACCGTCTCTGACCCCAGCGTCTCGGGATCGACTCTCATGACCTTTGCGCTGGAATTCGGTCTGTACTGCGCAATCGTCGCCCAAATGTACTTCCCGTCGTAGTCGATCCCGCCATTGTGATACTCGAGATCTCCAGGTTGCGAAAGCGTGACGTCCGCAATCCGATTGCCATTCCCACTGAAGACAGTCAATCGGCCATACCCTGTCCTAGACTCGTACTCAGTCGAGCTGACAATGTAGCGATCGGCGCCGAGTCGTACGATGCCCTCGGGCTCATAGCTGTCGCCCTGTAATGTGATGTTGGAGATGAATTTCCATGTCGTCGTTCGGCCAAGTCTTTGGAAATTTTCGATGATTTGATTCCCGTCGCTATCCGCATGTGAACGCGGGAGCGGGCTTGGAGCGAGAGGTGTGTCGTTGAATGTATGTCTTGTGATGTTCAGAGCTTGAGCGAACGGCGCGAGTTGCGCCAATGCGCATAGTAATATCACGCCGCCATATCTTGACTTCATTGCGACTGAATTCGTTCATGCAATGCTTCAATTTATTACATGTTCAAGTTTAGTCGTGCCGCGCTCCAATTGTCTCTTGTTTCTGCGCCAAGGACAGGCTTGGTTCTAAGCGAGAAATGCGGTCATCACATGAAACGCCACCATCGTGAAGCGGGCCCAAAATCTTGAGCGGAACTAATGCGTCCTCCTTCTAATGCACAAGTCCAAAGAACCCTTCCTCAATTCATGATGCAGGTTCAAGCTGCATCCCGACTTGGTAATGCACTTTAATATACATCTTGCAAACTGTTAGCGCCATGCCGCACCTTTTTCGCAATGTCCTTCCATGTAGTAGTGCGGCACGCAGTCCTGTCCCATGCTGCTGTTCAAACATTCGCCTGGACTCATACGCCAAAGAAACGCCATCGCTATCAAAATACAATCAATAAATCTGCTTCACGTGTTCATCTTTGGCTTCGACTTGGCATCCTTCTTTGCTTTCGCTTCCGCCTTCTTTTGCTTCTTTCGCTCCTCGAGCTTCTCTTCGTTCTTGCGCTTGAGATTGGCTTTTTCCTCCTCTGTTTTTTCTTTCGGCTTGAAGAACCCTTCTAGTCTAGACTGCTGACTCGACTTGACGTTCTTCTGTAGTCTCGCGGCACCGGCACGGACACGGTCCTCGCTGAATCCCTTCTCCTCGACCAGAAATTGGACTAGACCTGGGACATCCGGGCTCTCCCATTTGAAGTCACAATCAGGGTGATCCGCTTTGCGGACATCCGGCTCCAGGAATAATAGGCGGGCATCCTTGTATGGCCAGTCTTCTGGGAATGTGTATTTCTTAGTCTTCTCATTGTTCTCCACGATCGCTTCAAGGTTCTTGAATTCTTTGATCAGTCCAAGGGCGACTTTTGGACCGATACCTCGCACAGGGTCGACATAGTCGCATCCAAGCAAGATGCACAAATCGATGAATTGCTCGCGATCCATGTCCAGTCCCTCGAGCACACGGTCAAGGTGGATTTCTTGCAAAGGCTCGTCTTTGGCACGTGCTTCTGAGAATGTCAGGTGGCGCAAGAGAATCGGTGTGTCGAACGTCAATGTGTCCATATCCTCGGACGCCGCAGCGTATACTTTGCCAGCTCTTGCCAGGACAGCGCATTGTGCTTCGGCCTCCGTGGGGGCGATGATGAATGGGATTCCCATCAGCTTGAGCAGCCTTCGAGCTTCTTCGTTGTGTTCTCGGGTGACTCGGACTGTTCGCCGACTGAACTTCTCCACGTCTTCCGCCGTACCGGTCTCTTTCGCCTCTTCGTGTGACTCTTGTGCTTCTGACTTGCGCTGGAAACGCTTCGCAAGCTCGCCAGACTTCAGCTTTGGAGGCGCGCCATCGAAGACGTAGACAGGTTTGATTCCGTTGTCAACGATGCGGAGTGTACGGTAGAACATGCCCATAAGATGTGAGGTGGTTTCGCCAGTGTCAGACATGAGTTGCTCGCCATTACTTCGCACGGCGACCAAGAACGAGTACAATGACATGGAAGCATCGATGGCGACTTTGCGACCAAATTGAGTTTTGATGTCTCCTTCTTTGATGGCATCGGGACAATTCTAAAGGATGTCAGGATGTGCTTTCGAATTGATCGTGCGGCACCAATGTGTGACCTACATCTCGGATCACTTGGTATAATTCTACAACATGTCAGCAGATTATCTTAATCTCCAAGGACGACCTGACTTACGTTTGATACCCATGATTGCGGTTATGGTCTCTTTTGTGGCTCTTTCGAGGTCATGCGATTGGATTTGTCAGTATTTCACGTGTGCACGACAGCTGCTTTCAAGGTTACTTTGGCGGAGAACGCGAGATTGAAACGAGGGACGCGACGTGAATTACATCATCGTGGAGGGCACTCGTCATCACGTGATTTCATATCCCTCCCGCCCGAGGCACAATCCGCCTTCACATGGGCTGCAATGCTGCATAACGCAACGGCTCATGTCGTTCATTCGCTCGATCGTCTGGGGAACACTAGTATGACCCTTGCACGATGATGTTCGTTCATATCGCAGAATGCTTGGCTTGTGAATGTCTGTTACGAAATCGATGCCGGCTTGTATTCTAAGGTCGTCTTGAAAGCAAGCGAACGATGAATCCGTATGTCCGTGTCAGCGATGTCGGCTGGCGGCCGCTATTGGCCACTCGGACGGCGCTCAAGTAGCAGTCGCCTCTCTTAGCATAGAATATGCAGATCTCTTCACAATTCCTAGCAACAATTTCCACCAGCATCACACAAACATGTATAAGTTGGCTACATCACGAACCGCGAGACGGTGTCTCCAATTGCCTTCACGAACTGCCGCCATTGGCCGTCGCCATGCACACACTCCAGCTGCATTCAACTGGAAGGATCCTCTAGGAAGCAACAATTTGTTCACCGACGAGGAATTGGCCATTTCAGAGACTGCAGAATCATATTGTCAGGAGCGCATGCTCCCGCGGGTACTCGGTGCGCGAAGCCTGCCATTGAGCCATTGTAATCTCTGATCATGAGCTAATCGTTGTCACAGAGGCATTCCGAAACGAGAACTATGACAGGAAGATCCTCGAGGAGATGGGTGAGCTAGGTCTGCTGGGTGCAACTATCAAGGGCTATGGTTGTGCAGGTGTATCCTCTGTCGCCTCGGGATTGATCACACGAGCTGTTGAGCGGGTTGATTCAGGCTACCGTTCAGGCATGAGCGTACAATCATCATTGGTTATGGGTGGCATTGAAGAGCACGGAACACAGGAGCAAAAAGACAAATTCCTGCCCGAGATGGCAAAGGGAAAAGTGCTGGGATGCTTCGGTTTAACAGAGCCCAACCACGGTTCAGATCCTGGAAGCATGGAGAGCGTTGCAAAGCCACACCCGACCAAAGAGGGCTACTACAGCCTGTCTGGCGCAAAAACCTGGATCACCAACTCTCCCATCGCTGATGTCTTCTTGGTCTGGGCGAAACTTCAAGAGACTGGCAAGATTCGTGGATTCCTGGTTGAACGATCAAAGTGCCCTCCTGGTACCCTTGAGACTCCCAAGCTCGGCGACAAGAACGGTCTCCGTGCGTCCATCACTGGCATGATCCAAATGGACGGTGTTCCGGTTGCCAAGGAGATGATGTTCCCTGACGTCGAGGGTCTTCGTGGTCCATTCTCATGCTTGAACAGCGCACGTTATGGGATCGCTTGGGGTGTCATTGGCGCATTGGAGGACTGTATCGACCGTGCCCGAACCTATGCTTTGGAGCGCAAGCAGTTTAAGGGCAACCCCATCGCCAAGTACCAGCTTGTTCAGAAGAAGCTTGCTGACGCCTCCACGGATGCTGCATTCGGAATCCTCGCTGCTTACCAGGTTGGAAGGCTGAAGGATGAGGGCAAGGCTGCGCCAGAGATGATCTCTATGATCAAGCGGCAGAACTGCGATCGTGCCCTTGTCAATGCACGAACTCTGCAGGAGATCTTTGGAGGAAATGCGGCAAGTGACGAATATCACATTGGCCGACACGTGTCAAATTTGTTCGTCACCCAAACGTACGAAGGCCAGAGCGATATCCATGGTGAGTTGCATTCCCGTAAATTTGACTTGACCATCATTGACACGTGCTCCAGCTCTTATTCTTGGTCGGGCCATCACTGGTCTGCAAGCCTTTGTTTAAATAAAATCAATCGATCATTAATTGAGGACGTCCACATCTCGATGTATTGGCTTTGTGAGCCTTCACAATGTTTTGTCTCATCACATGCCGTTCAAATTCATGGGCGTGATGTTCACTGGCCCCACACGCTTATGCATCAGAAGTGAACTAGGCGTTTTGCGCGATCTCCTTCGCAGAGGAGTGACTGCCGTTTTTCTGATGTGTTGACCGGGATATCGATTTGGTGGACCCTGACGATCTAAGAATAGCGGAATTCCCACAAGGTCTCGTGACTCCTTGTTGTGATGGACACAACATCGTGAGGATTTCGTGTCCATAGTTGTTCGAATGCGCGAATGCGCTCAAATAATTTCACAGTCTTCCAAAGCAATCCAGTATGTTCGATGATGTGTGAAGTCATCACGGTGTATGTGATATAATACTGTAGCCGCCGCTCCTGGGCATCCCTCGTGGCGAAGCGGGCCCCACATGCGGGCCGCTTCGACTGCGATACGCAACTCAAGACTCCAACATTAGGCCTGTGTTCTTTTCATCATATCTTCACAACCAAATATCGCTCGACGATAGCACGCCCGTACTCCGAACAAGAACACTTACACCAGACCACACATCACAAAACTCACGGTCGCCATGGCTCTTAAGCGCATTAACAGTGGGTTCCGCTCTACCCCGCCGCGGGCACCATACGATATACTGACAAATGACTACAGAGGAACTTGCAGACCTCGGCCGGTAATGAAACCTTCTCGGGCGACTCACTTCTGGAACATCATGCTCACGGATGTACAGCGACCCACCCTCCTCCTGCAGCGCTGGTCCGGTCGGCGATGATTTGGTACGTTTTCAGCCTCAGCCCGCTGCGCAGTTTGCGAGAGCCGCCAGAATCCAGTCGCAAGAAGAGATGGACACGGAGGAGGACTCGGTGCTCTGAGCTTATCGTCAGCGATCAAGAGTTAGGAGACTTGCTGTGCTCTCGAACTTTTCCCGCACGGCGGCAAAGATAGCAGAACTGCGGCTGACATACCTTTTCTCGCAGTTCCACTGGCAGGCCACCATCATGGGACCTGCTGACTCTCCATACTCTGGCGGCGTTTTCTTCCTAGCAATTCACTTCCCGACTGGTATGCGCGATGACGTCCCACTAGACAACAGCCAGTGCTGAGATTCCGTCCAGATTACCCGTTCAAGCCGCCGAAAGTCAACTTCACGACTCGAGTATACCACCCGAACATCAACAGCAACGGCAGCATCTGTCTCGACATTCTCCGTGACCAGTGGAGTCCTGCCCTGACCATCTCGAAAGGTGCGAAACCTAAGAACTTTCCATCAAATTTCAAAACTCGGATTTCGACATCGCCGTCCTTTACTGACACTCATCCACAGTTCTCTTGTCCATTTGTTCGCTTCTTACAGATGCGAACCCTGCGGATCCCCTGGTTCCTGAGATTGCGCACCTGTACAAGACCGACCAGCCGAAGTTCGAGGCGACGGCCCGTGAGTGGACGCGCAAGTACGCCATCTAGGCGAGATGAAGGATAGCGAACAGCAGCATGATCATGTTTGCCGCCAGCGAAAGTTCAAAGATGTGGAAAGAGTAACGTTCGTGGAGATGTTTCTATGGACTATCAAAGGAGCATTGACGGACTTGTTCTGGAGATCACGAATGCATACTTTTACGATGGCCATGAAGTTCAGAAGATGAGCAGAGTTGTTTGTTCTACATCCGTTCTCAAGCGGGAGATGAATGTCAGATGCTGGAACCGTTCCATCAGGCCTCTCTCACGTCCACGTGGGCTATCACTCGCTAGTGCATGCGGTGCCGAATGATTTCCATCTTACCGCACGTTTGTGAACGCATTCCGGTCCTCAACTTGACATCGCAGCCGATGCCCATGCGCTCCTTGTCTTGACTAATCAACCTTATCCGAGTGCCATGAGTCATACTTACACTGATCACCCCTGGCAGAAGCCTTCGACGCCTGCACGAGCTCCGCCCAACGTATCGCAGGCGACAGACGGGTGTATCGCATGGCTCGTGTGCTCGTATTCAGATACAACGCTGGCGATGAACAGTTGGCTCACGCCTGCTGTTCACTGTCGCAACAAATGAGCGAGCGTAGCCCCATCCTAGGTCATACGATTGACCCCTAGTAGATACCATGCCCGGGTGCAACTTTTTATAGCACGAGTCGCTCTTCGTAATCTCTCCAACGCCAGCAACGATATCCCCACTCAACGAGGGCCTTCCATTCCCAACTTCTTGTAAGATATCGTTCGATCGCAGATGGTGGGATTCTTGCACATCGGACATGTTTCTGAAAGTCACGCCCGCAGCAAGCGCCTTCTTGTCAGCGATCACATGCTAGGACTAACATCGCCTATCGATATCACTGGTTCGATGTGCAGTGATGTCACGGGCAGAGTGTGAGCTTGTTTCACTAGGTACAAAGCGGAGCATAAAAGCTAACCCGGGAGTGACAAATGCCCACTTCGAGATGTAAGGTTGGGAAGGTACCTAGGTAAGATTTGTGAAGCACCGAGATGTCTTCAAGCCTCACAGCAGGTGATACTCGTCGCTTTTCGTCGCTTTCTCAAATGCCGCATCACATGGTTCTCACCGCACGGTGATTCTCGACCGTCGCTCCACATGAGCAAAGTCGCGGCAAGCAGCGCAGAATAGGAAGATCCGAGGCACGTACAGTAGCAATCATCCAAACAGTCAAACCGGAGATGCTGAGAGAAGCAGGTCCCATTACAGCTCCACTAGGGGCGAGAAATGACAAGAAATCACCCATCAAGATTCCCGAAGCAACAGATGCAACGAACAGCCTCAGCCTCAGCCTCAAGCACATTTGCAGCACTAGTCGTCGACTTGGACGACGACATGGTCGACAGTAAGGAACCCGACAACGAAAACCTCGATGAACTTCTGCAAACAGATGAGGATCGCGACTTGCAAGGAACGATGCCCCCGCAGCTCCCTCAAGATAACATTATTTCGGCTCCAGACGCTCAAGATCCAGTTCAAACCATTGAATCTGACCTGAGCTCCTCGGGAGAACACGAGGACGTTGAGATCACCGCCACCACTACACTGCCGCCGATTGCTCCTCAAATTTCAGACAAGCCGGGCATCAAAGCGGAGCCGCAAGAGCCCGAGCCGGGTCACATCGACGACGGCAATGACAACAAAGTTGGTGTGATACATGTGATCGAGAATTTCAAGCGCACGGCCGATGCCCAAAAATGGGCCAAGAACATGGATCCCGATTGGAAATTCCGCAAAGCTGGAACCAAGAAGAAAGACTTCGAAAAGGCGTTCATGGCAGAGCTGGCAAAGCGGAAGGTCCTCTGGGTACATCGGAGTGAAATGCCCAAAAGGAAGGATCTGGGAAAGACCGATTGGAAAAAGTTGTCCAGTATTCATCTGGGCCCAGGAGATAGCGTTCGCCAGGATAGTGTCATGGAGGACTAGCTAAGCTGCTTGGAACGGATGGATAGTTTGGATTTGGTTTCGGACGGAGCTTATTTATCAGATTGAAAGTGTGGCGATTTTCGAAAAGTTTGTGCGTTTTACATTTTCGTTCAACCGACATGCAGATCCTTTGAGTGTGAATAAGCAGACAGGCGATGAGATAATTATCAATGTAACAGAAAGTTGAGTCTGTTTACTCGGCCCGGCGATGACATGAGTGTTTGTCGACAATAGAAAATCTCTCGAAAAATCTTCGGAAAAATCTTCGTCTCAACCGGATATTGTTGATGCATCTGTTGCTCGACCCTCCTCGTTTCAAACCCTTCTTTCTTGTAACACAACACTCCCCTTCACTGCCGCATCTCTATCCTTGCAACGAGATGTCCACACTTGCGACAACATCTCCGTACCACAAGCACAAGTGATATCCGCCATCCTCCTGATCGATTTCTTTAGTCAGCATATGGATGCTCAACGTGCTCAGTCAGCATCTTGCCCATCAGATTGGGGGAGCTTATGTATTCATCTCTACATACGGCGCGGTCGCGTGGCAGTGCTACGATATCCGAACTACAGTAGTGCTCGTGGTCTTCAAATTGCGGCTTCACTTCCATGCACGGGTTCCCCCCAATATTCCGAGTCTGTTCCACTATATGGGCATTTGAGATCAAGATGTTCGGCCGCTGCGGCTTCCATGTAAGCTTGCTCGCCTGCAGCTGAATGATAACTTCCCGCGAAGCCAAACTCAACCGCACTACAGATATCGACCATAAATCATCAGCAATTGTCAACAACGATCGTGAATGTGATGCTGCTCACGATGAGGGCACGTCGTCGTCATGACAACTCAGTAGAGCACGAATATGCTTTTGAGCACCCTCCTGGCTTTCAACTTATAGATGAAAGATGGACTTCGCTTCGCCCCAGACATGACCAGTTCTGCTGTAGTATGACGCCTTGTCATAAGTAGAAAGAGGTGCCCACCAATACCCCCCAGCTGTTGACACGCCGACGTATAGCCCGTTGCGTGGGATGGGACTGTGAGGAACCGCGACTGTGGGATTGTGAACAAAGTCAATGTAGACCACACGGCATTTGGTTTGTTCATCTGTGACTGCTGGCATCTGCTGTAGCCGTTGAAACTTGATGGGACCGCCACCAATTAATATCTTGGCTGCACATGTAGTGTACTTGCCCACGAACTCGAGTAGTTGGTGAAGGCCATGTCTGGATTCACCGTCAGCACATCGAAGCGTGTATGTCGTAATGTACGTACCGGTCAAAGGCTGCCGCCAATCGTGGGTTGAAAACCTTCTTGCCGCCCACAGGGTGCACCCTGTTCTTTTGCTCTTCCCATTGCCTCAAACGTATTTCGCCATTACGGTGAACGATGGGTTCGAAATTCACAATAGCTTGCTCCTCTGATTACTGGCCAATTTCATGGAATTCATGGTCTGGCCCGGCACGAAGGTGTAAATATTGAAGAGCATTGACATCATAACGCGCACGACCATGACTGTACCAAAGGTGGCGATCAAGCGACGAGATGGGTATGAGATGGCCAACGAGGCCTGATCGTGCGTCGCCTGCGAGTATACCAGTCAGAGCTTCATGACTGATAGGACTTTCCTCCTCCACGTCGAACGCATCTTGGACAGCAAAGCGTGGTGTTCGTTGTGATAGCGAGGGAGATGGAATGGATGGAAATGCATTCTTTTCCAATGGATGTCGTGACAGGTGAAATGAGGGTGGCGACCCTGGTGATGGAATGACTGGTGTGAGCGCCTGTACCAAGTCAATTCCCGGAGGTTGCTTGGAGAATTTGTCGAGCAAAGGCTCAATTCGTGCTTGTGAAGTGCATCTATTTGATGAAATTGATGTATCGTCAACTGCAAAGCTGTTCGATGCCGAAGTCTTGGCGGTCGTTGGATATTGATATACGATTGCTGAAGATGCGAACAGACTGGCACTGTTTTCAGGAGTGAGCAAATGACGGAACGACGACCGCGGTGGCAATCGAAAGGCTGGGCGTGCCTCGAGGCTTGATTGTACATCCGCAGACTATGCGGCGTTGTCATCATCGCTCTTTTGCTTCTTTCTTGAAGGGCCATCCTCATCATCTGCAATCATGCCGAGTGTATCACAAGAGCCTTTGGTTGGGCACACGTTCGTCGACAGCCATGACATGAGAGATCTTCCGGATGCTGCATCCGCCCTGTTCGTTGACCAATCCATATTGGTTTGAGATGCAACTTATATGGTGATGTGACGATTCGCGAGGACAAGATAGATGCGGGCCACCAAGCCAAGCTGTAAGTACAGCAAGTACGTGTGGGAGACCATCACGCCTCATGTCGCGTCTGCCTGGAGCTGGAATGCATCTGCGGAAGGCACGCGTCCACACCGGGGCAGCTAGGTAGACACGTGACGGCTTACTCACTCACCCTCCGTCGAGGCTCTACTCAAGTATGCAGATTGGGCGAGGTGCGTAAAATATTAGGTTGAATCTGCGGGAACAACATATGTCTTACTCATCGGATACCAATTAGGTGCCTAGGTGTGTGAATTTTTTGGACAGTCATACGAATGCACGTCTGCACCGGCCTCTTGATGCGAAGGAACTGGAGTGCAATCATAGATAGACCACGTGATGCCGCGGCAAAAGGGAACAACGCTAAGAACTGACAAGGGCGCACTTGAGTGTGGATTTCTCCGCTGGTAGTGCGTTGATTTGCGAAACCAAAGCACGAATTTCACGGGCGCGAATATAGACGGATCGAAAAGGAATTGAGAGTGAGAAAGAATAACATTCGTTGGAGAAGAAGTATTAAAAGATTGTGTATATCAGCCCGTGATTCATCATCAGCTCGTCCACCGACCAGCGGGCCGAAGCGCGGCCCGAATTTTGTGTTTTCGGAGATCGCTCCGAAAGCCGAGTCGCAATCCAAAAAGAAAATGTCTGGAAGCCGCAACAAATGTTGCAAGCGTCGAACGAAAGAACGGAAGATGTAGCGTGAGTTTCCAAGTCAATACGAGACTCTTCGTAAACGATCCAAGTTGAGACCTGGCGTTTAGTAGTACTTGGGGTTCTTCTCGTCGGTCAAGTCGAAGATGACGACGGAGTGGGGCTATGGAATGGTCAGCATGATGTCTTTGAGAGTAGGGAAACGTCTGGGAACTAACCTTAGCACCGTTGCGGTAGCCTCCGGGACCGCCCTGGCCGAATTGCTGAGAGAAGTTGATCGAGCGGTTGAAGGAGAGCGATCCATCGTGGTTGATGTCGATCCACAAACCCTTGTAGTCACCGACAGTGTTGAGGTTACCAATCTGGCCAGTCTCGACGAAGTAGTCGGTCACAGCAAGGTTCTTCTGGTCAGGGGAGACCTTGACGTAGTGAGGACCGACAATGGGCTGCTGCTCATTGGGGTCATCAAGACGCTTGACGTTGTGGAGGTCGGAGATGTCGAGCTGGGCGATGTGGTTGCTGGTGGTGCAGGTGAAGTAGGCGAAGCGACCGTCCTGGGTGATGTCGGAGTAGATGGCAACGTTGTCCTGGAAGCGCTCGCCGAGGGAGTAGAGGAGCTTGGCCTTTCCGGGCTTTCCATTCTCGTCGTTCTCGAATGGGTAGATGGCCCATACCTCACCGGTGTGGACTGCGGTGGCAATGGCGACGTGGTCCTTGTTGCCAGGGATGAACTTCACGTCCTGGATACCGCCACCGTTGGGGATGGTGATGGTGTTGATGATGGTCTTGCTGTGGTAGTCCCAGAGACGGAGAGTGTTGGCGTGGAGGATGACGGGAAAGGGCTTGAGGACGGTGGCGGGGACGACGAAGTCAGAGGTCAAGATGAGGTTGGCCTCGAAGTCGATGGAGAGACCGTGAGGAGAGAACTGCTCGCCAAGGATGTTAAGGAGACCAGGGACATCCTCGGGGTACTCGTGGACAATGTCGTAGTTGGCATCGACCTCAACGAGACGGCCGGGGGAGGTACCGACGGCGGAACCCATGTAGGTGATGAGGAAACCACCGTTGGGGAGAGCGCGAACCTCATCAGCGATGGAGCTGAAGAGACCACGGTTGCTCTTCTTGAAGACGGGCTCGTATGGGTCAGAGACATCGAAGAAGAAACCGGTGTCCTGGGTCTTCAAGAGGGAGAGAAGACCACCACCCCAGATGGTCTTGCCGTCGGCGGAAGGACCAGAGTGGTGAGGAGAGTTGCCGGAGGTGGGAACCTCAGCAATGCGGAGGAGGGTTCCGAAGGTGTCATCGTCAAGGGAGTAGGAGACGAGGAAGTCGGCGTGCTGGTTGTCACCTGAGGCAGTCCAGTAGTATCCGATCTTCTTGGGGCGGATGTTGCTGGGGGTGTAGGCCGGAGCCGGGAGGGCAGGTGTGGGAATCTGAAGAATGGGCAGAGGGAAGGCCGCCTTGTTCAACAGCTCGGTCACACCGGGGATCTTGGGGATGAGCGGAGGCAGGGAGTATGCCGACGAGAGTTGGGCGAAGGCCAAGATGGCGCTCGCGCCGAAGCTGAGCTTGGAGAAAGACATTTTGAAAAAAAGTTGCTGAAAAGCGAAAGAGTGTGAGAGAATGTGAGGCTGCGAACTCTGAAGAAGATGTTGTTGCTGCTGGAGAAAAGATTGAATGTTCGGATGTTGTCGAGACTTATATATTCTTTGGCCGTAGTACATTCATCCCATCGTTTGAAACCGAAACCGTCGACATGATTGCCTCTCGTCTTGCGTGATCTCGAAATCTGAGTACGACTTCGATGCGATATTCGGGCGCATGGACCTCGTTGCCTCTGCCTTTGAGAACTTGGAGCTAACAAACGAGAATTGTTGCATAATGCAATGCAGCCTCATTCCTTGCCAAGCAACATCCCAGGATGTTGAAGAGCCTGCACTCGCTGATCAGTGGCGTGCTGTAGGAGCCGTTGTTGAAGGGAGGTATCGCCAACGGTCATTTGGACGAAATGCTTGTCGCCTCCTGTCGCTTAAGCTTTGCACTCAACCGCGCAGCATCCTGGCACAGACCACCAGACTTCCCCGACAAGCAAGATTCCTGTGAAGCATTGTGCTTGTATGTCTCAACTATGTTGAAGTCCGAGATAACCATCCAGACTTGGTGTGTCCTTGAACACCAACACCAACACCACAGGCAAAGGTTTTCCCTCCTCATCTGCAGTTTGTACAACTCAGGTCGGGTCGGTACACTGTTCGAAGACCGTTCGGCAGTAGAACCTGTCTGCTCACATGGGAAGCGTTCATGCAGGAAACGCTTAGAGCATGTCTGCTTAGGTTCGCTTAGACATAGCCTCAAGTATGGCTCTAGGTACGAGTTGCTCGTCTCGTGTGCGTGCCGAGCTGTACTCTCCGTAGACGATGCCGATCATTTCGAGGACCCCTTGAGTGCTCCTCGGCAGCGGCCGAGGCATATGATCGTTAATGGGAACGACATGTCTGCAGCTTCTCGACAAGACAATTTTCCGTAGCCGAATGCATCTTTCTAGCGCACATGTTGGCTCGACAAGCTTGCTATCGAAATTGGATCTTGCTTGAGCCACTTTGGCTTGTCGTTGTGTCGTCTTGTCCTTCCATTGGTTAGGTTCATCGTCCAACGTCCGTCTGACTGGTCACAACATCTGTATGTCGATTGATGATCGACAATGTATTACCCAAGGCAGTATCGCGTTGGTCAACAAGCGTAAATGTCGACATTCTTCAATATACCAATCTGAGTTGCGCCAGATTAGCGTCTGACATGTGGTGTGTATCCTGTACAATTAGCCGCCTGTTTAGCTCAATGCCAAGTAAGCTTACCGGACGCCCTGAGCCTCCTTCGGGCTAAACTGCAAATCTGACGGCCAATCCAAACAATTTTATGACCGGATTCAACCTAGCGGCCGATATAACAGCAATGGCGCGATTTTGCATCTTCACCACGTCTTACTGCCCATGTACCAGGGAATGCAGAACCTCACATATTTTCATCGACAATGGAGATTTGCCACCGACTAGCAACAACGGGGACAAATCGACTACGGCTTTCAACCAGCGAAACCTACCTTTGACAGCTTTGGGTGCCTTTCTGACCGTTGAAGGTACAAGTCTTGGCTTTCTGATGCCATCCGCGCTAGCCCGATCGGCATGCACGCGTCCAAGCACCGTCAATGTCAGAGTATGAAACTACAGTGATCACGTCTCCTGGCGCGAACCGCTGCACAACGATCTTCTCCCGCTCGTGGCAAGGAGTTCGTCCCGTCTCTTCTCATTTGGGAAGCGAGATATTGGGCGATAGAAATCCTAGAGAGATTGGCGTTCCATGTCGCAAAGGCTTGTAACGCGGCACGCCATGTGAGAAGACTCGCACGGCACACGCGACAGCGTGTATAAGTAGGCAGTGAGGTCGTCGATGTCTCGTCCTTAGACGAACCTTTCATTCCTGTAGTATTCGATTAGTTCTCACCATGAAGTCATTCATTCTCACCTGCTGCGCCTTGGCGCTCGCCGAAGCTGTATCTGCCAGCCCTGTCGCCTCCCCGGCTCTCCCGTCGAAGCCGCAATCGAAGCATTTGCGTTACGAGCGTACCGTCAGCGGTTCTTTCGCAGACGGGCAGCCAGACAATGGCAAAGGAAAAGGCGGACCTCTGCTCGGTGAGCAAAATTTGGTGATGGTGTAAATCGCATCTCGGCTGATGATTTTGCAGGCGGCACAAACAAATACCTCGACAAGACTAACCCCGCCAACTTGGGTCAGGAGCCGACTGACAGTGGATCCGTCGTAAATCTGAAATGGAGCTTCTCTGACTCCAAGACTCGTCTTTTGAACGGTGGATGGACTCGCCAGCAGGTTGTCACCGACTTGCCCGCTAGCCATGACATTGCCGCTGCGCAGCAGCACTTGAAGAAGGGCGCGATCCGTGAGATGCACTGGCACCGCGTTTCCGAGTGGGGATACGTCTATGCTGGTCGCATCCTCTTTACCGGTGTTGACGAGCACGGTCGCAACCAGGCCAGTGTCTTGCACCCCGGCGACATCTGGTACATCCCCAAGGGAGGAGCGCACTCTGTGCAAGGTCTTGATGATGAGAACGAGTTCCTGCGTAAGTCTTCCCATCTTTCACCGAGTTCTCAGAAAGCTCGATTTTCGCATGCGTTGCTCGACGATCTTGTTGCTAACTGATTGACTCAGTCGCTTTCGACGATGGTAACTTCGACTCCGCCGGAACCACCTTCATGGTTGATGACTGGATTGCCCACACCCCGAAGGACATCATCCTCCGCAACTTCGGCTTGCCCGCCAACTCCACTGCATTCGACAAGGTCCCATCCCCGAACCCGTACATCACCAACGCCACCGTTGGAGACATCACCATCGACTCTCCATTCGGCTCCCTCGAGGACTCCACTGATTCGTGGGTCTACTACGGCAGCAAGGTTGCCCCGACCCACGAGATCCCCGGCGGTGGAAATGTGCGCATCATCGACTCCCACAACTTCCCGATCGCCAAGACCATCGCCACATCGATTGTCACCTTGAAGCCCGGTGCGCTTCGTGAGCTCCACTGGCACCCCAACGCCGAGGAATGGTTGTTCTTCTCCCAGGGAACCGCTCGCGTCAGCGTCTTCATGGGAGGTGCGGCTGCCAGGACCTTCGACTTCACTGCCGGTGACACTGCCGTCATGCCTGACAACAGCGGCCACTACGTCGAGAACACCGGTGATGAGGATTTGGTCTGGATCGAGCTGTACAAGAGCGACCGTGTTGCGGATATCAGTTTGACCCAGTGGCTGGCTTTGACTCCGGTCGAGCTTGTGTCCCAGATCTTGAAGGTCGATGCGAGCGTGGTTGCCAACCTGAAGAAGGAGAAGCAGCTCATCCTTCCTGCGGTTTCCAACTAAGGAGGCGGATTAGTACTATCAGTGCAAAACAACGTCCTGTGAGGGACGACAACATTGGCCTTGACGACTTGAAGTCGCCAGGCTGCAATCATTCTATTCATTTTTCGTTGGGCTCGAAATTCTGTCAATCGGACCACAGAGTCCAATGCTTCGACATTTCTATATACTTATATATTCTGCTAATGCTTTCACGTTCATGTCCAAATGTCCACCACGGTGCGCGGGATTGAGCGAGTTTCATTGCGCAATGCGCACATTTAATCTGCAAATGGAGGCCGCGTACACGAATCCGGAAGAAGGGTGCCGTTGATGAGCATGTATTCGGGTGTCAGTACGCATTTAGCGGAGAAACGAGTCGGAATCCCGCATGGAGACCCCCACGATGACGCCTCGTCCATTCGAACGCGTGGCATTCTTCAGTAGACATGGACATTCCCATGAACCTCATTGGATGGACAGAAATGTACAACGTGTTGCCATGAGCCGCCGATCCCGTTCATTGACCAGATATGCGTTGCGCTGCGATCTGTTTTCACACGAGAGAGGGCCCGAATGTTATCGATCCGCTGTGTGAAGGCTCAGCTCACAAGTCTGGTTGCCAGGCACGCCAGGTACAGTAATTGAGGCACCTCGGCCCGCGCTGCTTTTCATTGGATGTGCATTGAGCAAGTTTAGGCGGTCCAGCATGAAAACGGCTGTGAGCTTCACGCCCATCGTACATACATCTTAGGTGCCCAGGTGGGCTTAAGTGAGCAAATATACACTTCTGAGGTATGCTATCAAGGTTGGCGCCGCTGCAGACGTCAACCTCAGAGGTGGGCATGTGAAGACCATTCAAGGTCATCCTTCGATCGCGCTCTTCGAATGCAGGCTTCCACGACATGCATACAATTCGAAACACTTCAGAGGTACTTTGGGTGAGAAGGTTCGGGGTCACGAAGTAGCTGTGATGAGGATGTGCTGCGCTATCGCGCAATGCGGTTGTTGTCGCGCGCTGCATCCGTGGACCGCCGATCCTGGAAGTCTTTCATGGTTCGCATGAAATGCTACAGCAGGTAGCGCAGGATCCATCGTGCAGGTAGTGGAGAAGTACAGTGCTGCTGCACGATATATGTTTTCCAATAGACCAGATTTCCACGTGGTGATGTGCAGCGAGCGCGACAATCGCGGCGTCCCTTCCATGGCTCGGTGCGGTGCCGGAAATCCACCGGCAAACCCTGTTGGTTGTTCCTAAATGCCCAGATGGCGATGGAGATTCCTGGCATAAACGAATGACGTGCAGGGCTCTACCCACTCATCGTCGCGAACAGATATACATATACCTAGGTGTACTCTTTGGATGTCCCAGGTGGGCTTCAGATCTCCTTGGGTGCCCGTGGAGTCGGCTTGGACATCATGTTCGTCTGACTATAACTTATTATTACATGCGATAATGTCGCACCTCACTGTACACCTGGGCATGTATGATCATCCAGTCCAACATATGATGCTGCTCACCGTGAAGAAACCAACCTTGGAATGAATACATTGTGACCGGGACATGATGAAGCTGTGGGTAGTGGGTTGGAAAGCCTTACCCAAACCCTACCATGATCCACGTATAACCCTACCACGACAGGAGGACGAAGCGCGCAGGCCATAAGGAACACATCCATGTCATATGAATTGCAGCGATATCCACGACGGCATTACGCATCACCAACAAAATGATGAGCTGCAGTGAAAAGCGCACATCTAGGCCAACAAAGCTCCGCAATCGTCGTGTCACGGTGATGTCTGGGTGTGGAATCTATCCAAGTTGGAATCTATCTGTCATCTAGACCAAGCGGCATATATTCGTCGTCAAACTTCACCCATCAAGTTGAAGTCGAGGTTTTCATGGAGCAGTCATATCGGAGGGATCAAACAGAAGCACGTCGCCTCAGGTCTGCCTTAGCGAACGTCTCATCAGTGTGATTCCCACCGGGCAATCCTCCCTCCTCGCCTTCATCGTCATCATTAGGCAGCGGTCGCGGTCGCCAATTGCCTGTCATATAAGTCTTGACTTTGCAGGGCTTGCCCACATTCTGGCATACAGTCGTTCGACCGAGATTCTTGAATTTGGGACCCAGCGGTCCATTGACGTAATGGTACTGTCCTGCAAGACGGTATTGTCGCGGGTCGCCAAGTTTGTAGTACTTTTCTCCCCAATGACCAGTGAAGTCAAACCATCCAGTCGGCGAACGCGGATTCAGCAGACTTGCGCGTAGAGTCTGGTTTGCAGGATCATAGGTGTACGATTGCAAATTGAGAGTGGGATCCCAGAGAGGCCCGCGGTCTGTCTCGTCGTGCAGCAGGCCGAAGGGAAGGATGTATGGATGTAGACCAGGCGTGCCATACATAGCGTGCGATCCGATCGCGCTGTACACCACCGGGCGTTTGGCAATGGCGCTGGCGGTTTTGTTGCTCCATGTACCGATCATGGTGCCAGATCCGTCCATTGCCGGAATGTACTTCTCTATGGCATTCCAAGTATAGGCATCGCCGAAATCATGTTCGCTTAGGAATACCTGAATAGGTTGACCGTTTTGAAAACGAACGGCGGTGTGCTCCCAGTCACCGAGGTGATTACCAAAACGGATGTCGAAGACCTTCTCGCCGAGATTGAAGGAGTAGAAAAAGAACCAGAACGCGTCGACGATGCCATCTTCCTTGGGCACGACAACCAGAAACGCTGGAGCAGAGCTGTGGCCACCATTATGAGGATTGGCACGTCGTGTAGACGATCGCTTCCTCAAATCCTGCTTTGGGCCTCGGGGTGGCGCATAAGGGCTGTAGCATGTGCCGGCCAGCGGATCACATGGGTCTGCACAGTATGCTTCATTATTGCCACACCATCCATAGATCGAACAGCAAGGACCAAAGCGACTGCCAGTGCATGTGAAACCACTATTACCACCGCATCGCCCGTCCTGACTAGCGACACGCTCAGCAATATGGTGGCCTTTCCCCTCTGGCGCGTCTAAGTCTCGGTGATCTTCGGGAGTGCGGGCTTCATCCTCTGTTTCCGGTGACGCCGGCCACGGTGCAGCGCCGTCCTTCTCGGCGATGTCTGGGATGTTATGTGCGCTGACCAACCAGTCTGGTCGCTCTTCTACGTTGTCGTTACTTTTCAGATACATGTATCGGCCATATTCCGCGCCTCTATAATCGTTGAGTTCTCGTAGGTTGGAGAGATTTTGTTGTTGTCCAAAATTCGCAATGTGCGTGTAATTGACAGAGGCTGTCGTATGCTCCAGGTGCTCTGCCAGATCTGTTGGCCAAAATTCCTCACGCGAAAAGAGATGAACGTAAGGCGCATAATCCAAGACATATTGGGGTATCTCTCGCAGCTTCTTCTCTTCCCGCGACCATGAGTCCGGATCCTCTTCAGACGAATTCCAATATCGACTGAAGTCACGATCAATCGGGGCCACTCTATCTTTGTGATGAGACCAGGTCCAGCCTGCAGTGTTCACCATGTGGAAAAGGCCACAGACTCCAAACCACCGGCACATCTCCCGATCCGCCCAGAACTTCCCGGTCGCGATCCATTGTAGGTTCTCCGTCAATTCCGACGATGGCGCATTCTTGGTGATCTGTACGCCGATTAGGGTGAAGAGTATGTACACAATCGCGACGATGCAAAAGGCATAGAACCAGCTCCGACCGGCGCGCTGCATGGGCTCTACTTGTGGCTGATCGAGGACGTATTCAAGAGGTAGAGTTTCAAAGAGGACCGGATAGTGCTGGTCTCTTCAAGGCCAAGTATGCAAAGGTGAAATATGCATGCGCGCTGCGCAATGTGTAATGTGATGTAGGAAGAGTCCAAAAGAAAATGCGGGTATAGCTGGACGCTGCGATGCTAATGTTGAGCAGGGTCGTAAGAGAGCATTGAGGTGTTGCTGTAACAAGTCCTATGATGACGATGTTTTGCCGAATCTTTCGGTATATTTCGCGACAAGCTAATCTAGATGGTGATATGGAAGCAACCAAAGCTCCGGACCGCAAGCGCTATGGCAACATAAAATTGAGAGAATGAGGCGGAATATGTCCAATGTCAGCTACGTGAGGACTGCGCCCCGTCTGCTAAACGATTGCAAAAGAAGTGACGAGCGTTATATAACAAGTACCTAGGTAAGTCATAGGAATAGGAAGCATCACAACTGTGCCTGAATTGCCGTCCAAGGTCCCGTGGCCACTTGAGCCCTTCAGCTATTTTGGGGAAGCGCGGATCCGGCGGCATGCGACGAGAACCCTCTTCCCCATCAGCCGACCAATTTTGGCACCTGCAGTATCAGAATCGGCGCCGCAGGATGATATCAACTATCCGGCGCTCCAGCTAGCAGCATCACTGCATATAGCTTAAGGTATATTGCAGGTGAAAAAGCTTCGAGGACTCTGTCATCGCATATGGCTCAGTCATCTCGGTACCGTCCCGATGGTGATCCAGGCTGAAAGCATGGCCACAGACGAATGGGAATATGAATATGACCCAAATGAGACAGAAGATTGCTACATCACACTGGACCTGACGACATACGTTCCTGATGCACTAGCAACCAAGTCAAACACAAGAACAGCCAAGCAACCTACATCCATTGACAATGATAAAACACCCCAATCAGAAAACGATGCTGCGCCAACCTCAGTAGGCAAGTTGGAGATTGCAGATTTACATACCCGCCAACCATTCATCAAATTCAATGACCGGATGTATCATGGCACATGGAGTACCGATTACGGAAGCCAAGTTTACGTAGCAAACCCAGGCGCTGTTCAAGATCCAGTGTTGGCGGGCAACATGCTGGACATCGTCGGTGTTTCTCGCGCGAGAATAGTTGCAACGCCGGCAAGGCTTCGCGGAGAACAGAAGTCGGCCACTCAGCACGATGTCCTCGAAGATGAAAATCTAGAGATGAGTGCACATAGCGAAGAGATCGGCTCTGGTGAACTCACAGATGAGCACACGATATCGCAGACCACGAAACAGCGAAAGACACCCCTCTCAGAGAGACCTCAAACTGGGAACGGATCGCAGGCTGCCTCATTCCTGCAACGCCTGACTCGAATCAAACAGCAAAAGGGCGAGAAAGATCCTGTACCATTATATGGTGTCAAAATTTACAATGCTCCTTCACCCGAAGCGCAACAGGCTATCCGAGATGCCGCGCTGCAAAACGATGCAGAACAAGTAGGCCGAGCTTCAGATTTCCCGCCAGCGAGACGAAGACGTTATCCGCGCGAGAACCAAGCGTTCACAACAGATGCCAGAAGCGCAACATCAACAGCTGTTACGGGTCTAAAGTCGTCCACTACTATCAGGGGCCGGCCATCCAGGGACGCGATCGTCCAAAGTCTAGGATTTCGAGACATGGGGACAGCCGACTCCGAGAACAGCCTAGATGTTCAAGTCCTATCGACTGACGACGAAGTCGACGATGATGATGGCGATGATGAATATGAAGGCGTTTGACGGTCATGATCATTGCCTGGCGGAATGAGATGGAGATGTAATAATTATTGTAATGCAGCGAGGCCAATATCGAGAATCCTACATTGCCTGCAAGGCTCGTGTCATTGTCGCGCCTCTCGCACTTCCATGACTCGTGAAAAGACACGTGGGGTCAGCCGAGGGTGGGGAATGAAATTGACCCCGATTCGTCACCACGTCTTTTGGATTTCCATCGCATGGATGATCGTGCAGTCGTGGTTGTTTCAAAACTTTTATATTTTCCGATCCACACATTTCGCATTGATAGATCTGTGCGCCTGACCGAAATCGGTATTCCACACTGCGCTTTCCCAAGTGCAATTTCACTGGCCTCAGTTTGGTGCAATTTCTTGGATTGCAGGCCAGCATAGCCAGATGTCTTTTGTCATCCAAAGCCCCAATGCATCGCCTTTCTCTTCCGACCCTCCTCGACCACAACGACAGCAATCTAATTTCCGCCCGCCAGTAGCACCATCGCCTGGAGGATATCAACAAGGATCCGCGCCGCCACCAAGCAGCGAGGGTTACTTCCCGTCTCAAGCGGGAGGACAATCGAACATGAACCAACAGCCTCCGCATGGGGCGCCCTACAATGGCACGCCGCAGGATGTTCAAGGGATGACGCAGCAGATGAGCAGTATGAACCTAGATGCGCGGGCAGGAACACCACACACGCGTCGGAAAAAGGACCGCCACGCCTATCATCAGTTTGATGCTCCAGGCGCAGGAGCACAGGGAAGCTATGGAGCCGGCACGAGTGGGCAATTCGGGACTGAGAACAATGCACAAACATCAGTCCCTGGTCAAGAGGCACCATGGCAGCAAGGCAGCCAGCCGTGGCAATCACAAAAGCTACCATCGCAATCAAGCGCTGCTCAAACATCGCATGCGCCTGCAGGCACCCCCATAAATCTCGGCGGCGGTGGCGGACAATCTCATGGGGCACCGCCAGGTGCTGGTGGAAACAAAGTCAATCCAGCCTTGATACCCAGTGTTCCCGCGAGTCGCGATGTCCCTGCAGAATTCTACAAGACCAAGGTGTACCCGACGATGGAACAGCGTATTCCACCGCCTGCGTCTGTAGCTTTTGTTGCTTATGATCAGGGCAATGCTTCACCAAAACACGCACGCCTCACCCTCAATTGCATCCCGAGCACGCAAGAGCAGCTCAACACCACCGCCATCCCGTTGGGTCTAATTGTGCAACCATTGGGCAAGCAGACCGACGGAGAAGCAGCCATTCCAGTACTCGATTTCGGCGAAGCTGGGCCGCCACGATGTCGCCGATGTCGAGCATACGTCAATCCTTTCATGACCTTCAGCAACGGCGGCAATCGGATGACCTGCAACCTTTGCGGACATCCTAACGAGGTGGCGGCCGAATACTTCTCTCCAACAGACCCGTCGGGTGTGCGCGTCGACCGACAAGACCGCCCAGAATTGCTTTTTGGGTCATGCGAGTTCCTGGTCCCGAAAGAGTATTGGTCAAAAGAGCCGGTGGGATTGAGATATTTGTTTCTGCTCGATGTCAGCGCCGAGAGCTGTACTCGGGGGTTCTTGAGAGCTATGTGTGACGGTTTGATAGCAGCGTTGTATGGAGACGATGTGGACGACACACCTCAAGAGGGTGATGACAACGAGGCCATCCCAGCACCAACCAAAGTTCCGGCGGGCGCAAAGGTGGGCTTCATGACTTTCGATCGTGAAGTCCATTCCTACAACGTCAACGCTGCACTGTCGGCTCCTCAGCAGCTTGTCATGTCAGATCTAGAAGAGCCATTCGCCACAATCTCGCCACAGCATCTCTTCGTTGATCCCGCGGAATGCAAGACCAATATTCTCTCTTTATTACAGCGGCTTCCAGGCATGTTCGAGCAGATTCGGCATGCGGAGCCCGCGCTTTTCCCGTCGCTCACCGCAGCGCTCTCTACGCTATCAGAATCGGGTGGCAAGATTATCTGCAGTCTCAGTAGTCTGCCTACATTTGGACCCGGACGATTGACTGTGCGTGACAAGGGCATGCAGACGGCAACCAATGATCACCCAGAGCAAGAGAAGGTTCTTTTACGAACCGAGAACCAAAGCTTCCGAAAATTACACGCAGACATGATCAAAGCTGGCGTAGGCGTCGATTTTTTCTTGAACGCGCCGTCGGGCGGTTATCTCGATATCGCAACCATCGGGCTTGTTGCTGAAAAGACTGGTGGCGACACATACTATTATCCAAACTGGACGTACCCGCGCGACACATTGAAACTCAAGAATGAGCTCAGCCATGCCGTACAGAGAGAGCAAGGTTATGCCGCGTTGATGAAAGTGCGATGTAGCAATGGCTTGCAAATTTCACATTACAGCGGTAACTTCACTCAACACACATTTGGCGCGGATCTCGAGATGGGCACCTTCACGGAAGATACAGCTATCGGCATCACGTTCAGCTATGATACAAAGGTAAAGTCACCTCATCTGCGATACGTTTGGACATGAGCTAATTAACTCGTAGCTTGACTCAAGAGTCGACGCCTACTTCCAATCCGCGCTTCTCTACACAACAGCTTCTGGTCAACGAAGAGTACGATGCACAAACGCCGTCGCGTCAATCACCGAGCAAGCACGCGAATGTATGCGCTATGTCGATCAGGATGCAGTATTGGCGGTCATCGCGAAGGAGGCTGCCATGCGAGTTCCTGAAAGATCGCTCCACGACACCCGTCAACATGTCCAGGACAAAGCTACTGATATTCTTGCCGCGTATCGGAAGCACCACTCTGGTGGGCATCCAAGCACACAGCTTGTCATGCCCGAGAACTTGAAGGAATTCGCCATGTATATTCTCGGTCTACTCAAATCGCGGGCATTGAAGGGTGGCCGCGAACCAAGCGACCGCCGAAGCCACGAACTCCGACTACTCAAAGGCATTAGCCCGGCCAATCTGAGCCTCTATCTTTACCCTCGCATCACCGCGCTACACAACTTAGATCCAAACGAAGGGTTCGCCGATGAAAATGGCTACCTGAAGATGCCGCAAGGCGTACGCGCAAGCTTCGCCACCATCGAAGAAGGGGGCGCATACCTTGTGGACAACGGACAGCAATGTCTCTTGTGGATGCACCAGCAAGTCTCGCCCAATCTCATTGAGGATCTATTCGGACCCTCGGCAGCCTCACTGGAGTCGCTGGACGCCAATCTCAATACACTACCCGTACTGGAAACGTTACTCAACGCGCAAGTCCGCAACATCCTCCTTGCGATGGAGTCGACGCGGAGCTTCGCGATCAGTCTGCAGCTGGCTCGCCAGGGCTTCGATGGCGCCGAGTACGAATTTGCGCGACTACTCTATGAAGATTCGAACAATGATAAACCTTCGTATGTGGATTGGCTCGTGCTGCTGCACCGCGGGGTCTCTGCAGAGTTGAGCGGTCAAGGTCGGAATAAAGGCAGTAGTGCTGGTGGCACTGATGTGGCTGGCGTCGTGACCGGTGCGATGCAGAGAGTCACCGGTGGAGGCGCATTATGGGGATGATCAATAGTCAGTCTCTAAATCGATTTTCTATCACATATTTGACAATGTCAGGACTCCATATGCTCTCAGACTACGGTGATATGCCCGTTGAACGATGGAGACCGCTGGAATCTTGGACCGTTTATCTTAGGGTTTCGAGGTTTCTGCCAGGGTTTGGGTTATCCTTTCTATCCATGGATGCAATTGGTGACGAGGTGATTATTTTCTCATGGACGGGCACCCGATTGATTGCGAGATGTGGGAGTGTTCTTTCGGCGGAGGCGATTAGAATCGTATATTCATATATAAGAGGTTTCACTCAGGATCATGCGAGCGAACGTTTTCGTCGACTCTACTGACACCCTGTACTCGAAGGTAAGCCATCTTCGAGCTTCCCTTGGCTGCACGGTGGCTACTGACAACTAATTGCCATGAAAATTGTTTGTCATGCGAGGCGGGGCCATGAGAAGGAAAGCACCCAAAAGATAGTGCAAGATAATGACGTTGGAGTCACCGCAGCCAATCCCCGCAAGCGATCATCAGCCACCAGACATTCCATGGGACCTCAATGCCGCCAATGCAGCGCCTGTCAAAGCTCGAGAGGACGTCCCCAAGCCCGAACAAGCATCGGCTCTTCTAGACCTCAGCTTAACGTCAGCCGTTCCCATGCACACCGATTGACTGTATAGATCCATCTTTCACACCCCGACAAATCATCAGAACACTGCAACATGATTACGAAGACAGTCGATGCTGAACATTGACGGTCGCGGGGGCACCTACTTCCACAGCGGTCGTCGTGGAGATAAAAATGCGATCAGACCCTGCTCGCTGATCATTCACCATGCCCATTCCTTTGGGATAGATCGTGCGGTTAATGCAGACTACTGCGACAAGCGCGCAAACTATACTTTACGCCTCACTCTGCTCAGTTGGTCGGTTTCTAGAATATAGCAAGCCCACGACCATCCAATCACATACATCGAGACAACGGTAGAGGAGCGTGGACTCGAGCCTATGCAGACCACGATCGATCCAATAAGTCACCTGAAAGACAGACCAATAACATCTTGTGGCCGCACGAAGAGGCGTCAAATGTTGCCATCGAAGCACTGATTCTGTCGATCAGCCACCGTCATTGTCGGTACGATGTCGGACGAACTCTAATATGTCGTAGTGTCGCTGGTTATAAGCAAGCGGCCGAACGAGCTGCGGTCTGCAGGCTTTGAGCTCAAGGGCCGAAAATCGGTCCTGCATCTGTACGATTGGCCAAGAAACAAGGTTTTGCTACCACGCGCTGTCGCTGAGTCCGCTGCTCTATTTCGTGGAGAAATCAGGTGCACTGCGTGGCCACGCTCAGACTAAATCGCGCCATGACAGATGGCTGCAGAGACGTCCTTGATGGCAAAATCATGGCGCGAGCTCAAAGATTTAACAAGCCTGCCTCAGTCAATTTTCGCTCAAAGATGACTCTTCCTCGCCGTTCATCTCTGCATCGCAATTATGGAGCCCCTATCGAAACATGGCGTCATGGCTATCTCGAGAGTGTTCGGGATCACGCTCAGTCTGCTTCTCGTATACGAAGTCTACATCTACATGTGCTTCTTACTCGGCTCTCCAGCACACCAGAGCCTCTTGACGCACATTTGCTCGCATGACCGCCTACAGTCCTACTGCGGGATGGGCTTTCAACAGCAGCTCCGGGGAATGAGCAGTAATCGAACGGCCGATCGACCTTCCAGATATCTCTTCATATTTGGCGATTCGTATTCGAGCATCGAGTATAACGCCACGAATGGTGCTCAACCGACACTAGATAATCCTTTCGGAAATTCCGAATTCTCGGCTGCGACTGCTTACAAGGACGAGAAATGGATTGACACCATGTTCATGAAGTATCCTACTCGCAGCACCGTGGTCTATGACTTTGCCACAGGAGGCAACCTGGTGAACGTGTCACGTATGCCGGAGCCATTCACCTTTACGACAAATGTTCGACGCGACATGATCGACCAGGTCAACCATTTTACGCAGATTCAGAGCAAGATAGACTGGGCGGCTGCTGACAGCCTCTTCATAAGCTGGTTCGGAATGTAAGGCTCCACCTGCAGTGACGTGTCGAACTTAATCCTGAGACTGATCGATTTGCAGCAACGACATTGACGCCATCGCCGTGCTTTCAGACTTGGAAGTTGACGCGGCCAAGGATGTGTTATCGGCGGATGTCGGCGATTACTTCAAGCAGATCGCACACCTTTATTCGCTCGGCGCACGCAGATTTATACACGTCACGCCACCTCGTAAGTCCAGCTTCGTCGCCTTATCAGCCCAGTCCCACGGTCAACCTTTCTCTACCTCGACATTGGCTACCCTTCCGATCTTCTGCATTCCACTTTCACAACCTTCGTCGCGATGAAACGCTTCCGTCAAGCAGAGACTAACACGGTCGCCGCAGCGTTTGATCGTGCCCCCCTGTGGTCACAAATCGGCCGCGAGCGCATTCGAGAGATGGTCGCCCACTGGACCAGCGTGCTTCTGCGCGGGCACGAAAATTTCCAGCGTCAGCATAAAGATGTGAAGTCGGCCATTGTCGATCCTGCGCCCGTCTTTCATGAAATCCTCGATCATCCGGAACGGTACGGCGCGCCCAACAACACTTGCACCTCGATGCTGGAGGAGGATCACTGCCTCTGGCGGGATTCTTTACATCCGGGTTTGGCGATCCACCAGAAGATGGGTGCAGCCATGTTCGAATTGGTGCAGACGCTCGACCTGCTGTGATAGGAATTTCCCAGAGCAAAGGATCCTTATTCTCATGTGAACGTCTCAACTCCCGGTCGACTTCGTCTCGAATACACAAAGCCTGATGGTCCTGATCTCATCATTCTGGAATATTCTGTTGCACCTCGGACAACTCGATGCCCTTTCCAAACGCCTCGACAAAGCCTCCTGAATGTTGATCCTTCTGAGGCATCAGCATGAGAAGTGACCGCTACCAACTCCCCTCTGAGGCGTGGCACACAAGACCATGTGGCTGCGGGCGACGCGCAACGTCATTCGGCCAGCGCCAATCGAACGCTATCTCCAAGCGAGTGCAGACTTAGCGTGTCGATGCTGACGTACAGCCTGTACATATCCCTGTTGTGTACACTGGGAAGGCCTTCACATTGGAAATGATGTGCGATATCTGTCGGACGACTTTGCGGATGCAACTTCGCGTTGTCAGATTGTAAAGCACCTCACATATCTTGGGCCTACCCACTGGATCATGACGTCCTCGGGAATATTGCACGATTGGCGACTTTCGGGCTTGCGCATAAGACCTTGAATTATTCGACATACGGCAAGAATAGCAGAGCAATGAGCTATGGTCCTGCGGCCGGCAGTATCGGTCGAAGCAGAACTGCAGGAACACAGGTTATTCAACCGTCTTGAGCCATATTTCTCTGGTGTCCGTCGTGTGATGCTGTTGTTGGTCGTCGGCAGGGTCCAAGGAGTGTACTCGATCATTCAGAGCATGTTATCTCAGCACCGGTGTTGACTGGTAGGAGAGGACATACGTCTGCATGGCCATGCAAGGCGATAGTCAGGATATGGAACAGATTGGCGGTAGCACTGCTCCGATGCAACGATTCCTCGGTTCACCTGGGCAGCGATGCATGAGCTGGGCATGACACGGCAGTAGTTTGGCTTCATGTCGACGATGCCAAGACCTCCCCTAAACCAACCCAATCACCCATCATCCTCGACCTTCCAGGCCCGATATCTCCAACACGAACCCGAATTTGGCCAAACTCCATCGACATCCACAACCCCGTTCACCAACCCACAATCTAACACAAGGTCGCCAACCACCTTCGACCCGGTGTAACCTCTCTGCCGTCCAGATCCCATCGTGTTGGCTGCAATGATGCCATCGGGTTGTGCTACCCTATTTGGAAAGCAGCGGTGTCCTCTGCTAGGCGGTTTGGTGATAACGTGAGCGAAGCATGTGGACAAGCAATCCATGGGCCCATGTCGTCGCTATTCGATATTTCTGTCGGGGTTACGTTGCTGTGGAATGGAGTCCAATCAATAGATTGTGCTACGAAGGATGACGAAGAGTCTTCCTAGACTTTCCTTGTGCACAATCCCCCCCGGCTGCGGAGCCATCATGAAAACACATCGTGCGGCTCGTCAAGGGGATGACGGTGCGACTGATCAGGGAACTCGATTCTTATCCCCAATGCTCTATCAAAGTGGTCAATGCAGAAGTACTGATGTCAGAGATGAAACACGGCTCATGATGACTACATCTGAAACTACTATCAGGGTCATGAGCGGTCATCATTGAGTTTTGTTCCTTGCAGACATGTGGAATCTGCACGTAGTTGAATTGAAACATCAGCGACATGATTACTTTCAAACACTTCATCAAGTGTAATCCCATAATCATTAAGAATACTTTACACTCAAGCACGACTAACCTCGAGAGAATGTCGTCTTGCTTTGGTGCCATCATGTTCCGTGCAAAAGCAGCTGGTGGGCGAGCGTCACACACCGGGGAAACGATGATGTCGTTACATCTACGTCACCATTCACGCGGGGCTTTTGCAGCGCCCGCCATCAGCAGCATCAAGAACTACACGACTACTAATACTCGATATTCATCTCTCTCCACAGCTCATCGTCGCATTATCCCATCGTCTACCAAATCAATTGTGAGTGGTATTCCAATCGGCCTCTTGTGCCGTGAACGAAGCAGTGTTGGTGGTTCAGGGCCACTGCTTGTTGGGATGAGACGATGAACTGACGCAATCGTTATCAGACCCATTCTCAGATACGCTCCACCACCAAAATGTCTTTCAGCAACGCCGACACTGGTTCAAAGACCGCCGACCCTTACACGGCAAAGAACAAGGATGAGCCCTCGCTCAAGACCAAGGTCGAGGACTTGATCCAGTTCGCGGAGAAGAGCAAGTTCTGTCTCCTCACCACCATCACACCGGACGGTCAAGTCGCCACTCGATGCATGGCATTGGCCGGCAAGGTAAGCTCTCGCCGAAAAATATCGACATGCTTGTGGGGATCAGGCGGATAGCGTTGAGAACTGTGCTGACGAGGATTTCGCCATCACAGGAGAACAACGGAATCGACTTCATCTTCCACACAAACACCGAGTCTGGCAAGACAGACGACCTCGACGCCAATCCCCAGGTCAACTTGGGATTCCTGAACTCTAGCGGCGAGTGGGCATCAATCTCCGGCAAGGCCAAAGTCGTGACGGACCGCGAAGAGGTCAGGAAGCACTACTCTGAGCACCTCAAGGTCTGGCTCGGCGACCTTGGTGATGGCAAGCACGATGGTGGCCCAGAGGACCCGCGCATCGGCGTGATCAAGGTGCACTCCAACACAATCCAGTATGCCACCAGCCGCCGCAGCGCAATTGGCGGCGCTGTTGAGCTCGTCAAGAGCTACGCTACTGGCGAGACCGCTCAAGTCAACAAGCTCCGACACATCAGCGAGCAGGAGCTGGAACAATGTGAGTCCCGTTATCCTGAACGCTGCCACGCAGACTGGTTCATGTGTGATCGTGATTGTGGTAACCATGGCTAATGCGATGTCATTTTACAGGGCGCTCGTCATAAGCGTTATCAGCCAGCCACTGCCGTCACACAATAACCAGCCAGCTCTTTGTCGCATCGACCACGGAGGACAGCACCAGTGAGTTGGCCAGCTGCCGTTTGAACCACAACGATGGGGCATCGCGAAGATGTTGAAAACGAGGACCGATGACATTGGCAATCAGCCATTAGGTCATAGCCGCTTCACGCGCAAGGACATATGTGCATGTATACCGAAACGAAGACAATGACGAAAGTTTGCATGACCGTGAGCAGTGTCCGTGTGATTACCGTTTGACGTTGGAGCAGAATGACAGACGTACGGGATCACATACCATCAACAACACGTGCCTTCCAGCGCAAATCATGAACTGTGACGCGATCGAGTCATGCTGCCGGACGAACGATCGTCAAACGAAGTTTCGTTCGCTCGAGGTGCCGGCAGTCATCATTCGTATCGACAACATACGCCCGAGAGATAGATAGGCATGCCTCGAGCATGGACTCTCGGTATTCCCAGATAGTGGTCATGTCCGAACAAACACACGACTCGTGAAAGGAAAAATATTGATTGGTCGCGAATCGATCGATTTGGGGAATTTTCATCTTCGGGTCCGCGCGGTTCCTGCGTGAAAAAATGTCTTTTCCTCCTGTAAACCGCGATACGAACCGCTGGGTCCAAAGGGACGACAAATGAACACTTTCTTATTACATTACGAGCCGTGGGATGCGCAGTCGATCGATCGAAATGCTGGGTGCCCAGGTGGTCATCGATGCAGGTTTAAAGCTTAGGGGCATCGAGAAGTGTTTGGCGCATCGAGCAGGTGTTCGGTAGACACGGCAGCGGTGCGAAGAATGACGGAAGGTTCCAACCGCTCTCTCTCAACCAAGAATTTCGATGGCACACAGCTCCCGCTTTCCTCTCCGGCCATGGCAATTTGCAATATCACCTGGGCATGATTGTCCCATTTACCGATCGGAACCCACGCCGTCCGCGAGGAACAATGACACCCCACTGTTGAACTGGTTTGCCCATCATCATTACCGACCGTGTGTCGATGGTCGATGGTCGATGTATACAGTACTTCACGTCTCCGCTGTCTAGCAGGTAATCTGAGCAGCTGCCGCTCGTGCCTTTCGGTGCATCGCGATGCCTAGACCGATGAATCCCCGGCGCCGAAATCTATTGAATGTCCGTCCATTCATCCTCCGCGCCGCCGCCGCACCGCCCACCTCCCAAAAAACCGTACATGCGTACATATACGATGGAGCGCTTGTTTCGATTTCTTCATGATGAACTCATAGTTTGAACTTCCACGTTTCCCACTTGCATGTACGACCAGCGAATAAAGACGTCATAATCCAAAAAGCGATGGAAAGCAATGATGGGATATTGTGTCGCTGTGTGACAATCGATCGATCTATCCTGCTATTGCCGTGCTTCGGCCGGACTTTTGCGCGTGTGCATCAGCGTGCGCGACCATGCAAATGCCACTTCGGGCGTGAGTGTGTGTAGATCTCTGAGAGGAACAAGCCGGTGTGATTTCGTCGGGCGTGTGATATCACGTGCAGCCGTGACAGCCTCGCATTGTTTACCCAACACGACTTCGCGTTACCCCGCCATACATTGCTGCTGCTGCTCCTACTGGAACACACTCCCAGGGCTAGAAAGACCAACTCCTCCTCCACCCTGCTGTCCGCAATCATCCGATCATATCCCGCAGCCAACAGATGACAGATACGGCGCAGCAGGAGGAGCAGCTGACAAAGAGGCACAACTCCTCCATCGTCGACATGCTATAGGGCTGGATTCTTTGTGGCGTTCAAAAGTGCAAATTAGGGGTGACCCCCAACAAGTGCAGCACGCAATCCATCGCAGTCCGTGTGTAGCGGGCATCCAACAGGACGCCTCGAGGTCGTCGTCGCCCGTGAGGTCCGATAACGATGTCCGTCTCACCATCCCGATCAGGCCTCTGCTTGGCCAGAAGGACCACGAAGCGAGGGAGGGGTGGACGGACGCTTCTGGGCCGCAGCACTTCTCTTCTCCAGTGACAACCCCAGGAAAGAAAAAACAGATCGTACATGTAGCACGTGCACGGGCAAATCATCCCGTCTATCGCCATATCTGCTGTGCCCCAATCCCATCCTCACCGCCGCCGAGATGAGTGCGTGAGCGAAGTGGGTCCCCATCGTTGTGGTGTTGCACTGAACATTCCGTTCCTGGCCCTGGAGGAGATCGTGGATGCGTTTCGTACGAGCCTGGTTGTTGGGGCGATGAAGGATCACATTTCCATCGCATCATCACCAAGAGTGGCATCGCCATCACCAGCAACAGCCGAAGAATTAAAAATGCCCGGGTGTGTTGCACCAATAGCATAATGCATATTGTCCGAGGCCAGTGTAGTGGCTAGATAGCTCCTCCAATTTGTGCGATTGCGGACGAATTATGCAACTCGGAATGATAGTCGCCCCTCACGGCCCGTCCACGGCAGTAGAAATACACATGAGACACGCTCCGCTAACCAATGCAGCTCGTCGGAGGGAATGCCAGCTAGAATCATGCGAGCTGCAGGGCGAACAGGAACTGGAACCATTAGCGACTGCGCATGACGTCGTGCAATGCATGTCCATTGTCCTTCGGCGGGATGGGAATGCTGAGCATCACGATGGCGGCCTCGCTCCATCGCTGATTGCCAAGGAAAAGAAAGAAGCCGCTGCGCGAATTGACCCGAGGTCGAAAGCGTCTGTCGAAAAGGGTGAGCGAGATCTTCCCGCCTGCATCTCACCTGTATCAGGTCAGCACAAACGGGCCAGCCAGCCAGCAGCCCACGCGCGCGGGCCAAAGCAGCGAGCAAGCATGTCAGCACAGAACTGCAATAGGCCGCGCGTTGACTCGAACTCGACCTCGACTGATGACTGTGCCCGTTTGCTCCTCCCACTCCGCCGAAAGACGCCGCCGCCGCCCGCCGTGACCGGCGACAATGAGAGGTCGGCCAAGGAACAAACAGATGCTCGAGGGCCCTGTGCGTCGACACGAGGTGCGGGCGCGCCGGGGCGGCAGCGGCAACGGGTTCACATTGCGCGACCAGGATTGATCGTTGGGGTGAGGGCGAGGAGGGAAAACAGCAGTCGACAAACGGTGGACGGAGATCATCCGGCCAATGGCAGGCGGAATGGAGGATGATACATTGAAATTTGTACTATGCTACGACATGACAGTGTCTATTCTATCGAAGCTCGTCTGTCTGGGCAATACTAATCTCACGTATCTGGATAATCGTGGTGGGGCGCCTGCCCGCTCGCCGGCTTCTGCTGCTACTGCTGCTTGTTGTTTGTTGTTTTGTTGCTTTGTACTGCTGCTACCCCAGATGCACGTCTTGCTTCACTCGTGCATAGCTTATCCAACCTCACCTGATCGTAGTGGCGTAGAGCACCAGAGACTGTATAGAGAGCTACGGAGTAATCGTATATTAGATACAGATTCATCCACATTGTGAACCATGAACCATTTCCAACATTGGGGCTCTGGGGAGTGGTGTGGGCCTCGTTACGAAATAAGCTCCCGTCCGCACGTTGTGCTAGCGCCCCGACCGTTGGATTATCAGCGCGCTGCCATGGCTCAATTCGGCGCTGGTTGGCGAGCGCCGCGATGATCTGGGCGTGTAGGGAGATTATGAGCGTCAGGCCAACAGGCTTGATTCGGTCCCGCCCTGGGGCGACTGCCACAAAGATTCCTCGCATCCCATCGATGAAGCACCTGGGCAGGGTTGGAACGTGCTAGCGGCATGACGACAGGCCGAGAATATAACACTCAAAGCTGGAGGGAAAGCGTCACGAGTCCGAATCGCACGGGTAGAGCCTAAGCTACGACTCCTGTCACGCCACGATCGTCGCGGCAACGTGAAAGTTTCTGCACAGGGAAGAACATGTATTTTAGGACCATGTGTGGACCAGGAGGTGTTCATCATGCTTCTGTGTCAGATGATACCGGTGGATGCCTTCGTTCTTTTTATTTTTCGAAGATGCAGTATGTACTTTATTCTCGAGGGGTGTTGCATCATGTATGTGGGACGCAGGAGACAGGGTGCGAGGTCACTGTATCCACTGTACCTACCCCATAGACACGTGAGGTATATGCACGAGACCGATCCGAGGGAATGCAGGTGGTAGGCATGGTAACCGTGTATTGAAACGACAACATAGCAATGCCGAAGCTGGCAGCATTGATGGGAGATGAGGATGAATCACTGAGGACAATGCCGGATACCGTGTGCTGCTGTACGAAAGGATTTGATATAGCCTTTGCAGGGTATATGCATTTGGAGGTGTCACTGTCGTGCGCAGGTACGAGTCTCGGACGCAAGCTCCACTGACCTATAGCATTGTCTCATGCCGGGATTACAGTATGCGGTGGGGTCAAGCAGCAAGCCCTATGCGTCTCGTCGTCGAGTAGGAATCTTTCAACTCATCCGGCCGGCTGGCACAGACGGCTTACATGCTTGGCTGCTGCTGGCGGGCTGACGACGACCAACAATTGCGGCGGACCTCGGGGCGGCAAACAGGATGAAAGGAGTATTGAAGGTCATCATCATCACCATCACCATCAGTGCTCATCATCGCGCATTGAACCCGGGATGGAAAAAGAATGTGCACGCAAGAAGCATGTCCGGCATCCGAGCGTGTCGACCAGAATAGCATACTCTCATCACAAGTCCACAACGGTCGACGTGATATCCACGCTCGCCAAGGTTTGTCGCATGGTCCAGTACTGGAGAGAGGCTCAAACTCGGCCGTGATTGATGAGAAACAAAGTGATGATCGTCGGTGCTCATACCCTCCATGCTGCGAATCAGAGTGCGGTTGGACGTCCACACCCTCGCCTACGTATTGACCAGGATATGCATGCATGCGAGATCTCATCATTCGCATCTGGGTCCACTCGCGTCCTGCTGCGCCGTATCGGTGACAGTCTCGCATTGGCTCGGCGGGGGCCATTGCATTAGAAGACATGTAAAGCATAGGCGTGCATGTGCATGCGCTGCATGATGCCATGCTGCTTGAGCTTCCCGCCGCTATTCCATTATGCTATGGGTTGCTGTTCCAACCATGGGACAGCATCACAAACCGGGAAATCCTGCTGGGCGTGCTTATCGCATTCCATTGCTGTGGATTTTCGGATGTAGAGCGACTGGCTGAGAGGATACTAAGAATGCTGCGGTACGTAATCCCTCATCATGGTCGTACTCGAGTTCACGGTACATTGGAAGACTCATGACACCCGGCGATCGATGGTCAGGGAATTGTTCGGTGGAGACGAGACCGACGGGACGTTACCATGGGGTGGAGTCGTAGCGGATAAGCGGACAGGCGACGACGGGACAAGGGAAGCAAGTGCACGAACATGAGTTGAGACTCTCTCATATTCCCTCTCTACGTTCATCACCGGACATGGGGAGGACCGCATGCGCTGTCCACCAGGATGTACGTAGATTAGGTGAGATGTGCCCTGCCGTTACGGTCCGACAGAGACTGGTAATTAACAGTTTTGTGCCTCGTTTTGTTGCCCTGCGCTTCATGCCGTGCAACGGTCGGACGGTTGCATGCCGCACGGACGGAGTTTTTCTTTGAACAGAACGATTGCTGTCAAGTCAGATATTGGTTGAGCGTGCAGATAGATGAGACGACAACGCTGGACGGATGAAATGATAAAACACAGTTCATTGATGCCGGGAAAGACAATGTCACACGAGGGAAATTACCAGGATTTCGGATAGAACCACAATCATATTAATGAATGTATCACTACAGCGTCGACTTCTCCGCCGGCGGGACAGTCCATGTTGGTGGTGGGTTGATGAGGCGAGCAATCCTGGATCACACGCTATCGTCCCGACTGACTACAGCGATAACCGTCGCCTGTGCTACTCTACTACGACGACGACGAGGACGACGGCGACGACAGCGCGCGACAACGTTGGCCGTCGCTCGCTTGCCCATTTGTTCGAACAGCGGGCACTTGTCCAGACCGGGTGCAGTCCAGTCGTGCGTGCCTGTCCTTCCATCACAACTGTCGCCCAGGTCAGCAGCGCTGTTGCTCGCTTGGTCACTTGCTCACTAAAGGCTCCTCCTTCTCTGTGCTGTGCCTCTCGGCGGCTCCGATTTCGATTTCCAGTGCAGGTCCGGTGAGCACAGGCAGGGCGGACGACGGCAACGAGACAACGGTTTTCTCACCTTTCCCCTGCACCGACCCTCCCTCGGCACATCGTCGCTCACTTTGTTCATCGCCAGTGGTGAGATCGTGCATCAGCGTTGCTGGAGATCGTAGAGAGACAAGCAGACACACGCACCACCATCAAACAACATTGCGGGAAGATTGCAGCATCGTCATTGAGCATCGACGTCGTTAATTATCATCGCCATCGCCGGCGTCGTCGTGCTTTCCAACTTTTCCCCCTACAGCGTGGTGGAGGTCGTCGTCGTCGTCAAGTCCCCCGGAGATCGAACAACAGCACACTGCCATCATCCCGCATATACATCATATCCACTATCCGTGAGCGCGCGCGTGTGTGTACCTGTGTGTGTGTGGGCGTGCGAGCGACTGTGCCCGCTGGACGTGCGTTTGTTCGCTGCTTATGATAGGTATGCAATCCTCGTCACTCACCTAAACCAATCCGAGCCAACGCACCACCCTGCCCGCCTGCCCATCCATCCCTACACCACCACTATCTCGAATCCGCCGTCTGCGACAAGGAAAAGCAAAGAGTGTCATCAGAAGGTCTCTCATGAGGAGTGCGGAAGCGTTGCAAGCACGACAGAGGCGGAATCCTGGCAGATGCTCCAGCATTGCCATTGAGAGTCTGTCATTCGCTATATCGCAAGCGCTCCCCAAGTGGAACTACTGTAAACTTTGACTTTTCCGCTCTCGCTCCACCACTACACCACACCATCACACCACCTCCACACCAACATCTCCCTCCCACACCCCAAAAACCTTGGAAGTCATCATAGTCGAGAAGCGACAAGCCCTTCCTGCAAGTGCGGGCACTATCTTCTACCACAGCAACCATCATCATATACGCCGACGCCGATAACCTTGGAATGCCTCTTTTGCTGGTCGGCTTTTGACTTAATCTATTAGGAAGCTCAAGCTCTCGGTGCATATCCAGAACCTCATCATCATCATCACCACCACCACCACCTTTACCTGCATCTTCACACACCTCGTCCCGCTGTCCATACAACGCCAATTCCATTCCACGGTACTGAAGGATTTTACCTGCTGGCTCGACAACTCACTGGACTACATCTCAACCACATTGTCCCGCTCTGCACCTTCGCCCTGCAGCAGCTGACCTCTCGAACTCCGCCCTAGAAGATCTTCGGCCCTTGCATCGGACTCGTGGAGCTCTCGGTCCGCCAGGCACGCCGTCACCTATTACTACAACAACATCCCTCTGCCGTGGTTTCAACCTGAGACCGAACGACATCCTGGCCACGGGAATCGAGTCGATCTGACCTATTCAACGACATCTGGACTTCGCTGGGACCATGCTTGGGTGTTAACAGAGCTTATCGACGTCACGGCTGGGAATACGAATATAGTCGTGGACATTGCTCCTGACATTCGTCTCGGACAACACAACCCATTGGATTCAACTGCATCATATTGGATTGCTCTCTCGTCCGGTCTGAGATCACCAATCATCGACACTCACCACGCCTCTTGGGTATATCACTCCCACGACTTCGTGTGGAATCTGTTCGAGTCGACCAGTGGATATTGCTTCAAAGTATTCTACCATTGAACATCCTGCCCAGCATGGAGTTCTCTTCGCCGCTCGCTGCTCTACGCCCGCAGCCGTACCAATCTTGGGCTTTTGGAAATGACTTTCCAGCTTCCAGGACCATGTATGGTGGTTGTGGCGTTGTCAACTTCGATTTCCGCAACATGAGCATGCACCAGAAGCCTCTAAGACAGGACTACTTCACCACGCGACCTGTCCGCGGCTCGTCACCGACTGCTACTCTTACAGCGGATCTCAGTGCTAACTTCCACATCGATCAAAGGTACAACAACTCTACCCTTCGTACTATACTTGACTTCATGCTGATATGACGATAGCCCACAAGCACCTACGCCTCGGAGGTCGCTCTTCACAAGTGATCTGCTCAATCAGCGTACAGAGAACCATGGTGAGTAGTACAATATCAAATTTGACAACAACCATACTGACTGGCTCGGGAAAGGTCAACTCGACACTCCGCCGATTGCGATCGAACCTGCCATGACTCCCCCGATTCCTTCTTCATCTCCCTACTTCGACTCTATGGACATCTCGCCCCTGCCGCACAAGCTTCCCCACTTTGTCGCTCAGATCACCCTTCCTTCGCCGACGCCGGATTGCATGGACTTCCCGCTACTGGACCCGACGGAGACGCCGAACATGCTACCTGTACAGCCTCCGCCGTTCCTCCAGCTTCCTGAGTATGTTTTCATCGTAGCGCTCTCATATTTTCTGTTCCTCTATTCTGACATGCGCTGCTAGACGGAGACGACCTGTCACACGACCTTCTCTCTCACGACCGAAGGCTGCTTCTGCCAACAACATTCTCCTCAGACCAAGTAGCGCTGAAACACAGGTCTCGCCTTTCCGCTTCGGCAATGTCGCATCCAGTGGCTCATCAAGTCCATCGATGCCTATTGTGCTAGACAGCTTCACTGAATCGCCTGTTGACGACCTCGTTCAGACGTCGAACATCGGCTCTATGCTCCCGCCACCGCGCCGACCTACAGTTGGCACCTCGAGTCGGTGCAATGGCTCGCCTTCATCCGGACACATTCGCAAGCCTTCTGGTGGCAGACCTGCTTTCGTACGACCTCAGAGGAAATTGATCCGGAGATCCTTGAGCATGTTCCAGCATCCCACTGACGTTATGAAGGAGGAGCAGGCTGCCTTCGAGCGCCAGCCTAGTATGCCCTCCTCCATCATGGACATTCAGCAAGAATATGTTCCCAAATTGCCGAGCTTTGTTCCTGAAGGCGAGCCAGACAGCCTTCCTCGCATCACCCCCGAGACGATGGCGGATGTGCTCGATGGTAAATTCAGCGCTCAGTTCGCTCAGACTCGCGTTATTGACTGCCGCTTTGAATATGAATACAACGGTGGTCACATCACCGTTGCAGAAAACCACAATGACAAGGAGCATCTGGCAGCAAAGCTCTTCGATGGCACGATGCCAGCAAACTCCCTCCTCATCTTTCACTGCGAATACTCCGTCCACCGCGCACCGCTCTCTGCCAAGTTCATCCGCAACCACGATCGCAAGGTCAACGCTGCCCAATACCCCTTGCTCACTCACCAAGAAATGTACGTCCTCGATGGCGGCTACAAGGGCTTCTACGAGCGCTTCCCAGAGAAGTGCGAAGGCTCATACGTGGAGATGAACGACGAACGTCACGAACTCGCCTGCGAGCGAGGCATGGCCAAGGTCAAATCTCAACGCCAAAAGCTCTTCCGACACTCGACCTTCGCGTTTGGTGACACCGCCGGTCACGATGCCGAGATGGAAGATTCACCTTCGGCACCCAGCGGTGCTGCTGGTCGCATGGCATTTCGGAGTCACAGCTCGTTCGAAATGGGCTCATCGCCATCCTCTTTTGACAGCTTAGCTGTCGCATCGCCGCTGGGAAATCCCTTCCAGCGACGCTTGGCATCATACTAAATTTATCCCTGCCCCCGGGATACACATAATCACATCAGCATGTCACTTCCGACCGCAAGCTGCACCACAACCAGCGCTTGCCATGCCACATCATGCCGTACTCATACAACGGTAAACGCAAACACACACATCACATCTCATACATGCGTGATCACGCATCTTTCCAGTTTCCTTGTCTTTCGATAGACGCCGGCCAGACTTACAGCCATGGCGAACGTTTTCTTGTTTCAGGTATTTTGGTCACATCTGGGGCATGGCGTTAAAATTCCCCTGTACTACGGTGCAGGGATGAGATGGCGTTGGGAATTGTTACTTACTACAACTGATTAATTCTGGACGATTGCTCGGATTTTCTCGCCGCTCGCCTTCTTACGGGGCTCAGCTGGACTTTTGGTTCATTACTTTTTTCCTTAATGGCGTTCAAGCGAAGCATGCACCTTTCGCACAGAACATGTTCTCATTTTCCCTCTCCCTGTCCTCCTACTACTGTCTTAGATTCTCCTCCCTGCGGGACAAGCTCTTACTCGCACAGTACTCGGCCTGCTGTGGCCCACATCTCGTTTTTCTTCTTACAATTTGTCACTTTCTGCGACCTCTCACATATGTCTGAGAGAGGCGCCTACAAATACCCCAGCGTTGCATTTTCAGCACCTTTTCCTCTGTATGCGCGGATCGTTCGAGGGGAGGGCTGTCTGTCTTGTCTGAGAATAGTGAGCAGCGTCATCATAGGACGACATAATAAATAATTCATCTTCTCTATAGGGATCTCCTATAAATTGCAACCCCCTGTAGTCGTGGCTGTCTCTCTCTCCCTCGCTAAATAATATGACTTCTTTGGAGAAAATACTCTAGTCGCCTTCTGAGGTCCATGTCTCGTTGTCTCTCTGCACTGTGCTCGGACTCGTCGATATCTTCTACGAGCCCTTGCATCAACACTGCTATCTTTATTCCGCGGGGGCGATACCCACTCGTGCTCATACTCTCTCCCCCATCATCCCTCCCTCCCTCTTTCCGCCCCCACCGATCTGGGAGAGGCATCCCTGCGATTTCCACTGGCGGAGGAGATCTCGAGCTTTTCTCGAGATCCCTTCTGTACCGCGGAAGCACACATATCCCACCGAATCAAAGTTTCCATATAACAACGCGATGACGTGTCGCAAGAACATGCGATACGATAGAGGCTGACACACCGGTCCCATGGGACGGACGCACCTACGTCGGAGCATACATCCCTCGCGTCGCGCACCGCCATGCAGGGCTCCGACGAGGCGTCGGACCCATTCAGGAATACCTGGGTAAGGGTGGAGCCATCCTACCAGATCGGTGGACTTTTCCCTACTGCTGTGGTGGAGGAGGAGCAACAAGGGTAGTCCGGTACATAATGAGACGGGATGGATCCTACCCACACTCGGATTCCTCTTCTCTCCCAGTAAGATGAGAAAAAGCATCCGATGGGTAGCGCTTTCCAAGGGGCGCAGGACTGGGGTCGGAGAGAGGACATCTCCAGTCGTTCCTGTGCATGTAGCTGAATCACGCTTGGGGGTCGGTCCACCATACGGGACCGAAACTCGTTCGTCGTAAATGATGGGCTTCTGCTGAACGAACGTATATCGTTGTGGGGTTATGACGATGCGCAACCCTAATGACTTCACCTCGGCCGTTGTCCCTAGCAGCACATCATCATGACAATCGCATTCGACTTTGACGTTCCCGATCACCTTTAATGATATGGATGGTATGTTTGGGTGATTGACTGTGTTGTCCATACGCGCCGTAAGAATTGCTTCAGTGTAGGTGAGAGCAATGAAGTCGCGTGTAAAGGAAGTAACGCAGCGGTTTCTCAACGTCGTGTCACCCACACTGAGGTCATCTGTCTCGATGCACGAAATGCTTCTGAATAGTCATCACATATATGAAAGAATGAGCAGGAATCTGAATCTGACAATGAATTACATATCTATGTTGCAGTCGCGGTCGTAAAAACAAATCATGAGGTGCCGGCACTCAATTCCAATCGCTGTCAAAAACTCGCCTCACCCGCACCCAGAATTCAAGCGCGGTCAAGCGACCACACAAATGACAGAATGGAAACGCCATTGGCAGCAATGTAAAGAAGATCCGGAGAATTCGCGAGATCGCTCAGGCCGGATGACTCGGCTTGATCGAATGCGGATCGAAGACGCCGCCATCGTCATCGCTGTTGGGGAACGTGCAGACCGCCGTGCAAACGGCGCTGGGTATCCGCCACGTAGTTGGTCATCGGAAATAGCCGTTGTAGTCATAAAGCTTCAGATGTGGTGAGGTTCCGGACCATAGGACATGATGTCCTCGATCGAGTAGATCCGGCAATGAAGCTCACTGCCCTGATATGCTTCCTCTACTTGGTGGCCTTCTTGGCCTCGCCCTTGAGCTCCTCGGCCTTGCCCTTGGCGTCACCCTTGAGCTCCTCAGCCTTGCCCTTGGCTTGCTCGCCGGCGTTCTGAGCGTCACCCTGGAGCTGTTCGGCCTTCTGCTGACCAGCCTTGGACAGCTCGTTGAACTTCTCCTGGCCGGCCTGAGCGTACTTGCCGGCAGTGTCCTGGGCCTCCTTAAGGTAGTTGGAGCCCTTCTTCTTTCCCTCCTCGTACTTGGGGCCGAGGAACTCGGCGACAGTCTGGAAGAAGTCTGAGGCGATCTTCAGCTCAGTGCAGACAAGGGCGAGCACGCCAGTAACGACACCGCCGCCACGGCCGTTGTGCTTAGCAGTCTTGGTGTACTCATCTGTGGTTCAGAAGACGGTCATCAGCTTAGAGTTCCCGACCGCGTTTGACACGATCCCATATCGAACTGCTTCTACTTACCGCTGTAGGTGCTGCTGACGTAGTTGTATGGCCAGAAGACGTAGCTCTTGCTGGTCTCGATGATGGTGTTGGTGTCCTTGGTGACGATGGGGAAGTGGTTCTCAACGCGCTCGAGGCCAGATGTAGCGAGCTCGTCAGCCTTTTGGACGTAGGGCTTGGCGTAGCCGTAAGGAGTCTCGAGGTAAGGCTCAACAGGCTTGCCGAAGCGTGCGTAGACGCCGTCGGCGACCTCGAGCGACTTCTTGCCGTAAGGGTTGGCCTTGAAGTTCTTGATGCCCTCGTCGACGGCGGGCAGCGAAGCAAGACGGTCGATGAACTGGGACGAGGTCTTCTCGCCGTTGGTGGTAGCGTGAGGCATTTTGGCTGAATGTTGCAGGAATGGTCAGTTACGGTGTTTGTAGCTCGTGGCTGTTGACAAGATAGTGAGAAGGTTATGAGGTATGCGGAATGTGAAAGGTACAAGGTGGGCTGCAAGGATTTTCGTGACTGTAGATCACTAAATGGCAGACGTGTGTCACCAGAACACAGCATCCAAAAAACATCCCGCGTTGCAGGCCCATTTCTCTTGGCCTACCCGGAAACAAGTGCCGGTTCCGAAGGTAATTGATGATGACGTTTGATTGGATGATAGGAAAGCCACAGCAGGAGCTTGAAAGCTTGGAAACTGGGAATGGGAGGGTGTATGTAGATACAGCCAATCTGTATAGCTTTGGAAAACATTACGGGAAAGAGCGTGTGCTGGTGCTTTTTGCTGTGGAAATTTTGGCAGTTGCAGGAGCCAGCTTCGCGCAAATCACCTCTGTGGGAGAGATGATGTAGTGCAAACGGCTTTTCCCCTCCGCGAGCCATGGGCTATCTGTTGCGCGCTGGGCTGTAGATTTGTGACTTACCTTGTGGTATGTGAGAAATCTCGTGAGAAAGGGAAGATGTTCTGCTTGCTGATGGGCAATCTAGAAATGCGGTTGCGTCAGAAGTTTGCTTCTTGTGTCATGCGTAGTCGCAGCGGAATTCGCATCGTTGGGACTGTGTGGGTCACGTACGAATTCACAGATTCAATGTCAGAGTGGTCAAGTGTATGAGCAGCGATTAGATGAAAGGACGATCGTGGGAAGTGAGAAGGATATTGTAAGAGAAGAGGAGGAAGAAGAGGAGGAAGAGGAGGGGAAGAGAAGGGTAGATAGGCCGGCAAGGAGGAGTGAGCGCATGGCAATGGGAGCCGGAGGAGCCATGAGGCAGCAGGACGTTGAGGCAGGTGAAGGCTGTCTGCGTGAGTGAGTGAGAGTGGAGTGCGTGTGAGTGTGGTCGGTCAATGCGGCCGTAGGGAAGAGGCCTAGCTAGCGGGATGGAAACAAATCGGACTGCACGATGCCATAGAGGTTACTTCTTCGTGCATACCGGCGCGCGGTATACATGCAGTACCTACGGAGATGCCACTACAACAAGCACCAGACTAGTGAACGGAACCTGTACCGAACCTGAGCCATGGCGAGGGCCCTTTATCTGCGTGGGCAAACCTATGGTTGACACGGGCGGCAGAGTGATGCATATGACATTGAATACCCAGAGAGGTATGATGACGACCCTGGATAGGAAGAGGTAGCGCCCACGGCGACCTGGTTCTTGGACGGCGCGGATCTTCTCTACACAAATGGGAAGCATCGCAAATCCTTCCGATGCGTTCCAAGGTTACATACGTGAATCAACATCTCATCACACGAAGTAGTCTCTGACGACGACAGCCAACGATGCATGCATTCATTTCTCATCCTGGTCCGGTTGAGCGTGTATTAATCACGCAAGCAGGACGGATGCATGTGTAAGCCTTCTGCATATGTGGGGTACCATTATTACACGCCATGTCACGATAATTGTGATGCATAACGGAATGCCCACAAACATGCGACAACTTTCCGCATGTCGCCTAAGACCACCGAGTGGAAGGGCGGCACGGCATGTCAAAAGGCACAGCAGCAATGACTTTCCCAATAACACCCATAGATGGTGCTATTGAATAATAAGCGCTGTTGACGATGAAGGTTTGGCAGTGCAGATGAAGAGCTGGAGTCGGAGCTTTGTCACGTCACTCCACCTGGGCAGGCAATCAGTGACGAAAGCCCTGATGAGCGGACTGCTTTCACGGGACCGCTCTGGCAAAAAATTGGCATGTGGCATTGCGTCGGAGGGTAGAATTCCAGGTTGGTCTTTGTCACATGCAAAAACTTGATGGGAAACGCTGGAATTCTCCGCCCACCTTGAGCACACCACCTCCCTCTAGCTTCGAACTAGCACTGGGCAATGCACCTGCGCAATCCTGTTAACCTGCAATAATCTTGGAACACGGTAATAAAAGCAAGCCCTCCCGTGAAACACGACCCGATCGAGAAATTTTATGCATACATGCAGCTGCTGTCGGAGAGGGAGGACAGCGCACGCCTTTGCCTATGTTCTTCTGCTGATACAGGCTGTTATGTCCCGAGCGTTTCAAACGAACATAGGAAGAAGGGGAAGGGTCTCATTCAGATTGCTTCGATGACGACATGCTCAGTCAGGGGACGATGACGATGCGCAATTGGTACTGAAGTACCTGCCAACCGTGCCAACCTCAGGTCGATAGAGTGAGCTCCAGCTGGGCACATACATAAGAAGAGCGGGACAGTACAATGCAGCTGGAGTACAAGCCTGGAGTACGCTGATGAGTGCAGACGGTACACCACTTGTCAATGCAGAACCTACTCATCATGAATCAGTACCTAGGTAGTGCTAGATCCGGTCCATATCGTCATCCTCATGAGATCAAACCCAGCCATCCAGCCCTAGAAAGTCGGAAATTCTGGCGGCTGCCGCTGCCCCCCGACCAGTCCCTACGCCAAGCGTCGAAATCGTTGAGGAATTCGCTGCCCCAAAGGAAACCGATTTTCCCCTCTCATCAGCCTGATCGAGATGCAGGATGTGTCCAGCGCTGCATACAAACGATACATGGATACAAACAATACATCAAGACTTATACAAATGCTCCCGTGCTTCGTGTGGCTTCTCCAAATGTCATTGTCATTACCAAATATCAAATACAGAGGGCCGCAAATCAGCCGAATACACAACTTCGCCTATACAGTGTGAGGTGTGCGCATTGCCATAGATCCTTCCTCGGCATATCTGCTGTTGGACTTGTAGGCCGTAGTCTCTCTCTGCATTGCCCTGGCAGCGTTCCGAGTCTTCCCAGCGCGAGCAACAGTGCTCATCTCATTGGCATCCTTGCTGACACGCGGCGGCATCGTGTCTACATCCGGACCGGCCGCCGATCATTTCGGTTTTCATCATCACCCCCGTCGTGGCTACTATTGAACAGTCTTCAGGAAACTTTGATGATGCCGCCAGTTGTATCCACGCCCTTCATGACCAGATGGTGCCTCGTCCTACTATGGTTCACTACAGAGTTCTGATCTTTGCCTTCGATGCTACTCCATTCGCATGCCGAACAATCCGAGACATGCCCGTCATTATGAGGGGATGTACAATATGGTACTGTCCTGTCCCGGCACATTCAACGCGGTACGGTGCGCCGATGCGCGGATAAATATCTCAACAAATTCTTCAGCTGTTCAAATTGTCTACCAATGTCACTTCATCATGTGCTGCCTGAATTCCGAATGCCGAGTCCGACTTTTCGCAAAGGACTTCCTCCCTTAGAAAACCCTCCTAAGCAGAATAGGAAAGTGGTGTTTTGGAATCTTGGCAGTGGAGCTTTTTTACGAATGTTCATACATCTTCTAGTAGGTGTTTTCACATGTCATCACATGTGATTCAATCGTGATTTTTAGCACACCAGAGTGGATAGATGACGATCTACTGTCCTACGCTAGCGCTCGATTGAAACACCACCAACCTCCAGATTATTTTATTATTATTAGAGAGCTCCATCACATGCAAAACCTGGACTGCGTGCATTCTTCGAAACAAGTTTTTTATGCAATTGCTGATGATTCGCCGAGAGACCTCCGTCAGTGTTATCACCATGCATACTGTAGATGGTGGAATCATGGAAGCCTGTCTGCTGTCTTTCCTGCTCGTGAGATTGTTGAGATGCGATTAGACTCTACTGCAGTCCCTTGTGATTCAAACACCCAGATTTGGGTATATCTTGAGGCAACTGATAGGCGTGCTCTGCCGCGACAACACATTCGCCATATGCTAGCGATGTGTTTAATTCATACGTCAGCTCTCTCGCTTCGTCCGGACCGTCAACGATGAGCTCATAGGCTCCGTCTCATCACGACATTCGCGATGAGAATGGATGTCTTCAATCTACAAGTTTGCCCAAGCGATTTGGCATCATCTGAGACACTCTACTTTGAATCAGCCCAGGTTTAATCGAGAGGTTAGGGGAGATGCAATCCTTGATTGCTCCAGCTCGAATGGTCGTTCCACTCATAAGACGGCTTGTTGACTGAAGTGTCGCTCAACTAGGAATAAAACGGATATAGCTGGTGTGTATGATTATGAGGCTAATATACCACCTCCAGAGCAGCAGCCCATCCGTATAACGACAGAATCTTGGAGAGCGTGTACACAGTTGTCTGTGACCTGGAGGTACCACTCGATTCTCGTCTAGAATGCCCGAATGCATTTGTGATGAGAAGGCTGAACACACACTTCGGACAAGTCGATTCACACAGCCACCAGGGAAGAGCTCAATGGAATCGACGCTTTGTACCTGCCCGTGGAAACAGTGGGTCTGATGTTGGACGGCAGTGGACAAGGACATTCATCCCCCTGCATGATCAATCGGGCCGGGGCACCACCGCCGAAGGAGCATTCAAGAGCCGTGGCCAACCAGATAAAAAGGCCAAGCATACATTGCTTGGAGAGTCACCAGACTACCGTGCTTGCGACCTAGTTGCTTCGAGGTATAGAGTATTACGTCGGTGGCTCGCTTTGTGCCTGCACGCGTGCCAGATCAGATGGAGCTGGCATATCTCTCCCGGCATGTCAGGGCGGTCTTTACTGATGATTATCATGGCGACTGTGACCTGACTTGTCTTGCATGCACCCGAACGCCAGAATATGCGCCTGCCGCAAGAAGTCGCTAGGCCCACATGCCCTGCGAATGTCACTGCGTATCGAAATGCCAGACGCGGAACTAGAAAACTCCTTGTTCCGCACTGCAGCATGGCTTTCTCGCAAAACAAGGTGGGAAACGTGAATGTTTATCCTTGTCTTGTACGTCGTGGACTGGATGGAGATATCATAGGTTGTAATCGCTCGAGCTTTGATCGAGCACGCGGCAAATATTTCAGTATGTTTGAGGTGCAGAATGGCCCATTTCCGCATCAGGCGAACCTGTTACGGTGTGGAATGTTGGGATAAGCTATTGTCGCTCTCGCGAGAAACCAAGCTTTGGCGTACAGAGAAGTATCGATTTGGAAGCAGCGGCCCGAATGTGCCATCATGAGTGACATCCTCAGTCGTCAAGCATGTCGTCGCCATTGTGGCTGGTATTCGGCAGATTCGCAGAAGTCGTAGGCGCAGTTGCATCGAGCGTGGACATGACGGTATCTGTCATGTCGACATCGCCTTCAGTGTCGGCAACTTTAGACAATGGGGATGTGGCCCGACTACCGGCTCGCGTGCTGTCATCGACTTCGAGAAACCGGTTGATAGGTGCTGACTCTGCCGCCTCGTCATGTTCAGGAATAGGGGTGGAATCACCTTGCTCGCCTGATCTAGGTGTCCTCCTATCAGGTCCTTCAGAATCTGCTCGACTTGCGTGCGCCTTGCCTCCTTCATCGCCTTCTTCGTCTTCCATGTCCTCATCCTTATCGGCGTCCTCTGGATCGTCCTTGATGCCCTTGATGAGACGAAGCATCGCTTGACTTTCCGCAGTCAACTTATCGAACTGCTCTCTACGAGAAGCCCAGGTGCCTTCGAATTCGGCACTCTCTTGCTGCAAATCTTCGATCTCTCCTTCCAGCTTTTCAATCTCCGTGCGTGTCTCGTCACGGCTTTTGAGTTTCTGATCATCCAGAATTCTACCTGCAATCTCATCGTATCCTTTTCGTAATTGTAGAATGCGCTGCGCCTCCGCAAGTCGAGTGCGTAGCTCCAAGGTGTTTTCCCTGACTGCCTGCGCCGTGTGCATGATTTTGGCTTTCTCCGCAGCGAAACGCTGGCGCTCGCGTTCATTGGATGTGTGAACGAGTTGAATCCGGATAATGCTACTTTCGAGAGCGGCAAAATCTAGCAGAATGTGCTCTCGGAACGACTCTAGCTGCCCAGCGGTGGGGATATCCTCTGTCGCCACGCCATCGTCTTCCGGGGGTGGTGATGGATAGTGTGTCACGGCATGGCGGACTGTGGAGCCTTTCCCGAGAAGTGCTTTGGAAATGCGTTGGAATGGTCGCTCTTCAATGTTGATCAGGCGATTTGCGTGCAGCGAATCTGAGAAAATATCAGCGTCAATGTACAAAAGTCGTACTCGGCAGGCTGTTAATTTTGATACCCTCTTGCGCCTGGTCAAGTAGCCACGGCTGTGCATCAACGCCACTACGATTTGCCATGTTGATGAAGATCTTCGCGCGTTTCCTGCAACCTCTTTTGTAAGAACGGACAGATTGGGAGACGTGTCGCGATGATGGCAGAGTCGACGTTCGGGTCACCTGAATTTTGTTCTCGTGATGAATATGAAGTTGTGGCGCAGGCATCCCGTGGCTGGCGCGTCGACGGTTCAAGCCGAGCTACGTCGTTGGGTTGTAGCCATCGGAGTCCATGATCTCTGGTCAGAGCAACCACGCCTCATCCATCAGGTCATAATCACGAGAACTGGACCTCTTCTCATATTTATCAATCGAACAGGACGAACATCTTCTAGGCGTGAACAAAGTTGTGGTGTAACAATAATCGTTGAGTATCTACGGGTATTACTAATGAGGCATGTTTTTGGTGATGATGCACTCCGAAGCGTGCCCAGGTGCAGATGGAAAGACAAGCCGAAGGATGGATCATCCGGCCAGATTTGCGCTGGTATTCACCACACGTGGACTCACGTGCAGCACAGCATATATATTAATGAATCTCTTCTACCGCATACAGTGACGTCCATATGCGTGGATATTTCTGTGCACATAAAACATTCGAAGTGTGCCCAGGTGTTCACGGCAAGGAAGGCGACAAAATACCAGGTCGATTTGACGGACCACTAGCCACATGATTTTAGATGGTCGTTGGTGGCTGAGTCTCTTCACCTTCAACTCCCAAACCAAGCACTTCTGAGAGCCGTACGACTGGATTGCCGATGCCCTATTGAGCAAGCTTCTGTCATACTGTGTCAAATTGCAGCATACATCGATATATCGCGATACATGGCGCCAGCGTCACTTCTAGACATGGCCACAAGGACGGCCATTTACCATCGTGCCAGTATCTTCGATGTTGCTGATATGTCATATCAACTTGCGAAGCCTATTCTGAGAAGACTGGACGATCCCGAGCAACTGCATGAAGTTGAGCTTAATTGTCCTCAGATAGCGACAGAAGATGAAGAACTCTGGATCGCATTCATCGACCGCGAGGCACCGGACTGGCGACAGAAATATCCCGTGAAGCCAACTACAGCAATAAATTATAGAATATTCCGAAAAATCTCCAACCTGAGGAAAAAGGACGAGCATGCAGCAGAGGAGGCATTACGGCAGCAGTTCCAAGCACTGGATCAAAAGAAGAAAATGAACGAGACGCAAATCACAGCAAGGCCATTGCCAACCCCTATTGAATATGCCAACGGCAGAAAAGTCGGCTTCGGCTCCTCGAAGAGACCCACTTACAGCAGATCGGTTCCACGTCCTGGTCTCGCGAATAACGGAATAGCTGCGATTCGCAGGAAAGCAGCGGAAGCAGCCCACGCTCGGCGAATACAGCAAGCAGTACGCAAACCTTCGGATGCGGAAGTTCTTCGTAACGCCAAAGCACAGATCAGGCATGCGCCGTCGAGCATGGTGGTTGACTTATTGCCTCAAACATCACGGGCTCAATATTTACAGAAAGCACCGCTACCTACGCCGCCTAATCTCGCGGGTCCCGCACCTCGTCACTTTGCAATCCGGAAGAAGCCAGAGCAGCAGATGCTTGATCAGGCAAATCGTATCATAGACGAAGATCGCCGTCGAAAGGGTATTCCCGGTCTCAAGACGGCCCCAGAATCCGAAAATGGTGCTGTCTCGCCTGGCAAAGAGGCGCCCCGACCTGCGCCTACGCTGACGCCACGCAAGAGGGTGCCTCCATCTATCTTCGCACCCACCAAACGGCGAAAGCTCTGAGACACGTCAATGGCTCCCATGTTGATACGAAAGTGATCGCATTTGGAGAGTAATAACCGAAGATCCGCTTTGAGCTGTTTTCATGTAGGCAATAGCGTCGACCTGCCGAGACACACTCAGGCAACCACCTCTTTCGCTGCCGCTATCGCCGCAGTGGCCTTCTCGATCTCCGTGGAGTCTGTCGCTTCGCCGGAAGATTTGATCTGGCCCTGTTACAACGAAATTCGTAAGAATTGAACCGGGAAAGATCACACGGCAACGGACGAAAATCGGCCACGCCAGCAGAAATGAAGACGCTACTGACCATATAGCTCTCGAGCTTTGTCAACGCCTCTTGGATCTTTTGTTTCAGTTGTGGAAAGAGAGCCTTGGTCTCCTCGGCCGCTTTACGCTGTACGATGCCGAACGAAGAATCAGTCTTTGTGTCTACGTATGAAGATGACGACGAGCATGACCGTTGAAGACGTGGCGAAATAAATAGCATGTATGAATATTGCGCGACCGTGCACACTGTTGACTTGCCTCCTGTCTCAAAGTGTATTCTGCATTCTCATCGTCACCGCCTTGCTCCAACTTGGCAATGCGAACTTCCTGGTGTTCCAGTTCTTTGTGGTAGCTCGCCTCCTCCTTGACCAAGCGTTGCAATACAGATGTCTGTATCGCGAGCTGCGACGGAGCTGGCATCTTGAGAATTACAATGCGAATTCGTTTTCACAGAATGGACGACACTTGAATTGAAAGCTTATAGAATCGCCGAGTGAAATTGAGAGTCGAATTGCTCACGGAATCACATACAGACCTTCAAAGAGACTGTAACGAATTAATTCGTCACAGTGCATCGTGAGGCCTGGAGGGGTGGCCCAGGGTCTCGGCAGACTTCCCTCGAAATCATCAATCAGACTTCCCAATCCGGCTTACGCGACCGTGTTTAGACGCGTGCACCAAGTGCCCACCCCACTAGGAGTTGCACGTTTCGGGCGGTAACATGTTCTGTTTCTCTATCGACGATTCTGGATCACATTAGCAATTGAGTGGCATTGCTTGGACGAAAGCATCAACTATCGCGAAGATGTCGTCACCAACCTCTCGCCGCTCCACGCGCAGCACGCCTCGTCGCAGCAGTCAAAGAAATGCACAAAATCCTCCCAGTGACAATGATCAGCTCCCATCTTCCCCAGGAGATCGCACACCGCGCGCAAGTGAACAGCAACAACAATCATCGCAGTCCCAGTCGCAACAGCCGCCAACATCTTCACCTCTTTTCTTCAACTCTTCGCCGGCGGGAAGCCAAAGTCAGAGCCAAAGTCAATCCCTGAGTGCCCCGAACGGCAACGGTGTGAATATCAGCTCGCCACTGCGGCAACGAACGAATGCGCCCATCAGCAGCGATGGTGCACGCACTCCACGAGCGGGTTTCGGAGGTGAATATAAAGTCGATACACATAGGTGCATCGAGACTAGGAAATTGACCAGTGGCAGATTCGTCTCCGATCCATTTTGCTACCAGCTCCGACGCTGCTGTTCCTGGCCCTCGCGGTGGACTTTCCAGCTCCACTGGACTATTCGTACGATCCGGCGCCACACCTGCCGCGCGCAATCAGCGCCACGATATCAATTCAGATGCCCTCGCGTCAGGTGGCCGGAGAAGACGAGTCTTTGTCGACGAGAATGGAATTCCGGTAGCAGGCGACCTCTCCGATGCCGCGACGTTCTCAAACTTGGACCCGAATACTTCTGATGCCGATGCGCTGGGAGGATCATCAACGAGGGTGATCTGGGGTACAGACGTCTCAATTACGGACTCCTTCGCGGCGATGAAGGATTTCCTCCACAACTATCAGCGTAAATATCGTATGATCATGGACGGAGAGCTTTCAGACTCACAAGAACTGCCCAGAGGACACCCGGGTCTGCAGAAGGATTATTTGACCATGCTGGAAGCCATGCTGGAGCTCGGTACTACATCCCTTTACTTGGACTGCCGCAATTTAAAAGCATATCCTGGGACAAGAAAGCTTTGGCATCAATTGCAATCATTTCCAAGCGAAATTATTCCTGTCATCGATACTGTGGTTAAAGATGCGATGATTGAGTTGGCTGAGGCGAAGACGAGTCAACAACGGACGAGTCAAGCGCAGCAGACCAGGAACGGCGTACAAGAACGCTCCGATCGCTCTAGTCCAATGCCGATGATGCCTAGCTCTGACATTGATGGAAACACCAATGGCGGCCCATCTGCAACGCCTCAAGCAGCAGACGATATTCCCGATCTTGTGTCAGAGGTGGCCGAATGTATCTATCGTTGCCGGCCTTTCGGACTCGACAAAACCGTCAATCTTCGTGATCTAAATCCGGGAGACATGGACAAGCTTGTCTCAATCAAAGGTCTCGTCATCCGATCCACCCCAATTATTCCCGACATGAAAGACGCATTTTTCCGATGCTCGGTCTGCCACCACACAGTCAAGGTTGACATAGACCGCGGCAAGATTGCCGAGCCGACACGCTGTCCGCGTGAAGTCTGCAGCACTTCCAACAGCATGCAAATTGTCCACAATCGCTCAGGATTCGCAGACAAGCAAGTAATCAAGCTCCAGGAGACTCCCGATTCTGTGCCTGATGGGCAAACACCCCACTCCGTGAGCATATGCGCCTACGACGAGCTTGTTGACGTTTGCAAGGCTGGTGACCGAGTCGAGATCACGGGCATTTTCAAGTGCAACCAGGTACGCGTCAACCCGCGACAGCGAAGTGTCAAAAATGTATTCAAGACATTCGTGGATTGCCTGCATATCCAGAAGGCTGATAAGCGCCGCATGGGCATCGATCCATCGACAATTGAAGAAGAGCTATCTGCGCAAGCTGGCGGATCTGCCGAAGAAACCCGAAAAGTTTCCGCAGAGGAAGAGGCAAAGATTAGATCAACTGCCGCTCGCCCGGATGTTTACGAACTGCTCGCTCGGTCGCTTGCTCCTTCGGTGTACGAGATGGACGATGTGAAGAAAGGCATTCTGCTACAGCTCTTTGGTGGCACGAACAAGAGCTTCGAAAAGGGTGGGTCCCCACGATATCGCGGCGATATCAACGTGCTTCTCTGTGGTGATCCTTCGACCGCCAAGTCCAAAATGCTCGAATACATCCACAAGATTGCTCCTCGTGGTGTCTACACGTCCGGCAAGGGCTCGTCCGCAGTCGGTCTCACTGCTTATGTGACTCGAGACCCAGAGACTAGGAGTTTAGTGCTGGAATCTGGTGCTCTAGTGCTCAGTGACGGTGGTGTATGCTGCATCGACGAATTTGATAAGATGTCTGAGTCTACCCGCTCTGTCTTGCACGAAGTAATGGAGCAGCAGACGATATCCATCGCGAAGGCCGGAATCATCACCACGTTGAATGCACGTACGAGCATTCTGGCGTCAGCGAATCCGATCGGCAGCAAGTACAACATCAACTTACCGGTCCCCCAAAATATCGATCTGCCCCCGACCCTGCTCTCAAGATTTGACCTTGTCTACTTGGTGCTTGACCGGATTGAAGAGTCAGCAGACCGAAGGCTGGCAAGGCATTTGGTTGGCATGTATCTGGAGGATAGGCCACAGAATGCAAGCCGCGACGAGATCTTGGTAAGTCCTCTATCGTTGTCGCATCAGCGACGGCTGCAGCATTCTAACCGCGTACACTCTAGCCTGTTGACTTCCTTACTTCCTACATCTCCTACGCTCGAGCGAACATCCAGCCTACGATTTCCCAAGCCGCGTCTGAAGAGCTCGTGGAAGCCTACGTTGCCATGCGTAAACTCGGAGAGGACATCCGTGCATCAGAGCGCCGCATCACTGCGACCACTCGTCAACTCGAGAGCATGATCCGCCTTTCCGAGGCTCACGCAAAGATGCGACTCGCCACCGAGGTGACCGCCGACGATGTTCGCGAAGCTGTACGCTTGATTCAATCCGCACTCAAGCAAGCTGCTACGGATGCCCGCACCGGTCTCATTGACATGGGCTTGCTCACTGAAGGCACATCTGCTAGCGAGAGAAAACGCAAGGAGGATTTGAAGAACGGTGTTCTGGGTGTGCTCGATAGCATGCTGCGTGCTGGAAGCGCAGCTACTGCTAGGCATGCTGACGTCTTGCGGACGCTCACTGAGCAGAGCTCGGTGCCCATTGAGGCTTCAGATTTCGCAGAGGCTTTGCGCAGTCTAGAGGCTGAGGGTAAGGTGCAGGCATTGGGAGAAGGAGCTCGTAGGTCGATACGAAGAGTCACGGGCATGGCATGAGAGATTTCAGACGTGATGAATTTGATGTTGACGAGATAACGCAAGAGAGTGGGAACGGCGGACATTGAGTGCCCTGGTGCTGGTTTTCAGAAGGCCACATGCGAGTGGTCAATTGTCAAGATTATAATTGAAATCTTGCTGTCAAGTTTCGATCTGGTTGCTCATGACTCTGATTCTACTTCGTCTTATCGTTGAAACCTCGTGATTGCAACGAACCCTCTAGTCACAGCCTCGATGCCGTCTCTCCGTTGGTCTGTGTCTCGAGGACCCAGTCTCACTACAGCAAAACAATCTTCTCGCAACGGAGCTTCGTCCACAGCGTCCCTCGTCCTTGGCCTCGTGTCTTGTCTTGTCATGCACCAAGTCTTACGAAATTCTCTTTTCGACCGTCGACTCGTGGCCATGCTCGAAAGGAATTCCTTTTCTGAACGTGTTTGCACCAAAGCCGACCTCGCTCACCGTCCGCCACGTAGAGCCAGAACCAAATGTAATGTCGCACCGCCCTCAAGATTGTACTCGGCTGCAGTCTTGTCGTCGTTCCTGTCCGGCAATATCATCAGCTCCCATTCGCAGCTTCGATGACCCGTATGTCATGGAGGCCCAGGTCCATCCAAGAGCGTAGACTGCTTGTCAAGTCACGTACATTTGCTTTCCTCCGAAGATCAATCGCTGCTGCACCGGCGGAATGCCTTCCTTCTCCTCGACGCGCTCTTTTATTTTTGAAACCTGTAACATGAGAAGTGCGACTGTGAGTCTGGAAGTGTAGCAGAGGCCGATGGGACGCCAGCGATGTGAGTGTCGGATTCAATGCGCACCTTGTAGTCTGGTTCAATGTCCAGCTCGATTTCCTTGCCGGTGAGCGTTCGTACTCTGCAGATTGTCGTGTGTTAGCACAGCTCCGAATCGTCACTATCTCAAGTTTGGTTAAGCAACATGAGTACGCACTTGATCTGCATCTTGTCTGGTGTGATATTTCTGCGCTGTGGATATGCTTTGTCTGTTGCAACAACGGAAAGTCGTCGCGAAGTGTTATGACGCGATAGAGGTGTAGGTGGGATGTCCCGAGGGGCTTGTGTCAGCCCTGTGCAGAAGTGGCTATTGGTGCCTGATCATCCAGCAGTGCTCAAAAGCAGTGCATAATAACGCTTCAGCTTGCGATGTTTTCTTAATCGATGCGGAATGATGTTTACAATAATAAATCTAAGCATGAAGAGTCACCAGACACGTCAAGGTTCTTTGGAGAAAGTGTGAATTCCGGGTCATTTCTCGTCTAATGCTAATGTGCCATGACCCTGTAGAAGTACATCTCCCGTTCGTGCTATACGTGAAAGCGTATCGCCAGGGAAGCAAAATCGTGAGCGTTATGCAGATAGACCGCACAGTTGAGTTCAGTCCAAATCGGCCGTGACGTTGGAGAACTCGCCTTTTGTGAGCTTTGTCTCCCAGAATACAGGGTTCGTGTCTGTGAATCCGTGCTTAACCCAGCCATCCTCCTTAACGTGATAAAGGTTGATGTATCCGCCAGAGTAAGCATCACGATGAGTAGCGGCCAAAATACTTCGTCTTCCCAGCTCCAACGCATCTGCATCTTCCAGCTCATAGCTGTATTCTGCGTCCAATACACCGTAGGCAAACGTCTGACCCGAGCCAACACAGAACAGGTTGCCTGCCAACCGAGTTCCGTCGCTGTCGATGTAGTAAAGAGCAGGGCCTTCTTCAGGTGTCACTCCCGCGCACATTGTTCCCATACTCAATCCCATTCCCTTGTAGCTGTAGACGAGGTTCGCGAGGATTTTGCTGGCGGCTGCCACAGAAATGCGGCGTTTATGCCGGAGCTCGTGTAGACGACACTGCATACCTAGGTATGCAAGCCAGTATTGGCAATCCTGTGGATACAGGTCAGTAACGATGAACCTTTTGTCAATTCTGCGACAGCTCGCTCCATGGACATTGACCACTTACTGCTGCTCCTCCAGCCATCGTTCCTAGCAAGCAGCTGTTGATCTCAATGACCTTCTTCACCGTCTGGCTGGCAATCCAGTTCCCAGCAGTCGCACGGGAGTCTGTAGCCACGATGATTCCTCCTTTAAAACGGAAAGCGAGTGTCGTCGTACCGTGCGCAATCTTGATCGGGCAGCTCGGGTTGGAGTGATCGTCGGTCATGGCTCGAAGCCATGCCTGTGAGGATGCTATGGGTGGAAGCGCAAACTGTAGAGATGGCTGAGGTGCAATGTCTAATAGAAGCTGTTGTTGATCCTCAGAGTTGTAGCCTTCATCTTGAAATGCCGGACGGCTGTATTGCGCCACAAGCGAGTCCATGACTGGATTCTTTGGCGGGGGTGTAGGACGAGTAGAGATCTGGTAAGACTCTGCGGAAGGTTTCGATGTCCGAAAAAGAAGCAATGGTGGATTAACTTTGGCACGTTCACAGTAGCAGAAAGGCGAATGAGGTTATGTCCTCTCAAGCTCCGGACAGACAGGCTGAAGCATCGTCGCGTGTCAGGCATGCAAGCGAGGCGTCATGGAGTCGTGACACCATATACGCAGCTGTTGCGTACAAATCAGACGTCAGCCTCACCACACCAGAACTACCACTCTGACGAGAATACATCACTGGATGCCCAGGTGTACACCTCCAGGCGAATGGAGCGGAGTGGAATGGAACAATCAAAGCTATGCAAACCCTGTTGATTCAACAATTCAGACGGCTGTGTGATTTATTCGCAGTCTGTCTTGAAAATATCTCTGTCTCCTGTCTATTTGTTGAACGCGGGTGATCGTGACAAGGGCAATGGCGCACGAGTGGACGAAAGATCTCAGCTTTTCAGATCGGCTGGCCGCGACGTCAAAGATGCAAGTGAGATATCGTTCAGATCGTCTTGCAAGACGATTCAACTAATGGCATGAAGTCTGGTGGCGTATAAGACTGCCCATCCAGGCGGCGAAGCAGCGGAAGCAGGCAAATATGCCAGGTCGGCTGAAGAGGATTGTAGAAGACATGCTCTCTCGATGGTATTCAATCTCGATATACACAGTCTCATGAAGTATCGCAACTGAAACTGGAATTGTTAATAGACAGAATATCACGAGCTCGTATCTAAATCCGTCTCTCTGCTCCAGAACGCCGTGCCTCCTTCAGCAGAAGCTCTTGAGGATCATCACCAAGACGAACACATCTTTCCAAACCTCCCCAACACTGGCGCAACCATAGGCCGATATACCCATGCATCGCACCATAGCGATGGCCTCTTCTCCGAGGTCTTCCGCGCTGTCGACTCCGAGCCAGGATTGGGTAGTCCGAACTCAACTAAAGTGGTTGCACTGAAAATCACTACTCCTGCAGTCATGACGCCACCGCACAATGCCATTCGAGAAGCGCGCATCCTGGGTGCTGCCAAAGGTAGCACGGTCATACCACTCCTTGAAACCTTTCAGCAATCCGGTGGTCGTTTCGTCCTCGTGTTCCCGTTCATGCCCCACGATCTGGGAACGCTTCTTGAGCAAGGCTACTTCCGCAAGCATCAAACGATTTCCAGTGTGAGCGCCCACCCTCGTCGCGTCATCCTTCGTGACCTCTTCACGGGGCTCAAGCACTTGCACAGCCTCGGCATTCTTCATCGCGACATCAAGCCCGGAAACATCCTGCTTGCTTCGCCACAGGGGCCGGCCTATCTAGCAGACTTCGGTATCGCCTGGATGCCCGGCGATCGCGATTCGGAGCCCGACGCCGAGAAAATCCTTGACGTCGGCACGACGAGCTACCGCGCGCCGGAACTACTCTTCGGCTGCACGGATTATGGTGTGGGCGTTGACCTCTGGGCTGCTGGATGTGTCGCGGCACAGCTTGTCCGGGACGATGCACATCGACCTTTATTTGATGCCGGTGACATGGGAAGCGAGCTAGCACTCATCAAGAGCATCTTCACCACGCTTGGCACGCCGGACGATGAAGGACGGATGTGGCCAGAGACGCTTGTACCCGGGCGAATACCGGATTGGGGCAAGATGCGTTTCAAGCACTTCTCGCCATTGTCCTGGAGCGACGAGATCCTGGTGGGCGCAGATGAGTTTGCTGTCGATTTGGTGAGAACGTTGGTCGTATATGAGAGCGGTTCTCGTCTCAGCGCATCAGATGTGAGTGTTTGCCTTTTTTCTCGTGCTTGACACATCCTCCACTGGCGACTATCTTTTTCGTCCTGCGTCTCTGACTGTCCTGCACCATACAATCCATGCTGATTTCTAGGCCCTTGAACATCCATATCTACAACCACAAGTTTAGCAGATGCAACGGACTGTGCCGGTCAAACTACGATCATCAAGCCCGTGGTCTTGCTGACGTATGTGAGGAATACTCGCTGGATTGAGGTCATGTTCTAAAGCTATGCGGATTTGGTGAATCAAAATTAGAGCAACATGCAAGTTGCCAATCTAGTTGTATATTCGTTGTCAAAAATGCCCTCATCGGACCACACCAAAAGTCCGACAGCCGTGAACGGGCTTCCGGTTCGTCGCGAAAATCGTGGCGTCTCCATCGTTATGAATGCAACAGACTAATTGCAGATTTTCCTTCCTCAGATGCGCTGTGCCAGCAACGCCACAACCGAAATAATACTGCGCTACCTCCTAAGGTCGAGATTGAATGAAAAGACCCCTCCTGAAATTTGCATCGCGTTACGGTCTGCCATTGCCAAGGCGATGAGATACTGCCAAAATCTTGTAACGATGTGAGGACCGAAGAACACCGAAACATCTACTTGGCGACGTCGGCGATCTGGAAAGCTTGCAGTCCATCCACCAAGCGCCGCTCAGTGTTGGCTCGAGAGTTGACAAAGTCGGGGTAGTTGAGCGTCAGCTCAGCGGCTCCGTTGACGACGTGGTCTGCAGCTTCGACACCCAACATGAAAGAGTGGTCCTGGTTGCCAACCTCATATCTCCAGCTACCGAAGCGTCCACGGGAGAGGATGTCCATGCTCTGCAACTTGGGCAGCAGCTTGGTCAGTACGCCTTCACGCTCGAGCGAAGGTGTCGGGTAGCCGTGATCGAAGCGGCGGTGGTAGGTGGATACGATCTCATCAAGGGGTCGGAGCATCTCCGTGTTGATCAAACCCTGGATGCAGTCTGCCAACATTGTCTCCTGGTTCACAGGCTTCATGCTCGACTCAGAAACTTCGAGCATGATGCTCCAGTATGGACCTTGACGGGCCTCAGTAATGGCGGGCGGCTTTCCATTGGCAAGCTGGATTGTGGGAAGCTTGACCGATGCCTCGGGCTGGTTGTTTGGGCTGTAATTCGAAAAGATGGTAGCACGGTAGAAGGGGCAGTTGTCCTCAGGGAAGTAGAGCCAGCACTTGTCCCCGATGCGTTCGGGGCGCTCGCCTCGAATGCCCACTCCGATGACGTGAGTGGTGCTGTAGAACAGACCCTTCGTCATGTCGATGAGTTCTTCGTTCCGCATTGCTTGGGCAAGGTAGTCCACGGACATGGTGGAGATGAGCTTCTTGTATTTGACCACAGTTCCGTCTCCGAGCAGAACGCGCTTGGTGTCGGCCTCTACGAGGTCGACCTGTCCATGCTTACCGAAGCGCGTCTTCTCCTTCGGGAGAGTGTCGGCCACTTTGATCCAGATGTTGCCAGTACCGCCGTGCGCGGGAAAGCGGAAAGTGGCGTTCGGGCCCCAATTGCCAGCGGCCTTGTTCAAGATGACATTCTTTGTGATCAGCTTGACGTTGGGAGCCGCAACACGCTCACCCAGCCATTGGCATTGCATCTAAACGTATAATTTATCAGCACCGCGTGCTCAGTGTATGTCATATCTCTCCGCATCTTACCTTGGTTGTCGGCACCGCCCAAACCTTGTAATTGTATGGTCGCATGAAAATGTTGGCCAAGTGTTCACCCACGTTCCGCAGAATCCATTCATCAAAATCTTTCGGTTTGGTGGAAGCAACGCGCGCTTCCAAAGCAGCATCGATCAAAGTCTCTAAACATAGCACCTGGTCGTCCTTCGGCAGCATGGAGATGTTGTTCTGGAAGGGGTACGGCACCCAAAGGCCTTTGTATCGCACGTATGAAATGCGCTGGTGGTGATACCAATCGGTCTCGAGAGGGAGGGCTTCATCAATGCAATCGTCGAAGTACTTGTAGTGAGAGAAGATGACATGGCCACCAACGTCGTAGAGCTAAGGAGTAGCCGCCTGGTCAGCAAGGAAAGACGATCGCAAGATCAGAAGTGACTGCTTACGAAACCCTCGGGAGTGATATCAGTCGAGGCAAGACCTCCGGGAATCTCGTTGCTGTCAACGATCAACCATGAAGGACCGTTCTGTTGAAGGAGAAAAGCTTGTTAGAGTGGTCATTCGTACGACATTGTGTGAAGTTGAGCAGCATACGATCTGATTGAGACGCTTTGCCGCTCCAAGACCTGTCGGGCCAGCGCCAATGACGAGAACGTCGACGTTGCTGAAAATGTGAGTATTAGCATTCCTTGGTTGTCCAATTTCTCTCTCGAGTCCCGCATTCGACCGTCGAGGCTAGGGGAACACACATCTCCTGGCCATTGGCCTTGCTGATCTTTCGGTTGTGGGCCATTGTGTAGTAAATTTCGTTTGGCGGGCCAGTAAGTAGAGATCGCACGCTGACGAACCTTGAATCTTCGACACGAGGATATAGAAAAAGAGAGTTGAAAGCTACCCTGGGTACGTGGCGAGTCTATAGTACAGGTATGTATTGCACATGCCCAATAAAACGCCGGTGTAATGGATGCAGGCAGGCGCAGACCAGGACATGCACGTGTACGCACACACCGCAAGGAAACCCACCTGCAGTGCAGTACACATTTTGTTCGCTCGATTATTATTATTAGTCTGCCTCAACATGATGGCCCTCCGGACTGCTCAATTTGTCCCTTCCTGCCTTACCGCTCTTCGTTCGCACTCGCTGATCGATGTACTGCGAACGCGGAGGTCAATAGGGGTGCACTTTGGCAGATCCTCAAGGATTCGTACCATGCCCAGTGGGATGCAGAAGCGACCTCTTATCGTGTCGGTCGTGATGAAGGGGGCAGAATAGACGATCTCAATACACAGAACCTTGCAGATGATACCTTCATTTTCGTCGACGCGGGGAATGGACGGTTTGTTGTTCAAGCCGATCACCCACCTCTATAATGGTTCAAAAGCTGCCAATGATCGCAGACGGATACTGGACAAGTAATTCAATTGATATGGTATTGAATGCATGACAGCCCACGGTCCCGTCGTCAACCAGCATGCAACAATCATTTCCATTGAACACCAGAAAAATTCAACTTATTATTTAGATGTGCTATGATACGCGTCAACCCATTTTTTGGGAGCACCCCTCCATTCTCAGGAAGCGGCCTACAGTACTGTACTATAGCATGTACTATAACATGTGTAGCCACCCGTGCCACCAATGTGAAACTGGGCGATAGGATAAATTTGTTTTAGGGGTCTTCAGCCCAGCATACCTCTAGGCTAGTAGCGGCACTGGCAGATTGTCGATCGATTGGATTCTTATGATGACTGGACATTCCGAGCCACTAGTAGAAAGAGCTCTCGGGCCTACACGCCGCTCAACGACATAAACTCTGGTGCCCCTATTTCTCCCCTGCTCGTCCCCGGATAGCAGACGTTGCAGAACAGCATGAAGAGGGCTACAAACCAGACTCTCATTAGTCCCCACTCTCTAACACTGCTCAGATACTAACAAATGTGGTGTCTGACACAGAAGTGACCAACGTCATTCAATTGTAGTATGAAAAACATGTGTGGCGTAGTGATCAATCTGTCGTTTTCCGGAGGGAGTCACCACTGTAAGCCTTTCAAAGTTTGGTTGGCGTAGAGGGCAATGCTTGTGTTTGAATCAATATGCCCCCAAATTCTGGCCGATCTGCGCGTGCCCAGGACTCTATCTATTCTCGCGGAGACTTTGACAGCGATCTAAAAATAAATCACTGCCAATTTCGAATGTGTAACGGCGTCTGAAAGAGAAGGTGTTTCAACCAAGAGCAGCAGTCCCGAATCTTACTGCATATCGTCACACACATGCGCGCGGACGAGGCCGGTGCTGTCAACAACATGCATCATCCATGCTTTGCCGGCGCATGAGAGAGAGGCTTTCATTCTGGTTGAGGAGGCCAGGGAAAATTAATAGGGCAAATTCGAAGGGAAAATCAAGTGTTTTGAAATGTTAAAGGTGATGAAGATCTCCAGCTTCATGGACAGGTTTCTCCCGTCTTGTGTCCAATACGAGTCCCGGTATCATGTTGTTCGTTCGACGTAATGCCCGTGAGGATGGTCTGTTGATGGTGGGATACCGTCTCACCAACGCGTGCTGCAACTGGCCAAAAAGTTGGGAGCCCCCTAGCCACAGACGTCGGGCAGGGAGGCCGCTTCCCACTACTATTCACGGCGTCCACTGCCCACGTTGCTGGCTTCTGACCACTCACTGGCATCTTGGCGGCATAGCTGATTCTCGCCTCAACTTCGTACTCTCCAGCTCCTCATCATTACTACAGGCTAGGAGCGAAGCATTCCATGGGCATGCCCTCGTCTCCCGCACTGTGCCACAATGCAGCGCTGATGTGCACCTATCCATGTATGTGGGAACTTTTCTATTCAGGATTGCATTTATGGCATGAATCTCATATGATTGTCATTAATGATTCACGCATTGCTTACTATCCCATTGGCCTTGTGGTATTCAGAAAACGGAATCATGATTGAGCATGCATACACGCCTAGATAGTGAAGCGAAGGTAACTCGGTCGTCGCGGCTGCGGCTCCGCGCGTCCCACCGATCACCTGCATCGTCTTGTGCTGCGCGCCGCAGTGATATCGCTTGCTGTGTACGTGGTTGACCATCAGGTTCAGCCCACTTGCACGACCTGTTCCACCCGTTGCGGCACCCTTTTTATTATTATTACCTGGGTACTTGTCATTGCTCACACCGCCCGAGCCTCGAGGACTGGACTGTAGCTACGCAGTACTGCTCATACTGGACTAGGCAATCTGTCAAGCGCGCCTCACATCATTCAAGCCCTGGACAGTTGTTCCCACGCCAAATCAAGGCTGCTCCTGCCGCAATCCACTCCCGACTCGCACTCGTCAGGGCCCTTCCCGCCGCCGTAGACCGTTTTGTACTGCATCGCGCTGATCCTCGAGCCAGCTTCATGACCCGCGTCGTCCCTATTCTTATTCTGATTCCAGTTCCTTTTTCTTTCTCACTGTGCACACATCACTACATCGCCATCGTGCATCTCCATCGCCCGACAGTCGAAGCAAGCACTGCTGGTCACTGCCGCTGAAAATCTTGCGCGCCATTCAATTCTTGTCGTCTTTCTCCTGATAACCTTGGCATCTCGCCCTTTTGCCGCGCCGCAATTCGTTCGCAGACATCCCGCCGCCTGCGAAACATTTCCGTGCCTATTGCACTCGCTTTCATCCACGAGTCCGAATAATCCATTGCAAGATTACACAGATCCGTATTCGCCAACATGTCTGACAAGGAACGGCAATCTGGTGAGGAGAAGAGGGTGGAGGAGCCCGTTTTGCCTGTCGTCAACCCAGAGTTGGAGCACAAGCCGGAGCCACCGAAACCTACAGGCTTACACCCGGCCTTCTACATTGCGTGAGTCGCTTACTAGCAAAGATCAGCATAGAAGAGGAGGAATGCGATGCACTCAAGGCCTGGCAGACAGCCCAACAGCGTAGAGAACTTCGAGCTGACTTTCCGCCTCTGCACCGGACAGGACATGGATTTCGTTCTCCTCAAGTGTCATCATCTTCAACAAGTGGATTCTTGACACCGCCGGCTTCCGCTACCGTAAGTTCACTCTTGGATGGTCTGCCTTTGGCAGGCGAGTCCTCGATAGTCTACCTTTGGCATCGAGCCAGCTTCTCTAAGCATCTGAACGTTTCCACTAATCACACGTGATACAGCAATCATTCTCACAACATGGCATTTGCTTTTTGCGACAATCATGACCCAAATTCTGGCCCGCTTCACCCACGTTCTCGACTCCCGTAAGAAGGTGCCGATGACTGGCCGTGTCTATCTCCGCGCGATTGTCCCCATCGGTCTCATGTTCTCGCTATCACTCATTTGCGGCAACTTGACATACCTCTACTTGTCCGTGTCATTTATTCAGATGCTTAAGGTGAGTACGCCGCAAGACTGCACTTTGAAGAGACGTTAGCGGGAAACAAAAAGCTGGATCACACCATCTGGGGTCAGAGCCTCGGGAGTGTGATCCACTGGAAGAGGAGGAGACGGCGATGTTTTTGCGACACGAATTCCTGCAGAAACCACAGGCACACTGAGTAGCACGAAAATTACGTTATACTGACGCTCGTTTATCTAGGCAACCATGCCAGTCGCAGTGCTCCTCATTTCTTGGACATTGGGAACCGCTGCGCCTAACCTCAGGAAGCTCGGCAATGTCAGCTTGATTGTTGTTGGCGTCATGATCGCGTCCTATGGCGAAATCAAATTTGTCGTGACCGGCGTGCTCTTCCAGTTTGGTGGCATTGTCTTCGAGGCGACTCGTCTCGTCCTCATGGAAAAGCTTCTCAACAGCCCAGAGTTCAAGATGGACCCGCTTGTCTCACTCTACTACTTCGCGCCTATCTGTGCTGTCATGAACTTGGCTGTGGCCTTGGTCCTTGAAGTCCCCCGCCTGAGTCTGGCCGACATTCAGAACGTCGGATACTTCGTGCTTCTGGCAAACGCCATGGTCGCTTTTGGCCTCAACGTCTCTGTTGTTTTCCTGGTAAGTTATTCGAACGTGGAACAACCTAGTACTGGTGAGACTTGCTTGCTGACAGGATGACCAGATTGGCAAAACCTCCTCTCTTGTCATGACCCTCTCCGGTGTTCTCAAGGACATCCTGCTGGTCTGTGCATCCATGCTCATCTTCGGTGACCCGGTCTCAGGCATTCAAGCTGTCGGTTACAGCGTTGCCCTCGCAGGTCTTGTCTACTACAAGCTTGGTGGCGAGAAGTTGCGTGAGTACGGTGCGGCCGGCGTTCGCGCCTGGGGCGAATTTGGTGCCACCCGACCGGCGTCCCGACGCCTCGTGGTTATCGGTGCGACTTTCCTCTTCATCATCCTCGTTCTGGGAAGCGCAAGCAGCTTTGGTGTGGTCCCTGAACAGTATGACCCTGTCAAGACAGCTGGCAAGCACCTCGGCATCTCTGGTGCTCAATAGAAAGCACAAGATGATTGGCCTCATTTGACACCGCGTGGCTATGATCAGCGACCTCGTTGCGACGACATCGTGCAAAGCTTCCGCCTCTAAGCTTGAGACATTTATTTCGGCGTAGCATGGAGTTCCTTCGTCTTCGATGCACTACGTCTGGTCGGCTGCAAATGACATTCTCCAGTGCAGAGAGCAAGCATATGACTGCGCAAGGGGTGCCTCGCTGACAAAGTCTGCCTATTGGCTTCCCACCGGCACGCAGGAAATCGTGCGGACGAACGCTACATTATCCTCACTAATAATATGTAAATTTACGCGGATTCTGGACGACTGCTTGATTTGTTATTGATGGAGAGCTATCCGCTTTGTTGTCGGAATTTGCTCCCGACCTTACTATTACTTTTACTTTTACTCTTCAAATATAGATGGTTGATCTGGCAAATTCGCTTTTTGATGTGTAGAAATCTGTAGCATGTGGAGGTCAGCAGATCGCATCAAACTTGGGAGTCATCATTGCTCTAGACTCGCGTCGCCTAATAGATAGCGAATGCCTACCTACCTATATAGTTACCTACCTAGTAGGCATGATTTAAGTGGACGCTCGTCTGGAAGTTTGTATTACTGGAAATATACCAGTCGCGAAGACCGACAGTATCGTTTGAAACAAACGAAGAGATTACTCGAACGATGGTTTGCTGTATATTCATGGGTATCTGCCCTGCCTTGCTATGCGCTGAAGAAGTAATAAAACATTGTTAAAAATTCAGACTTCTGTGATCAAATCACCCGTTTCCCTGAAGCTATGCCGCTGCATTTTGAGGAGAAGCTCACGACTTTGATCAATCGACGCCGCTATCATCACCTTCATCATCGTCATTAAGATCCTCGTCGGCCACCGGACCACAATTGATCAGGAAAGGATGCTGCAAGGCTTCCGCAGCAGTGATTCGCTTCGCAGGATCGAGCTCGAGGCAGCACTTCAAAAATTCCACCGCTTCCAATTCCTCCGTACTCAGCCCGCCACTCCCGTCCTCTTTCTTTGTCCGGCCTAGGCACCATAGGAGAATCTTCTCCCAGCCGTGGCCATGCTCGAAGATGGTGGTCACATTGGTCTGCAAGACCTGCCCATGCAATAGTGCCGTCTCCTTCATCTTCTTGCGACCGAAGATAGTACACAGTTCGATGAAAGCGTCAATGTCATCTGCTGAGTGAAAAAACGGGAAGCGTTTGGATAGGAAGGTGAGAAGGATGATTCCGCAGCTCCATACATCAAGGAGACAAGTCTGAGCAGTACATTTCAAGAGGACTTCGGGAGCGCGAAATCCTCGGGTGCCGGCACGATTCGCGCGACGAGAAGGCCGTTGGTCTTCTTTTGGATATGCTGGGCGAGGCATCTGCTGACTCGAAGCCTGTGAGGCTGCCACGGTGGAAGCATAGACTGATCCATGAACTCTACGCTGTCGCTCTTTCATGTCAAGACAGCAGACGCACTGATGCCAATCCGTGCCGTATTTTTCTGCCAATCCGAAGTCGACCAGGACTCCTTTCTGTTGATTAGGCAGATACAAGAAGTTGGTTGGCTTGATATCGCGATGGATGATAGAAGCTTCGTGGACATATTTCAAAGCCGTGAAGAGGCTGTGCAGGTATATCCGCATTTCCGTGACGGTGAAAACTCGATAATATTCTCGAAAGTCTTTGTGCTGAAAGTATGGTAGAATTGCAATGACTTGATCTTGATGTCGAAAGGCGGTGATCAGCGGTGCGACGTTCACAGCCGATCTCAGATCATATAGAAGCTCCAACTCGTTCAGGATACGTGATGGTGACGACGTGACGTAGATTTTCTTGATGGCCACATACTTGGGCTTGTTGGCACGAGACGATTGCTTATAGCCATTAGATGTGCCATGGTGATTCTCCTTCTCAGCATCAGGATCCCAGTCGTTCTGGTAGTGATCGTAGAGGAGATCTTCTGCCTTGTATACTGTCGAAAAGGTCCCTTCGCCGATGCGGTTAATTAGGCGGTAACGTTGTGTAATGTTTTTGAAACTCTGCTCAAATTTCTGGATATCATCCAGAACAGCATCGTCGACTTCTTCGTCTTCGTCGTCAGTGATGGTGGCTCCGCTTTCATCGAGTGGTCCTCTACTCTCGTCCATGTCCTCTGTCGCTAGTTCCTCCTCAGTGCTGTCACCATAATGTTGGTGCTCTTCTTCATGGACATGATGTGCACCTTGGACTCGCCGACTGACATGAGCCATGTGAAGGGAGAGACAAGAACGACTATTCTGCTTTCGGGTCAATATCTCGTGACAATTTAAAATGGGACCTGTTGTGCATCAATTCTCAGAGTCCGAGGGACCACAGGCCAGATCTCTGTCATTTCCTCTGTACCCAGGCACTCAGGGTCGTGCAGCGCCGCAACAGTTTGGGGAGGTTCACTGCTGCAAACGCGTAAATCACCCCGCGTTCGACGCGTGAGCAGGTTGACATTCTCTTTCCTAAAAGGGTTAGAGGACAACAACGCTCCCAAGTGGGACAGTCGCAAGACGACTGTTTCGATGTGCGCAATTCGTTCGAAGACATCACAGCTCATCGCTGCAGCATTTTCATTTGCGATCTTGTCCGCCAGGACCGAGACTCGAGCATGAGTGACTTAAGATTCGATCTGGGCGAAACGCTCACAGCCTATCTAGACGATCCACTTTCGATTCTCACACCTGAGGCGGATGCCGGCCTGCTAGATTGCGAAAACGATGCAGAAGCCTTCACGCCTGGCGCAATCAACGGTGCACTTGACGGGATAATCGATGCTATCGCAGAAAATCCGGAAGCTGTTCTTCAGCCCAGCCACCTACAGACTCTAGAATTCTTGTTGAAGTACGTCTTCATTGGCGACACGAAAATCCGATTTTACGAGCGCAAAGGTCTATCGGTTCTGAGTTCTAACATGTTCTGTCGCGTAGGCAATCATCGTTCATATCACCAAACTCTCTGGCGAAGGTTTTCGATCTGCTCATCAGTGGACTCGGCGCAGAAGCAGAGCTTATTCATCATGAAGAGCAAGATGGTGAGATCGAAGTCGCACAACACAAATATGTCCTTCAGACGTTCGCATTCCTTTTGCAGTGGTGTATAGCCGCGATAGAGGCGAAGGCGATCGAGGCCTCTGCTAGCGCATCACGAGCCAAAGGAAAAGCGACCAAAGGCAAGGGTGTGACGAAAGAGAGCGCGTGGGATCCTTCGGCACAAATTCAGACGGCCCTTGAGACCATGACAAAAGTGATGAAACTGAAGCTTTCTCGGATATTCGTAACCACCAGTGAGCGCGATGCTTTTATTGGGCTATTCACACGACCTACGTACCTCCTGTTGGAGAACGAAACACGCGTGAAGAGCACTGCGATGCGGATGTACACCTTCAAGGTGCTCTGCGTGGCGATAAAACATCATGGACATGCCTTCGGTGCACAAACGAGCGTCATTCAAAATCTGACGTACTTCGAACACTTGTCGGAGCCAATGGCTGAATTTCTCAATATCCTCGCAGAGCAATACGACTACCCGCAGTTGGCAGAGGAGGTCATCAAGGAATTGTCCAACAAGGAGTTCAGCGCAAATGACACCAAGGGACCGAAATCTGTGTCAATTTTTGTTGCTCGTCTATCTGAGTTAGCGCCTCGAGTGGTGCAGAGACAAGTGACTTACCTTGCCAAACTTTTGGAGAGCGAGAACTATACCCTGCGATGCTCAATCATCGAGGTGTGCGGCAACCTCATCGCCATGTTATCAAATGTCGAGGAATCAGAGAAACGTGAGGAACACAAGGGTCAGATCAATGCATTTTTCGACGTACTCGAGGAGCGCTTTCTGGACATCAACCCCTACTGCCGGTGTCGGGCCATTCAGGTCTACGTCAAATTGTGTGATTTGGAGACGAAATATCCCAAGCGTCGGGAGAAAGCTGCCGAGCTGGCTACGCAAAGCTTAGAAGACAAGTCATCAAATGTGCGGAGAAATGCGATCAAACTGTTGGGTCGACTATTATCTACGCACCCATTCTCCGTTCTTCACGGCGGATTGCTGAGCCACCACGAGTGGAGTCAACGATTGGAGACATGCGAGGCCGAGTTGGTGAACCTGCAACCGCCTGCAAGCGATCCTGCGAACAACGACGCCACGGTGGACGCGAGTCTGCTGGATGATGCCACTCAGATGGACAACGCGGCACGGGAACCTCTAAGCGATGAAGAGAGAGAAGCGGCGCTTCTCAAGGCGCAGGAGGAAGCCGCCACAGCACAAGCCATCAGTAAGCTTCAACTTACCCGTCGGTACTATATCGAAGCTCTGAGATTCATCGAGACTCTCCATGAAGCAACGCCACTTGCAATACAGTTGCTCTCCTCCAAAAACAAGAGCGAAGTAATTGAGGCAATGGATTTCTTCGTGACTGCCGATGCATATAATCTCGAGACAGCCAAAGATGGAGTCCGCCGCATGCTGCGACTGATCTGGACCAAAGGAAACAGCGACGAGGGCAAGGGCGTTCAAGCACACCTCATCGAATGCTACAGAGGTCTGTTCTTCGCGGCTCCGGACAATTTCAACTCGAATGAGGCTGCAAATTATATTGCAAGGAACATGATCAGTCTGACATTCGGTGCGACACCAGCCGAGCTGACCAGCCTTGAACAGCTGCTTGCGACGATGATGAAGGAAAAGGCCATCAACGAACTTGTCGTTCAAAAGCTGTGGCAAGTCTATGGCATACAGAAAAAGGAAATCTCGAGGTCCCAACGTAGAGGTGCTATCATAATTCTCGGAATGCTTGCATTGGCAGAGCCCGACATAATTGTCAAGGAGATGCAGACATGCTTACGCATCGGACTTGGGAGCATCGGCAGGAATGACCTGCTCCTTGCCCGCTTCACTTGCATTGCATTGATGCGGATGACAAACAACAAATCAACCAAAGGCACCGAGAGCAAGCCGAGTACGCGCTTACCAAACGACCATGCCGTTCTCGTCCGGTTGGCCGATCTTTTGAACCTCGAAAGCACCAGCAAAGATTGGTACGGCATGGCGGAGCAAGCGGTCGGCGCCATCTATGCACTTTCAAAACATCCAGACGTACTCTGTTCGGAAGTCATACGAAACAAAACAAAAGCCGTCTTCTCACCTCCTCCCCCCGCTGCTGAAGATGGGACAATTGTGCCCGACAAGAGCCAAATCGACGACGATGGAGATGTTGAAATGAGTGAGATTCCCGGTGAACCTGTAGATGCTAAGCCAGTAACATCAACAGAACCAGCAGCCTCGGATGGATCCTCAAACGCGGGCCAATCCGCGATACCATTGTCTCAGCTACTGTTTACTGTTGGCCATATCGCTTTGAAGCAAATTGTTCACCTCGAGCTTTGTGAGCAGGACTTCAAGCGGAGAAAGGCCGAAAAGGAGAAGCCTCGTGAAAACCCAGCGACCAAGGCTCCCGTTGCTAAAAAGGGCTCAAAGAAAGACGAAACTCCAGCAGATGAGCTCGATCTGATCACAGGAACAACCGAGGATGACTTCACTGACGCGGTCGCTCACGTCCGCGAACGTGAGCTGCTCTTCGGCAAGAACTCCTTGCTTGCAAACTTCGGCCCACTTGTCGTGGAAGTTTGCGGCAACAACAAAGCGTACCCGAACGCCGAGCTTCAAGCGCAGGCCGCATTGTGCATGGCGAAACTTATGTGTGTCAGTTCTGAGTTCTGCGAGTCGAACTTGAGTTTGCTCATCACAATCCTTGAACGGTCGCCCTCGGCCATCACTCGCAGCAATCTTGTCGTGGCGCTTGGCGATATGGCTGTTTGCTTCAATCATCTCATCGATGAGAACACGGACTTCCTTTATCGTCGACTTTCCGATTCCAGCTTGCAGGTCAAGAGGACGTGTCTCATGACATTGACCTTCCTGATTCTAGCCGGACAGGTAAAGGTGAAGGGTCAGCTGGGTGAAATGGCCAAATGCATCGAAGACAGCGATGAGCGCATCCGCGACATGAGTCGAATGTTCTTTGCTGAGCTTTCAGGCAAGGACAATGCCATTTACAACCATTTCGTGGACATGTTCAGTCTGCTCACCGCGGATCATGAACTTGAAGAAGAGAACTTCCGGCGCATCATCAAGTTCTTGGCGAGCTTCATTGAAAAGGACAAGCATGCTAAACAGCTTGCGAGTAAATTGGCGCCCCGGCTGCAGAGGGCAGAGAACGAGCGACAATGGAATGATGTTGCGTTCGCTCTCGGCTTGTTACCACACAAGAACGAAGAAATCACGAAGTTAATGAGCGAGGGCTGCAAGATCGTCGAGTCAGGCGCATGATTACCAAGTTATCAGAATAGATTTCGAAGTTGTAATACTTTACTCCGTCCACATGTGCTTTCACAGAAACGGTCGATTTCAGCGTGGGTCGACCTACGATGACTTTGTTCGGACTGCGCGAAGCTCTCCTTTCACTATACGCCTGTGTTTTGGCTCCAATCCAAGCATGGATTTTTGCACGTACCCCATCAAAGTCAAGATGTGTAAACCGTCCTTTGGTGCCATGGTGCGCCCAGTCCCTCTCTCACTTCCCCTTTTACATACTGGGATGGCGATGTGATCGTCGCATCATTCAGTCGCGGGACGCGAGGTTGACTCTGCCCTCGCATGCTTCATTCCTTGTGCCTTCCCACCACATCGGTCAATCTGTAAATGTCCTCGAAAATGCATGATTACGCGAGTCTGAAGGCTCGCTCGTTAGCGGACTGGGGGCACAAGCCGAACAGCTTTGAGGTGCATGCGATGCGTGCTAATCACGTCATCGAGCATGTGCGCCGAGTTCGAAGATGTCAGCGTTGAGAAGAATTGCCTCGACGATCGGAACGAGTGCGGTTGGTTTTTTGTTTGGAGCTAAACACATAAGAAACTTCAATCACTGCGGATGTGATGTTGAAGAGTACACAGCACAGTACACAGAAAGGTAGTTCTTGTTGATTGATACGTACGTGACTTCAGTCCGCCTGAGGCCCTCCTGTATGAGAACACCTGATAAGCTTGGCTGAAAGGATGAGGGCGGCCCGAATTTATGGACAGATGCGCTCTGGGGGACGAATTGTGCCTTGAATTTATCTTCCTTGCGTGCTGTTGTGGGGCTGGTCCTGGTACAAAACCAATATACTGTATTTCGAAGGAGTGCTGTCGTGTTCTGAGACGGGTACTGTGGATCATGCATCAACATCATCACCAGTCATGCAGTGGCAGAAACCAGCCCAGGCAAAGTCTGCGATGCTGCTCCAGTGAAATTGGGTGACGTCGTTCGAGACGACTTGTGCCGTCCTGTGCTGCAGGTGGATCTGGCACAGCCTGGGCAATTCTGACGCCGCCCTGCTGCCCCGCGCACTCGCTCACGAGGGAGGGCATGACCCAGTCACAATTTCACATCTGATCGGTTGGCGCAACTCTTCGTCGTCTGTCACTTCATCCTCCGAAAAACATCGCCGCGAACAACCAACTGATAATTGCGTCGTCGTGAACATCCTATTATTGACCAAATATCACAAACCAGAGCGCCCGTTAGGTCCACAAATCCGGCCATTTGCAGTCCGGACCTCCAGATGACGTCGGTTCGAGGGGACCGATCGTCCTACCATGAGCGCGACGATCGTGATCAGGACAGCCACCGCAGGACCTATACCACCGTCAGGCGTTACCAGATACCTGACTCAAACTCCTCCGCGCGCAGTATCGTGCGCGACGATGTAGAAGAATCCAAGAAGAAGATCGTTATCCGACGGGAGCGCAAGGAAAGCTCGCCGGACCGAGATCAAGAGAATGAAAGAACAGAGGTCCGCGTCACTGAGCGCGTGCTGGACAGGGACCCGCGCCGCGATATCTCATATCGGATTGTTGAGCGTGACTACGATCGCGAGCAATCCCGCAACGAGATTCGTGTCATCGAGCGCGAGCGAGAGCCCATCTACGCACCCTCTCCGACCGATGGCGGCCGTGGAGTGCGAGAATTCCGCTTCGAGCGCGAGCGGGACTGGAATGCACCAGACGAGCGACCCTACGAGCTAGAACGATATAGCAGGAGCACCGAATACTTTCAGCAACCACAGCCGATTATCATTCGCGAGAGAGCTGCTGCTCCTATCATCATCCGCGAAGAGCGCCGTGAGCCACAAAGGATCATCATCAGACGGGAGGAGCCCCAGTACGAATTCATTGAGCGCAAGGAAGTCGAGGAGACCAAAGACGAGAGCAAATCTTTGGTCAGGGCTGAGGAGCCGCAACCAACGCCTACACCGGTCACCGAGAAGCCAGAAGAAGACTACTTTTACGAGCGCAAGATAATTGAGCGACGTCGGCGTAGTGAGAGTTTCGACCGTCGCACTGAGATTCGACCCCGTGACAGCGCTTCCCAGTATAGTAGCGATGAGAGCTACGAATATGTGCGACGCGAACGCACATACGAGGAGAGTCGATCCTCGTCACCACACCACAAGCGTAACATCGCTGGCGGCGCACTTGCCGGTGCTGGTGTCGCCGAAATCCTGCGGCATCACCGAAAGAGTAAAGGCGAAGAGCCTGGCAGTAGAGGCCGCGATGTCTTAAGCGGGGCTGCTGTCGGCGCTCTGGGCGCCGGAGCGCTGAGCCGAGTGCGTAGCATGCGGCGATCTTCGCCCTCCTCGCGTAGCCGTTCGCGAAGTGGGGAGCGCGAATGGTGGGAGCGGGAACGCCACGATCGCCGACGCCGAAGGTCTCAGTCTCGCTCTTGGGCGTTGACACCTGCCGAAAAGCTTGGTGGTCTCGCCGCTGTCGCCGCTGTAGCTGGATTGGCAGGATATGCACTAAACAAAAACAAGAAGGAGACCGTCGTCATCCAGGAGAATGGGCCCCCGCCACGCAGAAGTCGATCGCGCAAGCGAAGAGGCAGCTTGGACAGTTACCTCAAAGAGGAGACCAAGCATGCGGACCCGGAACATCGCAATCGTCGCATAGCTCAAGCTGGTCTGGTCTCGGCTGCTGTGGGCGCAGCCTTTGAACGATACCGATCCAAGAGCCGTGGCGGCCACCGTTCCAAGAGTCGAGTGAAGCAGGCGATCCCGATTGTCGCGTCTGGTCTCGGTGGTGCGGCGTTGGCCGGTCTCTACGAGAAGAACCAGGCCAACAAGGACGCCAAGAAAGAAGCCATCATTGAGGATGAATTAGACCGAGGACGTCGTCGCCGCTCTCGCAGCAGGTCTGTGGCTGCATCGTACGACAGCCGCGCGCCACGCGGCATGATCAACGACCGCGCTCATAGCGACAGCGAATATGGATACTACAGTGACGACGAGCCAGGAGTCTATCGCCGACGACCAGGCAGCGCCGGTAGTAGCCCAGATAATCGCGATCGTCACCGCAGCAGAAGCCGCTCGCGAGCTCGACTTGCCCAAGCGGCCGGCGCCGCAGGCCTTGCCGGCATTGCGGCTCATGAGATCGGAAAGCGACGAGAGCGTAGTCGCGCGGACAAACAACGCAAGCGTAAGTGTAGTTTGCCATAAGTAATGTGGGAGCGTTTTTCTGATACCGATTTGATTACTAGACGAAGACGACGATCGCTACAACGATGACCGCTACAGCGACCGGGGCCCATATAGCCCGCAGCCTGCGGGACACAATCAATACAGCGCGAATCGTGATCAGCAGCAGCAACAACAGCAAGACTACCCTGGCGGGCATTACTTCCCTCCGCCACCGACCGACGACTACAGTAACTCACGTGAGGTGCCGGCGGGTGGATCCGGCAATGGCTTTGCTCCTTACAATCCTGCTGATTACGCGAATCGATCTATCGATCAGCCGATCTATGGCTCGGGTGCGTATGGCGAGAGTACAGGTAATTTGAATACGCCCCGCCAGGAGAATAATTTTGGCGCTGGGCACTCCAACAACACCCAGGCACCCCGTGATGAAAGAAGGGGCGTAGGCCGAGAGCCGCCCGAGAATGTGAGTTCGCCTGATGATTTTGCGCGATCGCGTCAAGACTATGATGACCGTGATCATCACCGTCACCGCCGCCGTCGGAGCGACGAGTCTCCGGAAAGTGGTATGTCCTGGGAGTAACTCTTCTCTTACGATATGATGGCGCGCTGGTTGCTTCTCGCGTCTCTGATTTTAGTTTTGCTTGCGTCTTAGACGCCGTGTCCGAAACTTGCTAACATACTGTGTTCAGATGGTATGAGTCCAAACAGGGGTGGTGAAGCACGCTCTCCTAGCCGAGTGCGCTTCGATCTCGATCAGAACACCGCGCACTTCCCTGAAGGAGGTCATAGGCGTAGGGAGCGAAGGCAACACCATGACGATGAGCCTGCCGGCAAAGAGGCACCACCGCCGGCGGGTGGTGATGATCGAGATTTAGACGATGGTCATCGAAGGAGGCGTCATCGTCACAGACCTCGTGACGAGTCTGTCGAAGACGAGTCTAGTCGAGATGATCAGGCCGAGCGCGATCGACGCCAACGCCATCGCCATCGTCAACACGATGAAGGTGACGAGGATGATGGGCGCGAGCATCGCCATCGCCATCGGGGGCATCGCGACGAAGGTAGGGACAGCCCTCGTACGGATGGTGCGGACGAGAGCATCATCGACAACATCAAGAATGGCACTGGCATGACAGGAGGTCTGCTGAAGACTCTAGCGTCGCATCTGGCCGACGGCGCGGAAAAGATCGTCGAAGGAGGCGAGGAAGAAGGTGGCGAGGCGAAGAAGGAGAGCGAGGGAGAACATGGGAATGGCGGTGATGGGAAGGACAAGCAAAAGAAGCGCAAATGATGTCTTCGAGATTGTGGCAATTGATCTTTTCCACTCACGGAAAGGAGAAGAGGTAATGGCGGTGCGGGTGGCGTTCTGCGTTGGACTGAATTATTTGTGTCGGCATCTCGAGACGGTCGACAAGCAACGATTTATGATTTGGAGATGGTGGTGTTTGGCCCTCACGACAGCAGTAACGACGATACGATGTGATGTTCTGATGATTTGGTTACGAATAGCAGCAATTCAAGTCTTTCCTTATCAAGTGCTTAGCCTATCTTGAGGTTGTGTGGTAGTGAACATGCGATTTCCAAGGTTGAGAACGGATTGTGTGCAACTTGAGAACTTTTGGTCCGTGTAATGATTTCCATGATGTTGCGGGCTGGTAATGATTGGGACGAACATCGGCGGGAGCCACTGGTCCCTGACGCCCATCACAGCTCGCACGACCAATTCCCCAGTTCACCACGTCCGACCCTTTGACCAGCTTTACATCTTTCCCTGGACAACACCGCATCTTTTCATGGTGTTGTAGGCTTGTCGTTCTTCGTCGCCAGCTGGTCTCCTTCATTTCTTGTCGCTCTTTATCGTGGTGAACACGTCTGTCGAGAAAGAAACCCCCGATCAAGCTCGGTAGACAAGAAGCCAATTTGTTCATGCGTTCATAGCTCCACCACAGCGAGGGCGGCGCGTCACCGTAGCATCCAGGACTTTGCCCTCACAGAAATCTGCAAGCACCAAAGCGCTGGACATCAGGTGGTGAATAGCTCAAGGCGCAAAGAGACTGGGTGCTGCTGGCCACGAAGGGATACACAGGAAGGTCAAGGCGTGGACCAACCATGACGGACGTCAGTAAACGCCACAGCGTTGCAGGCAAGATCGCTACGCCCAAGACTGCTCCTGTCAACAGCTCTGCTGCTGCTGCCGTTACCGCTCCCAATGCGCCGCAAGCAATGTCTGAAGCCCTGGAGGCTTTGAGCAAGGCCATTGGCGCAAGGTCAGTGGATACGATCTGCTACGAGGCGGGACACGGGGGGCTGGTTATGATCGTGCGACATAGGAGAGATGGCCAACGCTGACAGTGTTATCATCACAGGATCAAACTCACAACTGCGGGCCCCACTTCTCAAACTTACGAAGGCACGTTGTTCACTGCCGATCCCGTTATCAACATCGTCGTGGTCGACACTCGTGCGTCGGGCTCAAATGCGGCTGCTACAGCGCAGACAGGAGACTACCACATCATTCCGATCTCTCGCGTTCAGAACTTTTCCATTACTCGCGCGGCCGAGGGTAGCAATGCTGCGGGGTTCGCGGCGCTCCAACCGGCCATCGGTGTCGTGGACATGAAGCAGGCGAAGCAACGCGAGGAAGCTCGCATTGCTAAACTTCAAGAGGAAGAAAGACATCGTGGAAAAGGCGTGACCAGCGAAGCCCAGGCCTTGTATGATTCATTCAAGAGAATGTGAGTTTCTGTCCTTGGCATCGAGTGTCATTCGCAATGAGCGAGGATATCGCATGCCCTAGGTGCATCTACGAGGCATTTTGAAGCTGACCAAAATTCTCCCTCTCTCTAGCAACATGCCCATCCGCTGGCACAACCAAGAGATGATTGTACACGAAGCCGTCATCATCCCTCCGCCATATCGGGTGGAGGATTGCCGAGCCGGCAATGACAAGCAAGAGGTCCTCATCCGTGTTCGCAAGGTTCTAGAAGGAGAGCGCAAAAAGTTGCGGGAGAAGGAGGATCGCGAGAGGGCCGGCGCCAGGGCTGGTGCAACGCCGACAACAACGAACAGCGCTGATGCGAGGAAGGGTGGATGAGGCAGAAGGACTCTATCCTGCAGCAGAAAATCTACTCCCCGCGAGATATGTGGCACGACGAGGAAGTTGTCGTCGCGCATTGATCCAGCGTTCGGGACCGAGGTTGGATGAACGACCTCTTTCAGAGGCCCCTCTACACACACAAGACTTATCGATGAGATAGCCACTTTGGCACTTGGTCACGATTAGCGTTACCAAAAAAACTATGCGCATCCTTTGGATCGCCCGGTCTTCTACTGACTACCAGCGGTGACCTTATCAGTGTTGGTCAAGGATAGTGAACATCAATACGAAATGATACCCAAACCACCTCGATGATTTTTTTTTCAATTCTAATTTTCCGCTGATCGGTGTAAAAAGAGAGTAACAGTCTTGTATCTGTTCAGGAAACGATACGGACTCCCTTTGCATTTGCAAGGGACAGAACTGAACACGACATTAAAACCCCAAATGGTGCGGCGCCGATGCAGCAAGACAAGAGAAGTCATGTTGCCGCCTTCGTGATCATTAAAGCAATTCATATGCGTGCATGATGTTGTCGTCTGCCAGAAATCCTGGATTTGAGGTGAGGGGCTGAGACAATCGGACCTACCGCGGTCCATATCCAAAGCTCGCCTGGTAACGATGATTGTATCTCGCATGCAAGAAATATCCCGCCCATCGATCCAGATCCTCCAGCAGAATCTCAGTGCCTCGTCCGTAGCCCACAGGAACCTCCGATATAATCCTGTCGCAGCCGCGACACAGCGTGTCCCACAATTCTCGATTGACCAGGCCCTGCAGTTGCGCAGACCGCGCCAGGACCAAGGAGGCCGCCAGCCGAGGTTGAGCGTAGGGGTGATACCGCTGGTGGCGTGGCGGCGAGTCTGGAAACATGACTTCCACATAGACATGCGCGAACAGGCGAAATGGTGACCCAACGTCTAGTCGAATCCGGTGCAGGCCTCGGACGTGACCATACAGGAGTGTCTCAACGCGGGCTCGCTGACGTGGAGAGAGAACGACCTTGCCGCAGCTGTCGGCGCGACGGTCCTCTGGATTGTGGAAGAAGTGTTGCGAAGCGGCGTCAAAATTGATCCAGACGTCGACCGCGATGGTCGTGTGGGTGATGAAGGCGCTGGATATTTCAGTGGCGAGCGTGGGATTGGTGGCGATCAGGTCAGGGAGACTGAGGTGCGTTAGAGATGTGCTCGTATCTTTCCAGAGCTCGGCGTATCGTTGCTGCCGACGGAAGACAGGCCAGGTGCTCAAATCGTGGAGAGGTAAGGTCTTGTCAGACGTGGCTTGCTCGTCTTTTGCGCAGCCGTTCGTGGAGTCGTGGACTTGTGGGCCTTGAGTCAACCACCCCATACATCAAAGCAGGAACCAATTCGCGATACATACTGCGTCCGCTTGATGAGAGGCACACTTGAGTAGTTGGGCGGTCCAAGGTCGATTGACTTCTTGCAGGTAACGACATGGAACTTCTCCGTGACAGCGATATCCATGATCTCGACCGTGGCAAGTTGGAGCTGGCGGACCACTGCATGGTGGATGGTGGACCGTACGTGACAGTCGCTGGTGCTCTGGCGTTGGTGAGTTACTCGAAACCAGGAGAGCTCGTCAACATTGCAAAAGTGAATGGTGTTGTGTGGAAACGCAGCTGGCGGTGCTTTCACAAGCAACACCAGCGTCACGAGCCATGGACGATCATGTCATAGCATGGGTGCTCAGCTGCAAGTATCTAATCACGACCTCGTAGAATTGCATCGTTCTTGGAGATAGGTGAATCCGGACGCTAACAGCTCGAGGCTTTTTTGTGACAATCTGGCATGTGAAAGTGACCAGTTGTGATGCTTTTGCTTTATTACGCTCGATCGATGCAGCGCGCGCCGCCTGTCCCAAGTCCATCAACGAATAGATGATACTCGCTTGCAGTTGACGATGCGCGACCCATGCACGTGTCTTTGGCGATGATGGCAAGCATCACTTCCTCTGATGAACCCACCATGACGTCTGCGACGTGACAGAACGCGTCTCCAGTTCATACGACCATCACGCTCGAGATCTGCTTGGAGGTAAAGGCTCTGCTGAGCAAGTTGGGCGTGCTTCCGAATCCTCATCTCTCGATATCCATCGCGGCTCTCTTCTCCATGCTCTTGCGTCAACCCAGCAAGTAGAATGATGAAAAGATTTTTCTTCCGCGTCGTCAGGCGAACCTGAGAGATCAGAGAGAAAGATGTATTATTTTAGCCAAAAATTCCCTGCTGACTGTGAGGCCGGCAAGAGCGGTCAGTTGAATAGTTTTCAACTAGCAAAAAACTGAGCTCAGATCTCTCTTCACTGCTGCAGTTAATGCCCGTGCACTGGGATGATTTTCCAAAGAAGAGTGTGAGAGGAAGGAAATACTTATAGTTTCTGGAGACGGGCGGATCGCGCTAGATGACTCAGCTACAGCACGGTGACACGTCCACCTGGACAGGCAACGTCCCCCTTGCCAGCACAAATGAGTCACTTCAATATACACTGCGCCCGGGCGGCGCTGAACCATTCATTCATTCCCGTTTGAAAAACTTCGGATGAGCCCCTTCGTAATCGTCGCTGGCGCGTACAGCTAAACATTTCGGAATGCCGCTGGGTGGCTCATCCTCCGCAGCATGTGACGAGATGACCAAGTCACCTCAAACACGTGCCCAATATTAATAAGTTCGATGTAAATTCATTGAAGGATGTGCATGAACCGCCTGCCCATTGATCTTGTTTCATGCGAATGATTCGATCTGGCGTTGGGCTGAAGGCAACAATGAGCAATGTACGAGCACGATTTCATTTCTATGAAGCCATACAAGGACTAGTAGTCTGTTTGCGATCTGGATGCCTGGCCAAGCATATGGAGTCAGAAACTCTCAGCTCTGACTCCAACTCCCTTGCATCGATAGGCAGACCCTCGAAAGGAGCTCTTTTGGACCTGCCCGAGAATCGTATGTATGACTCGAGGTCTCCGCGGGCCAGATTAGACGTTGTTCGACAGAAGCACACCTGGGAAAGCTCAGATGCGTGGTCTGATACGACGAATAGCGAACTCCGTGGTTTACACGCGCATGTCTACATATATACAGAGAGCCTCTCCTCCCCTAAAACACTCCATCTTTCCGTAGCATCTGCTCTCCCGTCTGCGGCTCGCTCAATAGCGTCGTCTGGCCAGTAGCTGGCTCGCATGATATCCGTTTGCTCAGAGGTCCGGGTGAGGGAATGTTGACGCCCTGTGCTGTATACCCCTCTCCACCTTGCTTGAGCTGTTGACCAGTGCTTTGTCCCTTGACCTCGTTCTTTCCGGCGTCTCCTGCAAGACCGGAGGCGAATCCTCCTGCGCCAGTCTTGATGGCCGCCTCCTTGAGTGCGGTGAGGAGCTGTTTGGTGGTCTCTGGCGTAAGGTCTTCGTAGAAATCATCGTTGATCTGGACCATGGGAGCGTTCGCGCAAGCTCCGAGACATTCCACCTCGGTCAGAGTGAAGAGCTTGTCGTCAGTGGTTTGGCCGTGGTGGATTCCAAGATGCTCCTCAATTGCTGCCATAATCTTGTCACTGCCAACGCCGCCGAGTTGACAGGGAGTCTGGAGTCTGATTAGTGCTGCTATATCACCACGCACACATCTTTCATTGGCCACTGCCTACCGTTGTGCAGCACTGGACATGGTATCTGCCGACCGGGTTTCGGTTGTACATGGTGTAGAAGGTCGCGACCTCGTACACTCGCATGGGCGGCATCTCCAATATTCTCGCAACCTCGTTCATGACGCTAATGCTCGTAAATCCGTGTTGTCGTTGGCCAAGATCAAGCAGAGGCATGACAGCCGCTTTCTTGTACTGGCTTGGGTACCGGACGAGCACCTCCTTGATGAGCTGCTCATTTTGCGCGTTGAATTTGAACGGAATGTTGAGGTTGTTCTCAGGAGTATCGCGATGCTAGACATTCAGTGAGTATATTGATCATTCCTGGACCCCAGATCACCTCCGCGTGCATACCACGTTGAGGCTGTCGCTCCGTTTGGCGCTGGAGATCTGGAAGGCGCGGCGCTGTTGGTTTCGCAGTGAGCTCTGGAAAGACCTCACGCTGCTTCGGACAGCCCATGGCGCGAGTTTGGATGCCATATTGCGTGCGGGGTGGGGGTTGATCTTGTAAGTCCTGGCCGGGAGAGAGTTCGTTGATATCGTGAATGTCTGGCAGTAGACGGGAAGTTTGCCATTGACATGCACGACTTGACCTCAAGCCGTTGAATGATTGGCTGCGGCTGCCAAGCCCTAGCTGGCCATGACGCTTCCGAGATCTTTGCCCTGAAGCCTGTACATGGCCTCATGTCATATCAGCAACACAGCATCAGATGTACTGGAAACAATATGAACAATAAATCGTCGTCTATGACATTATTACTACATACTCCAGAGTTTCTGTTTCTAGATTTCTACGGCTGAGCTTCTCTTCGACAATTATTATAGAAAGCATGCTTTCCTGATCGCTGTTAGGATGCTGGACTTGATGTCATCGATCTGGCATGTAGCACCACACTACTGATACACGAGTACAAATCACACTGCCAAAGTACAGTATGCGGATCATTCCATACTGATGGATCTCAGCCCTTGTAGCCTTAGTAGCTTGGAGTAGTTCGCGAAATGGTTGTCAGGGTGTCTTCTCGCATACTAGCTTGCCGATTGGATCCAGGACGGGGCGCCTAAGAACCGCGGGCGATTAAGCAGCATTTTGATGCCATCAGATGCTACACATTGCTTCAACTGGACAAATTTGCCGTTATGTGCATTCCCGAAGATGTGCCAGATCCGAGCAACAAGAGGAATGCGTTCTTGCCCCTCGACCGCTCAATTGGGCGTGGCCAAGGAAGACAGACTTGGATTCAAGGGCAAAGCTGGAGAATGCCGAGAAATAGCTTGCGCAACGCCAATCCCAGGGCGGTAACGACTGCCACGCACGTCTCGGCACCCTGCGCCTCCGCTCTTGCGCGTACTGTTCTTCGGGAAATCAATCAAAACGTTCTCAAGTTCGCATCTGATTTATTTGTCGCAAACTCTTGGATTTATTCCGTCGTCCTTCACGCGAAGCTATCTTCGATAAACATCCGTATCAACGTGAGCAACTATTCCGAATCGTGCAGCGTGCAGACAGCAGGACCGTCGGCCAAATCCTCCGAACCAAACTCCTAACTTGTCACCGCCACAAGCTTCGCCGGATCTTTAACCCCGTTCTCGAACATCATGTCCAACTACGTATGTTCAAGATCCAGCTAGACCTTGTGTAAAGACACAGCCGAAGGCGGGTACGAGTGGGCAATTCCATTAATATTATGTCCATAGAACGCACCCGGTGGAGCCCCTCCTGGCTACCCTCAGCAACCGCAAAACGCCTTTGACCAGAGTGGCGACCGTGCCTTCGGAGGCGCGCAAGGCAACTATGGCGCACCAGGCCCATACGGTCAACAGCCTCAGTACGGCCAACAACCAATGTACTACCAACAACAACCGCAATACCCACCGCAGCAGGGAGGTTACTACGGTGGCCCACCACCCAAGCAAGAGAGCGGCGGCGGATGCTGCGCTGGTATCTTAGCGGCTTGCGCATGCTGCTGCTGCTTAGACATGCTGTTCTAGATGTGGCCAGGTGCATATTCAGGAGGTTTACTGGTTGGAGAAATTTACACACACAAAAGAAGGTTCAAGTTGCGATCACGACGTGTGCCTCGAACGGATATTTGGCGATGCGTTCGTAGACATGGCGGAGGAACATATGTATTGTTAGAAAGGTGTTCGGGGACAACCGCGACGACGACGACGCCAGTATCACTGGTCATATATATTTCTTTGCTCCTTTTCACCTGTGACCATGGGAACAACACGCTCTGGTTTTTGATATGGAAGGCTCGGCACATCGTCACGCTGCGCAAATAACGACTTCATCGCAGCGTTATCGGGCTGTGGCGATATCATACGGATCAGTGACAATACTGAAAGATGCGTACTCAAGTTGGCAGCTTTTAGATTTGAGTGACGCTCCCCCCAACGTCTGCTCGAAGTCTAGCAATCAACGGTTTCGGACAACATCTCGCATACGAACACAAGACACTTAGTCTACTGCATCACGAGCGCATTGCACGCAATGTTGCGGTAAACACTCCGGCGGCCCACTCACTGCTGTTGTCTCGCCCCGAGGGGTAGGTCAATGCCCACAGACTGCGCCCCCTATCGATATCCGACTGTGCCGCATGGCTCAACGTGTATTAGCGACCACTGCATCCATCTGCAACTATGCGTTCGTTGTGACCAGAGCATCGAGAATTGAACCCCATGAGAGCATAAGGCGGATCCGCTATTCGAACGAGCAATCCTTCACGACTGCCTCATTACTCACAGGGATGAAGGGTGTCTGCGTAGCAGCTGTCAAGCCGTGGCCGGCTCGACTCGGTGTTGCATTCGCTGATGATACTCGATGACACTCGCGGCTTGAAAGTTTGGATCACTGCCAGAGGCTACCGTTCAACTGATGCGAGGACGATGATCCAGTGGGTTTTCCCGTTTGCCAAGAAGAATACTGACAGGTAACTTCACGTTGATCTGTATGTAGTGAACGGCGTTCTTGTTTGGCCTGCATCTCGGTCGGAGCATCTTCACCAGAGGTTTGGTTGAAAGCGATCTTGACCTCGAAAGCACGGCTTTGAAATGCCTCCCCATTCCAGCCCGACGAGCTAATCATCGCACATAACATCAATCCTATCGAGGTGCGGGAACATCTCGCGCCGTGGTCATGTCATCACATTCAAGTGTCTCGTTATGGCTCGACGAAATCATCATGTATGAGGTAAGCTGTTGCAGCAAGCACTGAGAGGCATAACAGACTTCGTCTCGATCTACATGCATTTGAATAACAATGTTGAAATGACTGCTGAGTTTCGTTGTTCTCGAAACTTTTGTGGCTCTGCTCACATCCATGGACGCGATGTGGATTTGACTATGCTACTATGCAACGCGAGACTATGTGCACATCACAACTGCACGAGAACTACGGAATTATGACAAGGTGATAGGCACCAACTGGCCACACACCTGGCTGTGTATGGTTCTCTTTGATGGTGCAAAGGATATTGTCTACGCCGCATCTCACCTTTCATCGTCAAGACATCGTAGAGAAATGGGACTATCCGGAAGCCAACAAAAGCGTACCTGCCTAAATGGGTATGCGCGGTGAAAATCGCCGTCTTTGAAGCTTCACAGACACAACCGCCAATCCATCAAAGCTCTCCCTTTAGGAGGGCCTTCGTCGAATTTGTTCCACAAGCAAAAAGAGAGCTGCTGGAAACCAGACGAGAAGCTTGCGTTCAGGCGTTTTTCCTTCTTCGGCGTGTCAGCCATCAACATCATTAAGAATGTCTCTCGTTCCACCCTTCACAGAGGAGACCGCTCGAGCCAAGGTCAAAAAAGCGCAAGATCTTTGGAATTCTCAAAACCCAGAAGCAGTCGCTAAAGCATATACCGAAGACACTGTCTGGCGTAACCGCTCGACATTTCTGCGAGGCCACGAAGATGTAAAGTCCTTTCTAACCGCGAAATGGGACAAGGAGAAAAACTACACGCTCCGGAAGGAACTATTTGCCTTTTCTGGGAACAAAATTGCAGTGCAATTTTGGTACGAGTACCAAGATGCCCACGACGAAATGAAATGGAAGAGATGTTACGGCCTCGAGGATTGGACCTTTGCCGAAGATGGACGTATGAAGAAGAGACAAATGAGCGGGAATGACGTTCAGATTGACCAAGAACAAAGGTGGTTCAAAGACGGCATTGACATCAATGCTATTGAGATCGGTGAGGAGCACTGGTGAGTAGGCCAGAAGCTATACATCAATTCGACCACGTTTCCTTTATCACCTACCGTGAACGAGTGAAAGCAATCTGCTCTGCAAGTGTCGAAAGCACGCTCATGATCGCTCTCTCGAATGTCTGCATCAGTGACCGCTGATGAATGAAGCCATCATGAATCCTCCGCTCAAAGATCACGATCGCCAGCTACAATACTCGGGCACCCTGTTGCATTTGAAGAATTCCGCAATACTCGAATCATCTTAGACCCCGTCTGTCCTGGCTGGCTGCGCCTCGAAAAGGCCGGCTGTGTTGAGATCTGAGAATCGAGCGGGATCTGTTTCACGGGCTTTTCGATCTCTCCGATTCGCGGTCGACCGATACGATCTTTTGAAAAGTAACGACGGTATGCTGGGGATCCAGGGTGAGACTCTCGAAATGCGGCCAGCATGAAGACAGGCGTCTCTAGTCGTGATTCTAAGGACGGCGGCTCTGTCCGTCCATCGACAAATCCGCAATGCCAGAGTGTGTGATTTCGATGATCTCGTCTCGAGTTGTGATACGACAGCGGCGAATTCGATCATGGTGGGAGCCTGGCAACATAATTAGCTTCAAAGGGCTGTCGAGACTGGCGGCGGGAGGTGTTGTGTCTGCGTCATGTCCTTGCTGTTAATGGCCGTCGCTTCGGACTAATTGTATCCGATCATCTGGCCCGCAGCGGTCGATCGTCACAGAATCGTTCTTCATGCTGCGCGACTGATCTCTTGTATCAGCGCGGCGCCCTGGATGGTGGGACGGAGGTGTGCCAGCCACGTGCCCAATCGGCGATGTGGCTCACGATGACATCCGGCAAATCTTCCGTCTTCGTCGTCGCAAAGCCTTCAGGGCTTCCATCTAATTTCTTCTTGGGCGAATGACGACTTCGTGACGTCCAACTACGCATGTATTAAGTTTTTCCGACGCAAAGGATTTAATTCCGACTGTAATCGTGCAAAGGCCCATGTACCCTGCATTATTGCCTTCAAAGGTTCCAGCGATTGCTGACGCGAACGATCTTTGCTAGAGATCTCCTTTGCATTGCCGATGCTGACGCAAAGTTCCAATTACAGAGCGGAAGAGGCTACTCGCATTTTAAAATCGCCTAATCTGCGCTTCGAATGCAAATAAACGAAGATGCTGCAGGTTGTCCTATGCTCGGGCTGTGATCAAGAAAGTTTGGAAGATCAGAGAGGTCGGAGAATGTGCGTTCCGGTGATGAGTCGTGTCCGATCGGGTGGGATTCACACTGGCGGGAGCTAACCATAGATGCAGCATCATTCGAGCTTGAACTCTGGCCATGTGCACCACTCGGATCAGACATCATTACTACAGTACTGTACCTGGCATCACAATTTCGATGTCAATCGGGATAACAGCAATGGTCGACGGAACAAAATGACCCGAATTAGCGCGTAAGAGGTCGCTTGCATATAACGAGTTCAACGGCAACCTTTGGAAGTTCTTGCGCCAAACTCAACATACAGTAGTGCCTGGGCGGCACGTACCTAAGACATCCAATAACGCGCGATACTTCCACTCGGGTGTCCAACCAGTACGTGACAGAAGTCGGTCGCGGCAGGCACTGTTCCGAATGTCTAGTGCTACCTGCATGAATTTCAATCATGAATTGACAGCCGCCGACCAAATGAAGACGCCCCTCAAGAGTACAAATGGTGTGAGCTCTCGAAGCAAGTCCCCCACTGGTGCACCAGTTTGCATATATTGCACCGCGGCGTGTGCATTTACTCCTCAGAGATCTAAAATTTACGGTTGACGGCATGTAATTGTTAATGACGAACTTCACACAAATATATCACATAATAAGGAATGTCAGAAGTATGGAATTTCCGACAAATGTGGCTGCGACAACAATCATGCGAGATTTAGGAGCGACAATACGATCGGTGATCTTTCGATGTCACCAGGTCAGAACAACTCGTTTCGACTTGTGAGGTTGGTTTTCTGAACAACGATGCTGGGTCCAGACCCCTATCACCAGTGCTGCGGTACAATCAGCCGGAGCTGTACCGCACACATTTAATTTCGGGTTTCGTTTCGCAAAGAGTCTGGACTGTTCGCCGCAATTGACGCGTCTTGTCGTGCGGTATGATTCACGATACGGCGGATTGACTACCTTGCGTTTGTTCTGGAGTGCCTTGGAGATGGGACTGATGAGGAGGGAAATTGCCGGCTTCTGTGTCAATGTTGTCTAAAAACTAGTTGAATTACCTATACAGTTGATGAAGATACGCTCCACTCAGCCCTGGAGTGGAGGACGTGTGCGTGTAGCGATCATGGTCGGCCTGAGGCAGTATCCCGCGTTCAACGGGTAGAGTCCAAGGGTGGTACTGCTGTATGTAGTAGACCCGCACAGATCCATCGAAGATGAGCTCTCGATCCCGACGTCAAGTCTTGGCGGTCATGAGCATCGAAGACCAGCACGGCGCAATCGTGAGCACAAGCGCCAGACAACACACACGCGCGATCAGTCTGCGATCTCTCTCGATGGCTTCCGTTTCAATCGTCCTTTTGCCCACGAACGGCGATCGTGAGGAATTCGCGGCCTGTCGTGAACGCGGCCGGCCTGTCTACTCGTGGTGTCGCTGCTGCCGATGAGTAGTGCTGGGTCTACTGACCACGATCAAGGAATTGTCATTGCATCACACACCTACCTCATCGCTACCTCATGAACCTCTTTGGAGCCGGTCACCTCGTGCCCACTATGGCTCGTTCGCCCTGAACTCGGCATGTCGCTTGCAGATCTCCGTCTGTGACCGCATCTCACCCGTGTGATCTCGATTGAGGCCGATTTCTTCTCCGATATGGTGAAGGCCTGTCGCTCGTTCTGAACCCTTCGACCTTCACCATATTGCGGCCCATTCAGTAGCCGGCGTCTCACCCGCTGCCTTGGACGAACCATTTACATTTCCAACAAAAAGCACCACCCAAGCGTCGACGAATATCGCAGAAACTTACGACATTCTGTATTTCCTTGGCAATCGAGCGCCTACACATATCCGCGTATGAAGTGCTCGAATAAGTGTGACGCTCTCGTCGAGTCCTCTCACGATCATATCTGCCATGGCTTCCAAGGATAGACAGCCAGTCATCGCAGTGGCGAAGCGTACTGAAAACGACAGCGCGACGACGCATCGACGCCCGCCACCACACCACTCATTATCACTTCTTCACTCGAAGCGGCGGAACTCCCCGAATGATAGCGACTCGTCGCGGAAGAGCCAACACCCCAGCGGGAGCGATGGCACAGATTCTCCCTCCAGTCTCCGGCCAGGAAAAGAGAGCTCTGGTGGCGAGAGCAGCAACGCCGACAAATGGTTCGACAAATCCAACAATGAAGTGCAGGAGCATTCTACCTCATTCGCCGACGATGAACCTCCATTCTTCATGCCGCAGTCCTCTTCTTCAGAAACTCCCCCAGAGGTCGCAGCCGCACGGCGCCAACATTTTGCAAGGCATGGCGGCGACGCCGGCTCCTTGCCAAGGCGCGCAGACATGTTGCGCATTGGCACGGAGGGAAGCAGTACCGATGAATATAGAGGAGTGATCGATGACCTGACGATTGAGAATAAGAGGTTAAAGCGGCGTTTAAAGAGAGCAGAACGATATGTGGACTCGCATCTGAAGCATGAAAAGTTGTTCGAGGTACGAACAAGTGGGTTGCACGGTGCTCACAAACGGGAGTTGGAGCAGATTCTCAAGAGTTTCGCCGAGCGTATAGATACATACACTTCGCTACCCGTGTCACATTCGGGAGCACTGGCCGCCCCAATCTCGGATTCCGCATATCAATCGAACTCATTCTCGGGACCAACATTCGCTGGGTCCGGCTCTCGCACCATGGCTCGTTCCGATCAGGTGGCTCGTCCTGATCAGGTGGCTCGTCCCGATCAGAATCCAGGATCTCGAGGTGTCAGCATCATGAAATTCTTGCGCAACATTCCAGAGTCCCAGACAAACCACAGGGATCCAACTCTCATGTCTGACCGTGAGAAGAAGGAGGTCGTCATCGACAAGCTCGAGGAGATCTTTCTTGGACGCATTGCCTCCGGTGGACGACATCTGCATCTTTTGCAGCAACAAGAAGTTTCAGATCTTGCGGGTCAGGAGGATCGGGATGCTACATATGGATACAATCTGCACACTCGCTCGGAAGGTCCTCGCGAAGCACATATGCTTCCTCGAGGAGCTGCAGGCACTGGCTCCGGTGGGCACGACTTGACGAGACCAACCGTTGGGTCGGCACTCAATACGAGCGGTTATGATGACGGCGATCCATCGGAGAGAGCAATGCCGGAACAACGACCAACAAAACCCCTCGACCTCGACCCACAGCGCGCCCAAAACCCTATGGAGAACGTTCGATACATTTCGCATTTGGGTTTCTCTCCAATCGACTTAAATTCGAGGACACCCAAGGGCGAGGATCACGGGTGGATATATCTCAATGTTCTAACAAACATGGCTCAGCTTCACAGTCTCAACGTGACGACTGATTTCATGCGCAAAGCACTGGCAGAATACACGTCCAAATTTGAGCTGTCGGACTGCGGCCGAAAAGTACGATGGGTTGGCTCGACCTCAGCAAGTCGGAGTGGGGCTGAGTCAACGAGCACTCGGGCTGGGCTGGATACTCCAAACACCTACAGTCCTCGGAAACGCCAGAGGCGAGCTGGTGGCCGCTCGAATGCATCGGGAACCTTGCGATCTCAGACAAATGAATTTGAATATACACCCCTCCTGGTGCAGCGTCATAGTTCCGACGGTACCGATAGCACGTCCTCGGACAGCGACAGCGATAGTGTTTTCTCCCAGCCTCCCGCTCTACAGAATGGCGACTCATCTGCGATGACTAGTTCGGGGATGGCTACAGGTTTGCATGGTGCCACTCAAGTCATACCCCAAAAGAAACGGAAGGTCCAGGACGATGGTCCCATCATTTTCTACAAGACATCTCGATTCATCACCGATCTCAGCGGCGAGCAGTATCCTCTCGAGGACTATCCGCTCGGACCTCCTTACTATCCTGCTAGCGGCGTGCCTGTCGGTGCTCCCCGGCAGTCTGAAGGACCGGGGCCTGAGAAACGCGGTCCATTGATGACCGCTAAATTACCGGAGCCCATGGACCTCAGCGACAATCCGATCCCGGCTTCTGAGGAGCTGTCCTTCCCGTCACAATCTTCCTCAGCGTCTGAGACGGATAACATAAAGCCTGTAGAACTTGAAGTCACTGGCATTGGTGGTGTTTGGCCTGCTGACAATTTCGCGATTGCCGTCCGAAGCTGCCACGTTGCGGTCGAGGACGCGACGAAACACGACCAAACCATTTCGAAAATCATTCCACCAAAATTCGCTAAGCTTCTGGACTCCGAGCGAGCACAGCGTCCAGCCACACCCCTGCACCAGCACCGCGTCATCTCATTGCGCCGCAAAGATCTACCTCCCTCGGAACTGCCTCCAGCGCTAAATTTCATGTCTGCTGACGATGGCTCTGACGAAGATGAATCTGGCGGAGAAGACGAGTCGGATGAGCTGCGTTGGGAGCGACCCATATCCGACGGGTGCGGACCATCAGCCGCACTCCAACCACTGCACGCGCCATACGGATCCTCTGACGATGAAGACGAGGACGAGGATATGGACGACAATGACGACGACAGCCGCATCGACATGCTGGCCACCGCTCGCCAGATTGACCCGGAAGGCATTCGACGCATGGAGCTGGCATATGATGCGGGTGTCACCGAGCGTCTAGCCGAGGAGATTCCTGCAGGAAGCAGTGCAGCGACCGCGGGTGGCGGAAGCGGGAACAACAGTCCTGTTCATGTAAAAAGTCCGTCGAGTTCCGCCACGGATGCTAAAATGAAGCAAGCAGGAAGGAAGGTGAAGAATCAGGCATCGACAGCGACAGCGACGATGACCTCGTCGTCCTGAGTACAATAGTAATAATGTAGAGGAAGTGCCACCATGAGGCGTTCCATGTTTGTAATGCATCGATTAGGCACGGCCCACTTCTGAAATCATAGATCACCCACGCCTCGAAGACACTTTAACGTCCTGTGAGGCGTCCTGGTATGTTGGCCGTGTCCCGCCGCTGAAATGTGCGGATTGGGGACTGGAGTAAGGCTGAAACCCTAATCACTCCATCGCAAAAGCGAGTAGTGCCCACCCAGGTGTGCAGTAGTGGTAGTGATATTGCTCGGAGGAAGGGTTTCATCTTGCTGAATCCCTTGGTCCGCGGCACGTCACTAGTCTAGGAAGATCGCACAAACGTGCATCTTGAGAGGAGCTCTAAACAAGCAGGGAACGCGGTCTCACTTGTCACCATTGTACTGCGAGCCGCATCGCGTCGGTCGTTGCCACTGCTTCTGTTCAGGGAACTCGTGTTTCTTGCAAAGATTCTCTTTCCTTAGTGCCGGTGACATCAGGATCTTCCAGAACTTCACTCTGTCGACGGAATTCAAGTTGGCCTACTATGAATTTGCCATGATAGAAGAGCATTTCTCGTGACCGTGACGTCGCTTTAAAGTTCAATTGATGCTTGCCGAGCGCTCGCACAACCATCTCGAACGCCTACAGAATGGACTCGCATACCCTTTCAGAGGATTCTTCGCCCTCACATTATACACCCAATGCGGACGACCCTGGTCCTGTGCCGCCTCCCTCCGAGGTCAACGAGTTTCTGAGGAAGAAGCGCAAGGCTCGTGAGCACAAAGCGTGTTATCCGTGTCGATTGCGCAAAGTGAGGTGAGCATGTTCAGGCCAACGTCACGCCCATATCCATGGTCGACGGCATGGACGGCTATCAGCTTATATCAAGAGATGTCGAATGAGAACTAACCAGAATTGACCCCCTTGAAGATGCGACCTTACACGCCCTTGTAAGACCTGCCGCGACCGAGATCATCCCGAGGCTTGCAGCTACCATCCTCCCAATAAGCGGCCCGCTGCAGAGAATCCTCACGATGGGCTAGTCCCGAGGTCTGTGGCGGAGACAAAATCATCCAGCGCCGTGACGTTGTCTAGGAGTGACTTTGACGTATTGTGTCAGAAGCTGAGCAATCTGGAGGAATCAATCACTGATCTTCGGCGCGAGGTGCGATCGATACAAGAAGCGAATGCTGCTGCTTCACTCGGCACGGATCAGCGCCAAGCAAGAGAGCAGCCGCATGACGAACGTACTGATGCGCGGCGTCAATCACACACTGATCGCCATGGTCTCCATACCAAGAACGAATCGGTAAGTCCTTCTGAAGCATGCATCCGTTACATCCACACAAGTCCATTAACAGTGCGGGACATCAGGGTGAGATTGTGCATTTCGGTGGAGACTCGATCCCAGCACTTTTATTTGGTCTGGGCCAGGAATCACCGGAAACCAATGATGTTCAGCAACCAATACTACAGGAGTATCTGGGCAAAAACGTTTTGCCTTTATTCGGCCTGGATAATGAATCTGCAACTTATCCATTCGTCGATTTATGGGGTCTTCCTCATGGTTCCATCGAGCGCGCAAAGAAGCTAGCAAACGTGCTGCCTCTAAATTCGCAAATGGAAAAATTCTACGAAACTTATCGGGATGTCAGCCATATCATCTACCCTGGAGTGGCAGACATTGAACGTTTTGGCTTGGAGGTCACTCAATTCGTCGCTGATCGAGACAAACGTGCTTCCAAAGATGAAGGCATCGACGAGACCATCATCTACGGGAAGAGTTTCCATTGGCTTGCTTTGCTGTTCGCCGTCATGGCTGCTGGCGCACAATCGGTCGAGAACATGGGGCGGAGGGAGAGGCAGCTGACCTCCAGTGTATACGGTATGTCGCTTCCTCATCTCCGAACCTCGTACGATCACTCTGCGGTGGTTATTTGTGTGCTAACTCACATGTCACCAGTATGCTGCAGTTTTGAGTGCCTACGTTTCACCAACTTCATAGCTCAGCCCAGCGTTCACCACATCCAGGCTCTTTCGCTCATCGGATTTGTGCTTTCCAACAACATGGTATTGGGTCCCATTGTCGTGGCAAAATCGGAACATTTTCACTGACGCGGTAACAGAATGCCGGCATCGCCTGGTCGCTCTTGGGTTTGACTATTCGTCTCGCCCAAGGACTTGGCTTACACCAGGTTTGCCCACCACGTATCCCAGCAGAAGTGGTTCATTTCCGATCCAAAATATGGTGGGCGATCATCTGGCAGGATAGTCTTCTCAGCACAAGCTATGATCGGATCGGCATGCTCGATACAAGCACTCGCGACATGCCACAGAAATTCGGTGCGGTCGGTGCTTACCATGGTGCCATGTACCGCCTTAGCCAAATTGCCACGACGATCATTCGCAATCGCGCAGCGCCCGTAGAACCGCGGCTACAGATTTCCCGAATCCACGCCCATCGAGATTCGATCGCCCAAATCATCGCGGAAGCTTCGCCACATCTTCGCGACTCGAGACAGTGCTCGAGCAAGAGGGAGGCAATCGAGCACTGGGGCCTCTACATGCACTCGTCATACGTCCTTTCCGAACTCTTCCGTCCAGCCATCGGTCGCGCAGCATCGAATGCCGGGACGGAGATCGCGCAGCTTTTCAGGCAACCCTGTGTCGAAAGTCTGATCGACACGGTTGACGCCTACATAGGTTTGAACGGCGTGACCTTCTATGCTCAACAGTCGTGGGGTGCGATCCATCGTGGCCTCAGTTCTGCCCTCCTTCTCGGCATCCTAGGCGAGCACAGGCGGCGCCAGCGCGTCATGGATATGATCGCACGCTTGGTGAATCTCATGAATGAGATCATCTCGAGCAGAGACCGGAACGAATTATCTTCGCCCATGGAGAGGGGAATCCGGGCTTTGAAACGATTCCTCGTCGAAGCGGAATCGTCCTCAAAGCTCGACTCGACTCACTCCAGTCACTCGCAAATGCAAGCCCAGGCGGCTGGCGCCTCTTCGTTGTTCTCACCACCTGAGACTTTAAGAAGGTCGGACAGTTTTTCCATGTCTTCACCGGGTACAGATTCTTCGCCTCATTCAGTATTGAACATGATTCTTTGGGGCGAAGGGGATCTATCTTAGACAAGGCCTCCTCCACTTAAATGCCTACGGCTGTGTAATCAGACCTATCAAACGCGCGTGACAATGGGCATCAGACTAGCATGTACGATTCAAGGTCTGTTCCCGGCATCACGACACCTTTGTTGCTCATGAAGAAATTTTGAACATAGATAAGCAGGCTGGCTGCTGGAAATACTCAAGCTAAAGTACACATGATTATGCTCGCTGGTGTGGGCACGCCGAAGCAACACCGAGCGATGCAGAATCTCACGAAATAATGAGCGAGCGATAAACATCGTCAGATGATACGTACATCCTGTACGACCGTGTCAGCAAGGCCAAAATTCGTCTTCCAGTGCAATGATGATCTTAGTGGATGCATAATCTGGCAAGCTTTCACACGAATTTCCGAGTGCTCTCGTCGCGTCCATAGCCCGTTTCCTGAAGAAAGCAAACAATGATGAGAGCAGCCGGCTGCGGAATAATGCCGCAGCCATCGAGCTTGAGAACCCTTCCGCTTCCTTCACGCAATTTGTGCTCAAGTTGCGGTGGCGTGCGATCTGGGGATCTGCGCCCTAGGTTCATAGATCGTTCTAGGCCTGGTCAATGGTGACAGCTGCTGTATGGCACCTGGTACTCGACGCCGGGATGCTGTTGACTGGCCCTACGCGACTTGGGGAGTGATGGTGCCTAACCACCTCCACGAGCGTAGGGGTGATAGCCACGGGCACCGCCGCGGCCGCCTCCTCGGTAGTTAGCTCCAGGCCTGCCGGCGTTCTTTGGGCCTGTGGGGGCATTGGCGGGCGCATTAGGCGGCTGTTGACCTGGTTGTTGCTGTTTAGGCCCGACACTGGCACGGCCGCCGCGGCCGCCGAAGCTGCCTCCACGTCCGCCGCCAGCTTGGCTGCCCGGACCTTGCATGCCGGCGGGAGCGGGGACGTCATCGTACATGCCGTCCCAGGTGTTCTGATTTGAGAAATTCTGCTGCTGCATTCGAGCCATCTGTTGTCGCTCGTACTTCTGTCGTTCGAAGTTCATCTGTTCTTGAGGATTGAAGCCTGACCCTCGTCCAGCCTGACCGTCGTTGGGACTTCCCTGTCCACCTGGCATGGGGGAGCCGCCGTCGCCCATGCTGCCCTGATAGCCAGGCATATTGGCCATCTGCTGCATCTGCTGCATCATCGCTGGATTCATGTTGCCACCTTGTTGTTGAGCGGCCATCATTTGCTGCATCATTGGATTTTGCATGCCACCCATCATGTTGCCACCCATATTGTTGGCAGCAGACATCATGCTGAAATATTGCTGCATTCGTTGCCAGTAAGCCGCCATCATAGCTGGCGTCATGGCTGCTCCATTATTCTCGCCTCCAGGGGGTGCGGCTTGAGTGTTTTGGTTGAAGGTACTTCCCTGGTTGCCACCGAACTGTTGTCCGCCTGCTCCTCTGCCAGCGCCTCTTCCAAACCCGCGCGGGTTGGCACTCTCTTCCTCGCCGATCTTCCCACGAGGCTGCGCACGCTTAACCTCGATGGGTTTGTTCAGAATTGCGAGCGGTCCCTCTAGTGTTCGCTCGACGGCAAGCTCACTATCGAAAGTGACAAACCCGAATCCTCGAGGACGGCCTGTTTCCTTGTCCATCATGAGTGTAGCATCGAGTACACGGCCAAACTGGTTGAAGAAGTTCTTGAAGTCTGCTTCGGTCGCTTCCTGACTGACACCGCCAACGAAAATCTTTGCTGTTTTTTCCTGCTCGTCCCGCGGGATGGCACGTTTGGGATCGATCTGTGAGCGTCGTTAGGGCGTGCTCAGATAGATTGTGTCACAGAATGAGATCTCAAACTCACCAGCTTGCCGTCAAGCGAGTGCTCTTTGACCATGACTGTGTTGACTGTTTTCGGGTCTTTGAAAGTGAGAAATCCAAAGCCGCGAGAGCGACCAGTAGCACCATCACGCATGACGGTACACTCAGTGACCTCGCCAAATTGCGAGAAATAGTCCTTGAGAGATTCTGGAATGGATGTCAGGCACAATTCGATATTACGCGATATTTCGGAAGAAAGCCTTACGGTCGGTGGTTTCCCAATTTAGGCCTCCGATGAACATTTTCCTACGCAAACGTGCATCAGTAAAGGACTCCTGGTGTAAAAGCCGGCACACATAACAGGAACATTGCTGCCAGCGCATGACGGTCGTGTGGCTGTGGGTGTCGCCCCGATGCAAAAGCCATTGCGGCACTGTGAGCCTTCCCACAATGCTTCAAAGGGGCCGGAACATTCACCGAGCAAGCGTTGCACGTGAGAGACTTTCTTCGGAGTGGAGCAGCTGGAGTTTCGATTGCATGCCAGAGAAGATGCAGCTGACAGCGAGGAGAGGCACGACTTGGTTTCCAACGTGGCGAGTTACGCAGCATAGGACTCAAGAACGAACTTGTCAACTTTGCCCCATTCATGCCAGCAGCAGGACGTTTGAGTAGCACTAGCATTCAACAAGACGCTGTCCATCATCCAAGTTTGAGCTTGATGCGAAAGAAGCCATCGCAAGCCTTAAGCATTATCGTAGAGTACTGTGGCTGATTGCATGCATTTCTTTGCTTGGCTGCTCGCATGCGTTTAGACGCAGCGAGGCAGGCTGGCGGCATGACACTATCGGCTATCTCGTTTGCTCTCTTTCTCAGCTGTCTGATCTCTGTGCTATGGTGCTAGAAGTGCCAGTATATCGTAGCTACTTGTGCTTCTGAGCTGTCCTCAATGTGCTGGCAACGGCTTGCTTATCCACGGGTATACACCGAGGTTGGACAATGTCCCAACAACAGATGCGCCATCAAGCTATCCACCACCCTCCACCTTTGCGCTAATGAGCGAGAAATTAACTCGAAAGAGCAGTAGACATTGCCTGACTGCGCTGCGGTGCTCGTCTGTAAGCCAACTCGAGCGACGTCCTGCTGCTGAGCATTGCCGAGCGTGGTCCCAAGCATAGTCATTCCCGGATCTCTCACAGACAAGCAGGTGCTTCAACAGAGCGCCACGGCTGTCGAACTCCGCCTGCAAAGCAAGGCGGCCAGTATCAACGGTCATCTCGGATTCTCCAGCGCCTGGCAATCAGGATGCCACGGCCATCTGCCGGCATAAACTCCGCATGTGAAAGTCGACGAGCGCACATTGAGGTTAGAGCCGTCATGCTTTGGGACTTACCTTTTCACACGAGACCGATACCGGCCAAAGAGAAACAATGACCACATACTGAAAAGGACTTACCCGTCTTCCTTCATTCCAATGAGGCGTTCTTCGGGTGGCGCATCGTTACTGTAACCACCGCTGTGCTGCCCCTCGTCCATCATATGTTCCATGCCATTATTTGTATGCAAATGCTGCTGCTGTTGCAAGTCGTTCTGGGTGTTGTCATAGCCGGCGTAATTTGTGTTGGCCGACGCGTCGGCCGATTCTGGATGGTCGTTGATGGCTATGTCTGCACGTGGTGCACTCTCTTCGGTTTTTGGCGCAACTGCTGGAACAGCGTCCTCATCTCCGTCGTAGCTGGGCTGGGTCAATTCGATTCTCCGATGTCAGAAGCTCATGTACGTACAGATCAGCAAAGAGGTCCTCGTCGACATCGGGGTCAGCCATCTTTGCGATCGAATTTGATCGACTGCGCGCCCAAGTCCGAAGGAGATGTGTTGCTGTCAAGCAGGTGAGAATCCGATGATGCGCGCCACAAATCTGCAATGAATGCAATTGATGCTTGGAGGAGAAAAGGACGGGCGGATCGTGTCGCTGTTGAGAAGATTGGATGAACTTTGAAGTGAGACGGTAGTTTGTGCTGCTGCTCCTACTCCTACTGTACACACCCTCATACAGTATGGAATGAGGGTGGAACAGCCGCGTGCACAGACGACGGATACATTGCGAGCCGTCCCAGAAGCTTGCGGTCTCACCTTCTCCGCACATGACGCTGGATGGATGATGGTCATTATGCAATGGGGCTTGCCGCTTGTTACTTGCCCACACAACTGTATGATGGATGTAGTAGGTCTTTGCCGCTGTTGGTCACCCTCTCCTCACACTCAGACACCATCATGAACTTCAGAAAACCGTCTCAACAGGCGCGTGCTGTACTCCGTCCTTGAGTAGCAAAATGTCGTCGCCTGCTAACTTGCTCAACAGGAGATGGTTCAGGTCGGTTCGTTGCCTCGATCAATGCGACTGCGGAGCTTTGCTGGGCTAACATGGATTTATGGACATACACAGACCGAACTGAGTGAGTCGCATGAGCACCACAAACATTCTTCATAGCTGAACATAAATCCCTACAGAGCAGCTTCACCTTTCTGGCGATCTGGTTCATCGACGAACAAGAAGGAAGGCAGCAACAACCATGGGCCCGCCAAGCGTGCACCGTCTCCAACAGAGCAACGCAAGATTGTCGGCGCAGCGTATTCGCATGCGGACATCCTGAAGCTCGACACCTTGTAATGATTCTCCTCCTCGCTCGCCCTCTCAGTGCCGCTCTCCCGCTGACCATATTGGAGATCTCTCTCGAACGACCAACGTCCTCGGACACCGCCCACGAACGCACGTGGTATCACGTCATCAACGCCGGGACACACATCATCAACACCACCGTTTCGTCGAGCAGTATCAAGTAATGTCGCAGCCGAATCGAACAGCCACTGGACAACCGCAGGTGCTGAGACAGCCGAGAAATTGTATTACGATGAGGACGAGGACGAATTTGGTCTACCTAGCATCGCCAGCATGCGAAGGAAAGGGAAACGTTTGACAAGCCGGAACAGCTCTTTGACAACGAGTCTGCATGCCTTCGGCAGCGACACTTTCCTGCCAGCAAGCAACACGAAAGGAAGTGGAGCTCCTTCGCCTGGGTGGACAGTTGACAATGGCGATGTGTCAGAAGAGCGAGCAATACCGAGTTACCCTTCCGCAAAGCATTCCTCTGAAGGCCAGAAGATCTTACGACCACAATACAAGGACATTCTCCGCGACCCTGCGAACAGTCTTCATCTTATCTCACATCCACCTGTTCCTCCTGGTGCATCTGCCAAAGAAATCGAAGCTCAGTCGTCGAGAGTTACGCGCATCAACAAATTCAAGCGAATACTGCAATCCTCATCAATATCACTCGCAGATCTACGATCGTCTGCCTGGTCAGGCCTACCGAGCGAAGTACGTGCGATGAGCTGGCAGCTCCTTCTCGGCTACCTCCCAACTAATTCAGAGCGACGTGTTGCGACGCTCGAGAGGAAACGAAAGGAGTATCTGGACGGTGTACGGCAAGCGTTTGATCGTGGGAATCCGACATCTCCTTTGGGCAATGCTGTCCCATCTCCGTCCCTGGCTCGAAGTCGCGCTCGTGGCCTTGATGAGGTCGTCTGGCATCAGATCAGCATTGACGTACCACGGACAAATCCTCATCTTGAGTTATATGGTTACGAGGCAACGCAGAGGTCACTAGAACGTATTTTGTATGTTTGGGCCATTAGGCACCCAGCTAGCGGATACGTTCAAGGTATCAACGACCTCGTGACACCATTTTGGCAGGTGTTCCTAGGACAGTATATCACGGATCCTGACGTGGAGTTCGGCATGGACCCGGGCCAGCTCCCAAAGGCTGTTTTAGATGCGGTGGAAGCGGACAGCTTTTGGTGCTTGACCAAGCTTCTGGACGGCATACAGGACAACTATATTCACGCACAACCGGGCATTCAACGTCAGGTGTCTGCCTTGAGAGATCTAACATCAAGAATAGACGAGTCGTTGGCCAAGCATATGGAGAACGAAGGCGTCGAATTTATCCAATTTAGTTTTCGGTGGATGAATTGTCTGCTGATGAGGGAGATAAGTGTGAAGAACACGGTCAGAATGTGGGACACATACCTCGTAAGTTACCCTCTCGATGGCATCGCTCTGTCTTTGCCGGCCATTGACCACTTTCCAGGCCGAGGATCAAGGCTTTTCGGAGTTCCATCTCTACGTGTGCGCCGCTTTCCTGGTGAAATGGTCGGAGAAGCTTCAGCGGATGGACTTTCAGGAGATCATGATGTTCCTGCAATCATTACCCACCAAGGACTGGACGGAAAAGGACATCGAATTGTTGCTGAGCGAGGCGTTCATCTGGCAGAGCTTGTTCAAGGGAAGCAAGGCACATGTCAGGCAAACAAGCGGCGGCAACAGCGGCGTGCTTAACCTTTGACCACAGCCATATACTGCATATTTGGTGGGTGTCAGGCCGCCCCTCGTGGTCATTTGGGCATACTACCACATCGTTCAGACGCAACATGGTTATAGGACATGCTTGCCACGCCGGACAAATAATGAATTCATGAAGAAAGCATGTGGAGATGCTTCAACCTTGTTGCAGGAACGCAGTGTCCTTCTCGGTGAGGTATATCAACCCTTCCTTGGGAGGCGAGAATTGTCTCAATTTGACGCCAGCTTCGGCGAATATCCTTGCCGCTGCGTCATCCATGTAATAGCTCTGGCTGAACACTACTTCCGTGATGCCGACTTGCACTATTTTGATGGTGCACGTTAAGCAGGGACATGTATTGCAGTATAGAACTGCTCCATCACCCACGCGCTCCCGCCCAGCTTCGAGTAGAGCGTTTTCTTCTGCGTGGAGGCACAGGCAAGCGCTCAGATCCGAACCGCCTGCAGACACTCCTTGCGCACCTCGGCCATTGCATCGGGGACAGCCGCCTTCGTTGCAATTCGTAATGTTTCGAGGAGTTCCATTGTAGCCCGTGGACATGACTCGCTTCTCTCGCACTAGCACACAGCCTACCTGTCTCCGCATACAATTACTGCGACGCGCAGCGAGCGACGCTAAAGTCATGAAATAGTGATCCCATGTTGGTCGCAGCCTACTCTGGTCTGTAAGGTCCAGCGCATCCAGTGTAGACCATAGTTGCTTGATGGTTGTACTGGAATTTATGAGCTTGATCTGAGCCTGCGATGCTACCGATACCAGCCCAGAGGAGGCAGAATAGAGGTGCTCGTCATTGCGAAGCACAAACTGTTCGAGGGTCGGCGGAGGCAACTCGGCGTCAACGCATCTCCTGCGGAATCGTTCCCATCGGAGGGATATGGGTGCGTCAACGTGGACCAAAATGAAGAATGGTCTGCGGGAGAGGGCATCGACCACGCTGCCGTTATGGATTGATGTGGTGACGAAATTGCTCTGCCAGCTTTTGGTAGCGTAGTCAAGTAACTCCGTGATACTCGAGAACGTTGTTCCGTATTCTTTATTCGGTTCCGGTACGTTGGTTTCTGAGGCAGATTTCTCTACGCTCGGTGTTGCTGCGTCCCGGACGAGCGTCAACACCTGAAAGTCATGTTGTTGAACCAGATATTGCAGCACGGATTGCTTTCCAGCGCAAATACCTGAGTCGTGTAAGCTTGGATTCCGTCTGTAGAACTCAACGGAGTCATTTACCACCGCAGATTCCGATCAGCATATCGGTGGGACAGAAAATTGAGATTGCACGGGTTTGAGGGTATTAAATCTGGTGTTGCTAAATTCAGCGCGCCGATGCACGAGGACTGTTGGCGGAGGGCTGCCAGAGTGCACAGTGCCTAAGTGTCTGGGTGCCTAAGTGTCTGGGTGCCTAGGTGCCTGGGTGCCTGGGCGTCTGGTTTCTGTGTTAGGGTCGAAATAGGGTTGGGGTTGGGGCACATTTTTCCTTGACGACTGTGCCTTCTCTTCACAATGCATCTATAGATGTCATTATTGTATCTCTTCCCGATGGTGTTATATTTTGGATATGAAATTATCCTATCATGTAGTTCGACTGCTTGTATATTTTTCGCGGCATAATTAGAGACGTCAGTGGATAATGTGCATAGTTCTCGGTGTTTTTAACCAATGACACATATCTTGCTGTGGTTCATGTATCTATATCATTTTGAGATGCAATGTTCGACTTTTGGATCCACATATACATCTCTAATCAGAGGCCATGTACACACGACAATAAACAGTATATATATGGTATGGTACCAAGGTATCATCAAGTCAATGAGTCCCACTCGAACAGATCAGGCAAGTTTACTAGCTGCTGCAATGAAGCCATCCTCCTCCTTGGAGACCCAAAAATCGACATAATCAACACCGGATTCAGGAATGGGCTCTTGTGCCCTATCTACGAAAAGTGTTCGCAAGCCATTGGATTTCGCATGCTTCAGATCGTCGAGGTGAGCTGCAACCATGCAACACTCCTCTGGCCGTAGACCTAGCCTTTCCGCACCACCCAGATAAACCTTTGGATTTGGCTTGTATGCTTGAAACATATCGGCGGCCATGATGTGCTTGAAATCCATGTCGGCAAACTTGACCAGATCCTTCATGAGTGCAAGGTTTCCATTGCTCAGTGTGGATGTGATGAATTTCTCGTTGAACAGGCGGATACCGGCCGGGGTATCCGTCCATGGGTCAAGGTAATGCCATGTCAATGACAGTTCTCGGAGCTGCCCATCATCAAAGAGCGAGCCATGAGCGTTACCAGCAGCCAATAGACCGTCCTTGGTGAGGAGCTCGAGCAGAGAATCGAAGTGATGCTCATCGACGGTCTTGAACGTGGCGGTGGGGTTCAAGGCAAGCTCGCGGGTGAAAGCCTTGTATGTTGACCGCCACGCATGCGTAAAGTCGCCCCAGCCATCTTTACACTGTAGAACATTGGAGAAACATCAGTAATTCTCACACCGCATGTTGGCGACAGGAGACAAACCAGTTGATTCGCCTTCTCGCGAACTCCGACATCAAGGTCCGTCCGTGTCTCGAGTGAACGAGTTGCGGCTGTTGACAGGGCCCTTGTCACCGTCGAATGCCAATCGACACAGGTTCCAAACACATCGAAGAGAAGCGCCTTGATAGGCGTTTGATCAGACGTCATTTTGAGCGGCCAAGTGATGAAGTTGTTGAACGAGCGGTCAATACAGCTCTATTCATGGATTATCCCAGAAGGGACAACCATCTTATATATCTATCCCGCAATCTCGAACGCCCTACAAGGCCCATTTACAGAAAGACCACAAGATGAATCACGATGAGTAGACTTATCCGTAGCGAGAGCTCTCATCTCCGACCATCGCACACTCCATCAAGCCTCATTGCTGTGCAGGTCGTGTTGTCGTCCGTGTATTGGATTGTTGTTCATCAATAGGTAGGTCGTTGCCCCACAGCGTCGGCATAACACCGGGCGTGATCTAGGATGTTGTGTCGGTCATACACCGATCGTTTTCAACGACATCCATCGTCACGTCGGGACATTGTCCACCTAGCATGATGCTTCTCTGCCTTGCAGGTCGCGTGGTCGTCGTATTGTCTACGAATGGTGTAGTCCAGGGTATGGCGGGGGATTTGTAGCGGGACAAACGCGGTGGTCACAGCGTCGACACAACACTTCAGAGCCGGACTGAGTACGCGTCAGACAGTAAACAGATCGCGACGCGCTGCAGCGCATAGCAGGAAACCGAATCGAAAGAACAGAGAAGATATAGCGGAAGGAGCAAGATGTTGTGATGTAGTTTTATTCATTCATGCAGTTCCATGACTGCTTCAAAGCGCTTGAGCCGGTATACTACACAGCAATCAAAAAATCAAAAAGCCTGACCGAGAGCGGCCTGCCAGTGAACACCCAATCCCATACGCGCCATCCATCGCCAGCTGCTGCCCAAAGAAGAAAAGTGCCGCAGCACTCTGCTGGTGGACCTCCCAAAAGTTCATCATAAAAACATGCAAGGTGGTATCAAAAGAAGTGGAAGCGACACGCTTAACCACCGAAACCGTAAAGGGTGCGGCCTTGTCGCTTGAGAGCGTAGACAACGTCGAGAGATGTGACGGTCTTGCGCTTGGCGTGCTCGGTGTAGGTAACGGCGTCACGGATGACACCCTCAAGGAAGGTCTTGAGAACACCGCGAGTCTCCTCGTAGATCACTGAAAGGAAGAAATGTCAGACGCTGAATCGTGTTGATCATGGAGATGTCAGAAGATGCTTACTGGCAGAGATACGCTTGACACCACCACGACGTGCGAGACGTCGGATAGCGGGCTTGGTGATACCCTGGATGTTGTCGCGCAAGATCTTTCGGTGGCGCTTGGCACCACCCTTTCCGAGACCCTTGCCACCCTTGCCGCCTGATGATGAAGTCAGTAAAGATGTTGGAGAAGATGTAAATGCTTGAAGGCAGTGGATACTCACGTCCAGTCATTTTGATTGAGGTGTTGAGGAGTGTTTGAGAAGGTGTTGGTTGATTGTATGGATAGAGCTGATGATGTAGCTGTGAATGGATGGCTGATGTGGGGAATTAGAAGTTGGAAGAGGTGCCGCGACGAGAGTATTTGAGGACTCCAGCGCGAACGTGTCAGTCTTGTTGTGATTAGCGAAAGCGGGAAAGCGCGACTTGCGCTAAGCCGAATTCGCTAATCAATCTTTGGCTGTTGCGTTCCATGTGCAATCACGAGCGCACGGCCCAGCTTTGGACTTTGTTGATTGTGGCGGTAGACGTTCACGCGCGCGTTGGAACAGGCAGGTACGGCTGGGGAAGATTGATCTGACTGCTGCACCTGCACAAGCCCCCTCGTACTTATTCCCACCTCTCCGCTCCACTTTCTACTTCTCACTCATCACAGCCAAACATCATCATCCACAACATCCTCCACAACATCCTCCACAAATCACATCACTCAAAATGGCTCGCACCAAGCAAACTGCCCGTAAGTCATCACTCAAACACCTTCATGGTCTTGACATTGCTCGACATGATCGCCACACATCGGCACCGTCGCGTCTCACTGGCCTCCGCGCCTTTGCGACCGTCGGCTGCCTTGTATGACCTCATCGGACAATTCAAGAACATCACTTCATCCGTCAACAATATACTAACGACACAATCACAGGCAAGTCCACTGGTGGCAAGGCCCCGCGTAAGCAGCTCGCCTCCAAGGCTGCCCGCAAGTCTGCACCATCGACCGGTGGTGTCAAGAAGCCTCACCGTTACAAGCCCGGTACCGTCGCTCTCCGTGAGATTCGTCGCTACCAGAAGTCCACCGAGCTCCTCATCCGAAAGCTCCCCTTCCAGCGTCTCGTCCGTGAAATCGCACAAGACTTCAAGTCCGACCTCCGCTTCCAGAGCTCTGCCATCGGCGCTCTCCAGGAGTCCGTCGAGGCTTACCTCGTCTCCCTCTTCGAGGACACCAACTTGTGCGCCATCCACGCCAAGCGTGTCACCATCCAGTCCAAGGACATCCAGCTCGCCCGCCGTCTCCGAGGCGAGCGTTCTTAGATGGCAATTTTCTTCATTACGACATGATACCCACCTCGACCTCCTCAGCACGGGCTGATGTGATGGGCGGTGGTTTCTTGGCTGTTTCTTCAAGTCAACAGGGCGTTTGGGTTCGAGTGTTTATTCATCAATTGGGTGGGATCAGAGATATCACAAGGTGCACCGGCGAGAAAAGGTGACCAATCATGCTATGTATCATAATGACAATGATGCAAAGGCATTTGCCTGCTTCAAAAACTTCATCATGCTCCCGTTTCCTCTGTTGTCTTCCGCTGTGCTGTGCCGCTTAGGATTTGTGAGAGTATGACTCCTCACCGCCACCCGCTTTGGCATATACAAATTGAGGGTCCAGCTCCGCCGCATGTGTGTCACGTCTCCTCAGCGGTGTAGGCAGCCCTGGCGTTCCGGTGCAGGTCCTCACCTGCCCGCTGGACAAGCATGGGCACTCCAGAGCTGTGCATCAATACACCCGGGCTTGAATACATTAAGCCGTCGACGGTGATACACGTGCAGACAGATGCGATAAAATACCGTATTATCTCACGCAAATTTATATAATTCCTCTGCACATTGTCAGCAATGAACTGCGGTAATAAGTTACCATGTCACTTCCGCAGGTCAGAGCCATTCTCGGCTACAAGCATCAGCCGTCCCTTGGGCTGAGCTCGGGGTATAATAAGACCGCAGACCCTTTGAAATGCCTCACAACCTCGAGCATTCTTCAGAAAGAATCAATACTCCCGCACACCTTTTCTGAAATCATGGCACACTCAAGGTGTCATCTTTTGTCCAAGTACAAATAGACAGACCCAATCATGCGGGAAATATTTCTTTAAGAATCGAACATGAGTTTCCAATACTTTGCCGGGCGAGCAACTTTGCGCCGACTCCACCAGACCGTGCAGCAGAATATATTCCGGCGACATCGCCTAAATTTTCGCCATGAATCCACCAAATCCAATACAACGACATCTCCACCAAATGCATCCGCTGGCGGAGGCACTGCTGGCAGTGCGGGCAAGAGCGCGGAGTTCACAGGGTCGTATTGGGCATGGTTTGAACCGATCAAAGTTCCATTTCGCACATACAGCGCCATGCAAAAGCGCAGTCCGCTCATGACACAGCTGGACACAACTTTAATCATATACTTCCTGGGCGACCTCTCGGCACAATCGGTGCAGAGCAGCTTCTTCTCCGAGGCGAAGTACGAGCCCATCCGAGCAGTGCGTGCCATGATCATTGGTGGACTCATGAGCATCCCGGGCTACAAGTGGTTTCTCTGGCTCGGCCGCAATTTCAATTACCCGTCCCATTTGCTCAGCCTGTCGGTCAAAATCCTGATCAGTCAGTGCATGTTCACGCCATTGTTCAATTCATACTTCTTCGGAATGCAGAGTCTGCTCAGCGGGAGCACACTCACCGAGGCTTGGGAGCGGATTCGAATGACCGTACCGGTCTCGTGGATGAACAGTTGGAAGCTGTGGCCGGCCGTCACGGCATTCTCCTTTACATTCATCGCACCGCACAATCGGAGCGTGTTCGCTGGTTGCATAGCAATCTTCTGGCAGACTTATCTGAGCTGGCTCAATCGCACTGCTGAGCTTGCAGAGCGAGAGTCCAAGAGCATGACTGCGGCCGCAGGCGTGCCGAAGGCACTGGAACGAGCAGTAAAGATATGATACAGCCGGAGGACACCATATATTTTTGTTATCATCATTGAACGCTTAGAGGACATTTTGACATTTAGAGGTTATTAAGACCAAGATATCACTGTCAGGACGGTACAGGAAAAAGCGAACGTCAGGAGACTCATCCACTTCTTCAGCGAGTACGCGAGCGAAACATTATGCGGACATGACAGTCAGTGTCTAGTCCAGCTATCGTGAGATTTTCGATGTGCCCAGCTCACGAGTCGCGAATGTGGACCAAGTGTAATCAAAAACAAAGGTACCTAGGTATGCTCATGTTATCTCGTCGGGCTGCAACGAACATAACCTCGACGAGATGATGCTGTGTGTGCCTGCTCGTAGAACTTTTGTGCATGTGGTTCGAACACTTCAGCATCGTATGAGATGTCGTGTTTTCCGACGATTTTCACATCAGTCTACAGCGTAAGTACAAGAGACAAGATATGTGCTAATTGAATGGGCGCATTGGCAACACACAGTACACGTGGTGAGATGTGTTTAGGAAGGAGCTGCAGTGGAGTGTACCAAGGTAGTTGTCGGTGCCTCGCGATCTGGGAAAATAGTTGTGAAAAGGTTGCGACGCCTGGGAAATTTGCTGGCTGCGCACCTGCATGTGTGGTACAAAACAACTACTGCAATTGTTAGTATAATAATAATGGCAGTCTTCAATGTGCACCTGCATGGTGCCTAATTGATCGAGGCACGCGTTGGTGGCGATCCAGGGAACGCGACGCGTCGCATCACAGACACCTTTGATTCTATCACAAAAACACACAAGTAGTCGTCATCGACGAAAGCGTGTGCGCGAGTCAACTCCAGCAGGAACCTCCAAGATGTCACGATGGCATTTCGCGGCGTGCCAATGGAGAGCAACCAACATCTAGATGTTTCCGATGAGGACTTCGGATCAGACATAGACGCTGACATCTGGGACACGGTGCTTTCGCAGATCGAAAATCAGCCACTCAGTGAAATCGCAATCACTGATTTGGAAGAAGATCTAAACCACGGAAATGCTACATCAAGCCAAGTCCGCGCATTGCGCGTTGCGCATGTCCCGCAGCAAACCAATACCCGACTTCCAGATCTCGAGGATATCATGGAGGATATCCAGGGTTCTTCGCCTCCATTATCGGTTCAGGTGTCTAATGACGGGCACCCGATCGAACCAAGCATCCCAGGTAGGCCACCATTGGTTTTAGTTGGGGGGTGCTGTGAGACTAACAGGCTGACTCCAGCGATTGATAGCTGTTAAGACCAGTGAGAGAGAAGATCAGTCCAATTCATCGGACCCGAAACCGCAAGAAGTAGAACCTACCAGCACCAAGGCTCGTGGTAAATCGGTGGCCTCTGGATCTACCAGAAGGCCCAAAGTACAGCACTCGGCGGATACGAACGCTGAGTTTCTCGAACAGCCTTTGTCGATTGATCCTGAACAAGACACTCAATCGCCGCTGGAACGCTTCCGGAGCCCACCGAAAAAAGCTTTATCGGTGACAGATATCATCTCGCCTGCGTGGTGCGAACTACAATATTGGTACTCGCTCACAAGGTATGGACGGGTCCGTCAAACACCAGCGATGAAGCAGGGAACCAAGATCCACAAGAAAAAGGAACGTGAGGTGTACACAGAAGTCCCTGTTGAGGTAGCCAGTGCCGAAGACAAATTTGGGCTCAGATTGTGGAACATGATCGTTGGATTACGAACTCTAAGAACGACCGGGCTGACGCGCGAGCTCGGGGTTTTCGGCATCATTGAAGGAGAGGTCATCATTGGTATCATAGATGAGCTCACGCGGACCTGCCCAGATGAGGAAGCGGAGGCATCCATTCGCGGTGTGGCGGAAGGTCTCAACAACACAGCTCAATCCTCTGACAGGAAGGCAAAGTCGCATCTGAGCAAAGGAATCGTCAACCAGCCCACGATGGCCGAATTTTTTGCGAACCGTGCACAAGACGGCAGTACGAATCATGATCAATCGCGTGCCGGCTTCGGTTCTCTTCCGGATGATCGAACATCCATATACCTGGTCGATATCAAGACGAGAAAAGCAAAGTCTCTTCCGAGGGCAACAGACATGCGACCAACCCGAATGCAATTGATGCTTTATCATCGTCTGTTGGCCGATCTTGCTCGTGGTGAAGTAGATCCGGACCATTTATTCGACAGATACAAGCTCGACAAAGATTCTGTCTTTTCCGACACATTTATTGCCTCCCTAAACAATCTCGATTCGGGAGCAGGCTACGACCAATCTTACGACGATGACGAAGATCCACCGGTCGATGCCGTGACTGAACTTTTAGCCCACAACACCCTCGTCAAGCTATGGTCCCTCATGGTTTCCGAAGTCGCAAAGACATTTCCCGACGGAACACTATCGCCGATGTTAACAGCCGAATATCGAGCATCTACAAGCGGCGAAGTCATCGGCAAGCACTCATTCCCGCTTCATACGGGTGAACTCAACGATTACGTGGCAAGCGAGATGCAATGGTGGCGCGGCGAACGGCCAGCCCGAGGCGTCGAGGTCGCAGAGGCGTCGAGGTGCGGCATATGCGAGTTTGCGGACAGTTGCTCCTGGAGAAAGGCCAAGCTCGCGCAAGCGACGACATCAGCAAAGTCCAAACGGGCCGCAAAACCTAGTGCCGACGAAAGCATCGCTTGAGTGACGCTAAAGTGTCACCCGAATACCGCCATTATTGGCACGAGGACCCTGAAGTCTATGAGCGTTGTCATGGCCATGACGATGATCGAATGGCGACCGTAGCAGTATGTTGCCGAGGCGAGAGATTCGTGAACATCTCCGACATGTAACCCACGATGTTCCAATCCCAATAGACGTCCGTACTTTGATACAATCACCCCAGGGTTACCTATTAATTCTTAGGGTTGCTTGATATCATCAACGATCTATCATTTATTCCTGAATCGTTTCACGGTTCGAATCTTCCGACATCGTCGACCTCCTGCAGCAAACGCGACGATGTGATGATGGAATGCGTGGGAAAGGTCGCCATTTTATCGAGGGTGCGGACGTTCATCAACGTCAAACCGGAAGGTAGTCACCCAAGATCAGCTTCAGTTTCGCGTTGACACCGAGAATCGCCTGGACGACACGTGCCAATCTTCACTCCCCTTCACGCGAAGGCATGATTCCAACATCAATGCATGTATTGATTTATTTTACAGGCTCAATCTACAGTCTAGTGTCGTGCGTCGCTCTGGGGAAAAAAACCGATAGAAGAAAGTAAAGCCCAAAAACAGCCTAATGACCAAAACCCCACAAGCCAACGATTTGCGTCCGGCGACATGCACAATCCGCTCAACAAAACCGACGACAAAAACTCCAATGATGATCTGACCTGCAGGGTATACACAACGAGCCATTGATCGAAGAAGCCAATCCAAACAGAGAAAGCCATCATCAGATCATCCACTCTGCGAGCGTGACGGTCCGCTGAGGCTCCAGCCAGTACCATCCCAGTAAAGGCCCGCCGTATAGTCCTGACTGGAATCGACCGGGGCGTTATTCATGGCCGTGGCCTCGGCGAGCCACGCCTGCATGGACTTGCATTTCCCGCTCGCAATGTGCGCGTCGAGGTTGCTCTTCCTGCTGAATTGGTGGTGGCAGCCGGGACACTGGGCGCGGCTGCCTCCGCTGCGTTCGCGGATGTGTCGGCGGTAGTTCTCCGCGCAGGAGAATGTTCGGCCGTTGCAGCCGTGCTCCCAACACCGCGGCAGGGATTGATCGGAGGTTACCGTGCGCGCCCGTTCGAGGGATGGTCTTTGGGAGTGCTGCGACGAGGATCTGCTGGGCGCGAGGGACGGGTTGGGTTGGTAATATTCGGGCGTCTGCGCTTGTTGGATTGTGCCCTCGGGGGTGTACATGATCCAGGAAGGTGAACTGGAGAGGGTACGTGGTATCTCGTGCTCCTGGATCCGAGGCTGGATGGGCTGATAGCGAGAAGGTCGGCGCTCTTGTTGTGCAGTCTCGGACGCAGCGAGAGCGGCCTCCTGCCTGGCTTGATGGTAGCCAAGCGCTGCAGCGTGCTGATATTGCTGCGGGACAGGCAGTGCCATTTGTCGTTGATACTGATGATCTTCCTCGCTGAGTCCGGTGGAGTTTGTAGTGGCGCTGATATGATGAGGGGGAGAGACCATGTTTCTTAAGGACCGATCTTGATATGTTGGAATGGAACTGATGCGAGCTTGGGTTGTGCTAAAATGTCCATCCAGCGGCGATCCAAGATACATTTATCTACCACAGAGTTGGAGGTAGACCCAGCTGTATCTTGAGGCCCATCATCATGATCACCAACGTCTACGAGGCCTCGATGAGTTGGTCAGGAAATATGACTTGGTGGCCTGGTTATATCGGGGTGGTGACCAACCAACATTCTGCCGATGTAATCCTTTCCACCAAGAACCTTATGCCAATGCTTGCCACCAATCTCGACCAACATTACGTCCCTTTGACTGACGAGACAGCATTTCGAGATGGGGGATTAGCCGCCAGCACTGCGCGGTACGTCAACGCAGGCGAGCGTGCATGAGCTAACACCCCATGCACGACTCGTCATTCGACCTTGGTCGATCGCAGGCTAAGATCGTCGGGGGCAGCAGGCTGCGGCGGAGGATGACCGCACGACCGCGCCCGATGCCGGTGCGCAAGCGGTCATGGTCCAAAAGCATACTTGTATCTGCGTACGTGCCTAGTCAGTGATAGACCAGATGGGTGGGTGTTGTGTATAGTAAGCCCTGGGTGTGGGCATGCAGTTGGTGTTCGCGTCCCTGATCCTTCTAGATCATCCGCAAGCTTAACCTTATTGCGACCCACGCTTGCCCTGTTGTGTTGGAAATCTTACCTGACGTGCCTGAGCACCTGGGCGGAATTCTGGGGGTGGTCAGCCGAGGCGCAGCCTGTTCGGCCGTGGAATGAGCGGCCCGGGCGGAATTCGTGACAACCGCAAGGTTTTGGTCCTATGAGCCTAGGAAGTTAGCTAGTAAATGTCGTGAGAAGACGGAAACCTGAGCGCGTCGTGTACATGGTAATCGATCGTCTGATTGACCGTCGATCCGATTGTCATGTATGTTCTGTTCCGCTCTGGGTGCGGAAATGACGGGTGTTCTTGGTCGATTTCCGGAGGCCGATCGGCTTGATGCCCCCGAATCTAGCGATGCACGGATTACATAAAACGGAATCATACCGCGCTTGAAAATACACTCATTACTACTGTACAGCTGCAATTTTGCAATTTCAAACATGTGCAATCCATTTGTCAAGTCCAGTCGGCCATACAGAAAGGATAACCCAAAGGAGCATTGATTGATGGAGAACACGCGTGCACGTCGTTGGTGTCGAGCATTGTGCAGCGAATAAGGCTACAAGCCCTGTGGAGAACGTTCTGCTGCGTATATCTTGTACCTACTGTAGTATGGTCGAGCTACAGTAGCGCACATAATCCACATGTTGGTGGTGGCTATTTTTATCCGTCATAACCGACTACATACCTACCTAGGTAGGTATCTTGTTGTTATATATTTCGGGTAGTCACTCCAAAATTCCCTCTTTGGGTTATTTCTGCTACCATTCCGACTGTGTCGTAAGTCTCTCTCTCAGGCACACGTAAGCCGTTGGTATACATTCTGCAGTATCAGGGATCTGAGTCTTATTTGACATGTCATCGTCAAGGGTTGTCTGATCGCCGTCCATTCACGACTCATTGTCTGCTCTCGGTGTGCTCACGTGACAGGATATCCATGGCTTCGCAGAGTCTGCGGTCTGAACATGAGTAGGGTCTCGAGGTGAGGACACGGGCGAACTACCATGGCCTATATTAGTATGCATGTCTGTCCGGACATGTGTCGACCTAGCTACGTGGGCACACAGGCAGGTCCTTCCTCGTGATCATAGCGTAAGACGATGATGCTCACCATTCCCGGGCTTGTTGGTGGTGCGTTGGTTTCGCTAAACATGTAAGCAGAGGGTGGGGGCCGATAAGATGGTGATACTAATGACCCATGGTGACAAATGCCACTTTGAGACCACACAGGGCGCGCAATTGAGCAGCACCCACGACATCGTCTAATCATGAGGATTACGTCTGCCGAAATCCTTGACTAACACAACGCAGCGAAGGCAGCTGCCGGACAAACGAAGTTGCAGGACATGCCACGCATATCATCTCACGTGGCACACGCTCTAAAGGAACCATCGAGTACTGCTTTGGAATGCTTCACCGCTGCCTTTCAAATCTCAACGAAGATCAGTGCGAACCGGAGCACTTTCCGAATGCGAGTAACCCATTCCCGGGCAACGTTTCTGCACGCCAAATCGCTCGATGGTGGGGCTGCTCTGGGAGATGACTGCTTGAGAGGAAGATGAGAAGCATATGACCGGATGACTACCACTTCTCTCGATGAGGAAGGTGATGATGAATCGTGAGTAGAGAGCCATTCCTACTTGCCTCTTGATTGTGAGCTTGTGACTCGGGGCTTCACTGGCAGCTTTTGATAGGTCATTTGATCGCCACATGTGTCCGTGGCGTGTTAGTTAAGCGAGCGATCAACCATAACTCGGCCTCTGAGCCAACCATCTCGATTGTGGCATGCTCACCACGAACCTATCACCTCCATGTAGTTCAATCCTGCATATTTGGCTTTCGTTGTCGTGGCCGGTATTCCTTACGGAGAGGCTCCCCGAGACTTCAAGCTATATTTAAGCACCGTGCGTCAGCAGCCAAATGGATCTTGGCTCACACCATGGAGCGACTTCAACAGATTCTCCCCGGAGAACAGACATAAAAAGTAGATGTGGTCGTCCATGGAGGATGAGCCTGTAGGAGCACGGCGATTCGCTCGGAGGGGCCTGTGCTACCTGTCCTTGGTGCCAACTCAACTTCGGCGTGTCCCCACTCAAGAAACATGTCACTCCGGCATTAATTGGCGAGGATTCGCACAGGGCATTTCGGCCATCTCCGTGGCTGAAACTTTGGCGTATCATCATAGCAATGAAAAAGTTTACTGGACTGCACCTTACGTGGCACTGAAATCTGACACCGAGCCGTGGCTACTATTTTGTAAGCATGGCATTGTCATCCGATTTGACGACATGTCTATAACACTACATCAGGCCACCCGCGAAGAGATCTTGCTGCCTGGAGGCTCTCATTTGTCGTGAGGAGCATGCAGACCGGAAAAACCATTCGTCAGCACTAGAAATCATGACGACGCTCGAGGGCCTGATAAATATCCTCGTCATGCGGGTTCCAGAAGCAGCAAATCTTCCACGGAGATGATGTATCGAACGAATTGCGTGTGGATGAGTATAGCGATGAGGACCTGACGAGCCCTCTCCGATCGGTGCGGCATCGTCAGATACACGAGAAATGATCTTGGAGCTTGCTCGACGTACAGCATCGCATACGTCACGACCGTCGACAAGACGTCCAACGCATCACGTTCACATGCCAGCAAACACGTCAGCCGAAGGGAGTGTGAGTCATCGCGAGCTGGATGTTGAGGCGAAGGCCAGCAGACGTGCGTTCGACAAAAACGGGCTTCTCCGATTCTCCGCGAGTCTCCTGTGTGGCCTTACATTCGAAACGTTCAACAAAGGCGGCTCCTGATCTTGCCCAGCCCGTGTGCAGACCTTTTATTGCCGGGTTCTATAGTAGAAGCTCAATGTTAGAGTATACATTCTGAGGTTGCACCTGTTGTTTGCTTCGCCTCTTCAACAGGCAGTATTCTCCCCATACCCGCCTATACTTTGCGGGAATGAACGGCGCGTTCGGGATCCACCCGAGCCTGCCAATGATGCCGGTTGAAGCATTATCAAGGTATGGTAGGCATTTGACCTTCTCCCAAGTCTGCTCGTCCTGGATGTAGCTCGGTTCAAGTGCTGTAGACTGTGTGCTTGGTAAGTGTGAATCGACGAGGAAGGTGCACCGTTTGACATCGGTGTATTTGCCGATGTCTTCGCGATTCTCATCATTCATTCCCGGCGGGGAGAGCCATGTGCCGGAAAACGGACCAAATCCTTCTCGCGCCTCCGAGAACTCCCCCGGGAGCAGGCCGGAAAATTCGCTCTTGATAAATTTGGCTCGGATGCCCTCTGGCAACAAGAAGTGTGACGGGAATCGGTACCATTCCTTGCCGAGACAGACCAGGTCTCCCTGATGTGCCACACCGGGCTCGTGCAGCGGCTTGTAGATAGAGAGTGGTGCACTGTATGCCTCAAACGTGCCATATGTGCGCCAAGCAAAGAATGTATTGGCGGCAAAGACAAAAGCCAATATGATGCCAAGCCGCAACTGGACAGGTATCCGACTCACTAGATCTTGTGGGCTTGTAGACCCCATGTTCGCGAGAATGATGTTGAAAGCGACAGCAGCATTCAGCGCAATTGCTGGATACGCCGGATACATGAAACGTTCTTCCTTATGTGGCTGCAGAGTGAAAATGGCAAGCCAGAGATAGAAAGGACTCAGGAAGATCACACCTCGCAGGTAACTTGATTTAGTCGCGACCCTGCCTCGGGTGATCTTCTGGAGGACCAAAAGTGGTAGGCTGAGTAGAGCGAGCGGCAGCCAGAAATGGAAGTTGAGGAACAGGTTGCGCAGATAGAAATGCCATGGCTCAGTGCCGTACAAATCGGGACCCTTGTTGCTGAAGACATTGTACTTGACAATGTTGAGCGGCACAAGTTCAAACTTGTTGTAGAAGAAGCAATCGATGACCACTTGGGAAGCCAAGACCAAGCCCGCCCGTACACAGCCGTCGAGCACGCGTTGCACAAGCTTTTGCCTGCCCTGCTGGTCGCTCAACCAAGCCAACAACAGCTCTTCAATCAGAAATGGTGCGGCCAAGATGACGGCAAACGGCCATCCGAGACAGGCTCCGACCCCAAAGCACCAAATCCCCTGTGCGGTCCGTAACCCGCCTCGCCAATCAAGGAAGGCAGCCATGCCCAATATGACGAAATACATGGCGAAACTACTTGGCAAGTAGGCAATGCTCGCATGATACATGCCGGGAGAAGTCGCAGTGATGAGGAGATAGAGCATGGCTACCCGGCCATTCAAGGTTGTTGTGATCTTCGAAAACAACCGGGCTTCACATAATGCGCATACGAAGCCGAGGACGATCCTAAGGAAGTAGAACTCGACTACCTTGGTGCTTGTCAAGAATGGAAAGAGCCTCACTAAGGGTAGAATGACCGCATGGCTTCCGGCGTATGCCCATGATCGAATGGCAAACTCCGGAGCATATTCCCAGGTCTGAAATCCATGGCCTTGAGTCAGGTAGTGTGTTGGTTCCCAATAATTGAAGACTTCATCACAGTCCTGGATTGGACTGTAAAGTGCAGCAATGATATGGCTGGCGAAGAAGATATAGAAAGCAATTATTGGCTCGACATTTGCTGAAGCCGGACTCTCTTGTCGCTTGGCCCTGTGTTCGACACGTTTGAGTGCTTACATCCGGCAAAGCATTGACGTGTGGACACTCACGATGCACCGCTTGAGGCCTTCTCAGGTTGTTTCCCAGTCTTGTATGTCTTCGGTGGCACGACAAACCGAGGCTTTGTCCCCGGAGCGCGTACACTCGGTGAAGACATTGTGCCGTGTTGCGACGAATTGTCTTTGTAATAGCAAAGCCAACCTTGATATGCGAATAGACGTACGGTCGTTCAATAGGTGCTAGGAGAAAGCTAGCGGCACGGCTTGTGCCCGAGCGCCGGGCCGGCTCCGTGTGCTGCGTGGTGACGTTGGCGCATCTCTCCGAAATTCGTCTATATCTCGGAATTAAAGCCGCGATACAAAAAAAAGTTGCGGTATGAGAATCTGGCCGAAATTTCGCAACGATCTATTTCAACTGATGCATGAGTCCTTCAATTGACGGAATGAGCGATAGACCCGAAACGCAAGATACAATTGAAGCGAGACCAGCGAAACGCGCCCGACTCGAGGGTTCATTAGCGACATCAGCAGACACATTCGAAGAGATGGCAGACGAGGATGATTGGGACGACGTCTACGGCGAGGGAGGCCAACAACCAGACAATTCTATGGAGGTTGAGCCTGCTGGGGCTCCTCTAGAGCCGTCACGAAGCGTCAAAGGAGATGCCGATTCAGAGATGCCTGATGTGAATCAACCTTCGAAGGAACCGACATTCCAACCTCCTACATCACATGAGTCTGCGCCGCAGAGCCAAGCACAATCCAGTTCGACCAAATTGGAGATTAAAGAGGGAGATGCACAAATCCAGGGGGCAACCGAAACGCAGTCTAAAGACGCAGATGAGCTCGTCGCTCCGGTACCGCCTACACAGTCTACGGACGAGCAGTCTGCCATGGTGCTCGAGGAAACCTCTCAAGTGCACGCACCTAACGCCGATGGGTTGATCACAAGCGCCAACACGACGAGCTCAGACCTGGATTCCAAGATGGACGTTGGGCAGAATGAAATTCAGGACACCGCGCAGACCGCTGCCGACACCGAGCTTAACGCCGTGAAAGACGCAGACGCTCCACTGAAACCGAAGGATGATCCGGCATTCATAGCCGCAGCTGCAGCCCAGAAGGATAACAAGCAAGCGGAGTGGCAGTTTGACTCGTCAGATGCGGAATCATCTTCTGACTCGGATAGCACCGACTCGAGCGACGACGACGACGATAGTGAGGGCGGGTATGAATTACTCGATCCCATCACCGCCGCGAAAATGCTCATGTCTGGTGATGGCGATGACGACGAAGGCGAGAAAAGCAAGAGCCAAGGCAACTATCAGCCACGGACAACCAACGAGAAGCCGGAGGAGATTGTCCCGGTTCCCGACGTGGAGGTTACGTCTGACATGAAGATCACTTTCCTTGGAGCGGTGGAAAGAATCGTGGAGAATTTAATATTGGTCAAGGGAGCGACTCCAGGCGAGTACCAAGTCATCGAAAGCGGATCTGTCCTTTGTAAAGAAGATCGCAAAGTCATTGGAGCAGTCGCGGAGACGTTCGGAAGAGTTCAGGAGCCAATGTACAGCGTCATGTTCACCGCTCCTCAAGACATCAAGGACGCAGGCTTGGAATTCGGCACCAAGCTGTTCTACGTCGATAGCCACAGCACCTTCGTCTTCACACAACCATTACGAAACTTGAAGGGCACAGATGCATCGAACATACACGACGAAGAGGTGGCCGAGGATGAGCTGGAGTTTTCCGATGACGAGGTGGAAGCAGAGTTCAAGAGGCAGAGGAAGATGGCGAAGAAGGCTGGCCGCGGTGGATTTTCTCGCGGAGACTTTAACGACGGAGTAAGAATGCCACACCCATCGAATTCGGAAAGCGGTCCGTCGTACAACCGCGGCAATGATGCGCCGCCTCAGAGCTACGGAGGAGGGATGAGCTACGATGATGAGCCTGCAGATGAATTCTACATGCCCCTGAAGCGACCCGATAACCTCAGCCAACTGATGTCCGACGGGCCATCGAGACCACCGCAGCAGGCTTTCGATCGAGGTCGAGGTCGTGGCGGAAACCGTGGACGCGGACGAGGCGATCGCGGGAGGGGGCGAGGGGGTTTCGAGAACCGCGGTCAAAGGGGAGGCGGCAGAGGCGGTGCGGGGCCCTATCAAAGCAACAGCACCCAACCGCATCGTGGCAACGCCCAAAGTTTCCCAGATCGCCACAACACCCATTCGGACGCCCCCCGTCAAGAGAAACATTCCCTGCCCCCGAGACCCGTCGACCGACCGGAGACCAACCCCCCGGCCTTCCCGAATCAACATCCACACCCGCCCGCACCTCCCGCATCGACCTATCAGTTCAACGGCTATACCTTCCAATACGGCACGCAGCCCCCAGCCGCTGGTCCGCAACACCAGTACCCAGCAGGGACCTATCCTCCTGCCGCAATGCCCGCCGGGACCTCAGGGTACGCAGCCGCCGCGCCTCCCGGCTCATACGTGAACCCGGCCTTTGCAGCAGCGGCGGCGGCGGCGGCGTCACAAACGCACTACCCCCCGGCCGCGCAGCAACACGCTGCACAAGGCCCGGGCTATCCAGCATGGTCGCCGCCGCCGCCGCAGCAGCAACAGCATGCACAGCAGTATCAACAGCCCGCCGCGCAACAGCAGTATCCACCACAGCAGTATCCTCGATATCAATATCCCCCTGCCGCTGCGGCCGCACCGCCGACGGCTGCAGCAGCATCGTCATCCTCCCACCATCACCACCAACAACAACAACAGCCGCCCCAGCAATCACTTCCGCCCGACCTCAGTGAGATCTTGAAGAACCTGAGCGCCAAGCGATGAGGACGCGTGCCGGGATTTGTTATTTCAGAAAGGGAAACGAGCCCACTGATTTTTCCGGGCGATGTGGGTGAAAACATGTAGATTATAGCCGTAGCTCCCCCTTTCGCAGCAAAGGGGGGGAGGGGGTGGAAGAAAATAATCATCTAATAGATGTACCGGTGGCCCCCTTTTCTTCCACAATGGGGAAGAGGGATAGAAATCAAAGGATATTCGGATCTCGAAAATAAAATAGATAAGAGGGAAAAGATAGCTACATCAGAATCGGACGAGAGGAAGAGAAAAACAATGAAGCAAAACCACGGGGTTTTTCCAACCCCCGAAAAAAACCCGCCCCCCCTCCCCTTCCCTCCCTCCTCTAAGGAGCATTCCGCTCGCGGGGGAGATCCTCCAACCGGATCACCCCCGTCTCCTGCCCGCCGAAACCATGCGGATCCGCGGAAGAATCGGAGGGATCCTCCTGCCTTGCGCCATCCGAAGCCGACATCTTCCCGCCGACCGCCAGACAGATCTCTTCGAAGCGCCTGCCGGCGTTCACCGACGGGCGGTCCAGGAAGCGCTCGAACAGGCCGCCCACGATGAAATTGACGACGGTGGCGGGGGCCATGGACATGAGGTAGGCGGCGAAGAGGCGGGCGTGGGCGGCGCGCGGCTGCTCGGCCGCGGTCAGGGCCGGGTCCAGCCCCACCCAGCTCTTGTAGTGCCAGTCCAGCGGCTTGAGCCAGGCGTGCAGGAAGATGTGGCAGAGGTACAGGCCGAAGGAGATGCGGCCGAGGTACTGCACGAAGCGGGTCTCCATCAGCCGCCGCACCGGCGACTCGCCCGTGCCCATGAGCAGGGCCAGCCCCGCGAAGCTGAGGATGTACCGGTCCATCTGCCGCTGGAAGTACCAGCCCATCCACGCGATCGGCTGCGTGATCCAGTCGAAGCTCGGCCGCGATTCGATGTGGTAGTCGGCCGGGTCGTCCGGGTTGTGCACCATGCGGCCGCCGGGGAGGCCGGCGAGGTAGAAGCCGAAGAGGAAGACGGCGAAGAAGAAGGTGGAGCGCCAGCGGCCGAGGGTGGGCCGCCAGGGCTTCCGTCGCTTGGGGTCGCCGAGGGTGGGGAGGTGGGATCGTTCGGCTTTGAGGCCGGCCTCGTGGTCGATCTTGTAGTCGGCGTAGGACATGCCGAGGAGGAAGACGGCGGCGATCCAGTCGTCTTTGTGGAAGGCGGTCAGGATGATGAGGGTGGTGATGGCGAGGCGGACCCTGCGCGACCGCGTGCGGGAGAACATCAGGAGGGTGACGTAGACGACGAGGGAGCCCCAGTATTCCAGGGGGATGGTCCAGGAGATGCCGCCGTCGTATTTGTCGATGATCTTGTCCCATCGGTCGGGGTATCGTAACGGCATGAGGAGACGTGAGAACGAGAGGGCCCAGTTCTGGATCTCGAGGAATAGCGTCGGTGCGGAGTCATATCCGACCGGCTTGGGGAGGCCCATGCGGCAGACGATCATGAGGATGAATGTCTCGATGGCGACCGGCATGTAGAGTCGGATGCCCCGACGGAACACGGACGAGGACAGGGACGCCAGGATCTTCTCGTGCTGCTGCGTCCGGATCAGGGTCAAGACCTTGTACGACAGGGCGAAGCCGGAGATGGCGAAGAACAAGCACACGGCGCCGTCCCCGCTCGCGTAGAACGTGCGGATGAAAGGCGCGCGGTACCACGCAGGGTCGGTGAATTTGATGTTGCCCCATCCGAGCGACCGGTCGATCCAGCCATCATCGTAGTGGAAGATGAAGACCTCGAACGCGGCCAGGCCTCGCAGACCGTCCAACCAGGCCGTCGGGCGGAGTTTGATCCCGGGCTCGGGGTAGTTGAAGATCGCTCGGATCGTGCCGAAGAACCCCAAGCCATAGATCGTCCGCAGGAGGTTCGCCCAGGTGATGTAGATGAATGCCTTGAGCCCAGAGGCCCGGAGTCGCTGTCGCCAGCTGCCGTCGTTCTCGAAGGTGTCGTCGCCCAGTTCGATGTCGTGCATGAGACTGCGGCCCTCCCGCGCATCCAGCTCTTCCTCGTCTCTTTCGGGGAGATCATCCTGCCGTGCATAGCCATTGGATCCCGAGTGGTCGTAGCGGTGGAGGTCCGGTTCGACGGGGTCGCCGACTGCGTCCCGCCCTGACTTCCGCTCGCTGCCAAAATTGCTCATGACTGGATCGCGCTCGAGAGAGTCGGAAATGGCATACCGCTTCGAAGGAGGAGCGCAACGCACGGAGGATTGCGGCAGGTGGCGTGGAAGAGGAGGAGGATTGATTGCGTCGACGATGAGCTGGAGTTCTGGAGTAGTATGGACTGTATGTAATGTAGTAACAATAATTTAGTTCGACTCCGCAATTCGTTTCGTCTGTCCCCGGAGAGCGCGCGTGCTTCGGTGCCACCACCCCAATGCTGGTCCCTGGCGGAAGTTAATTGAAGCAGATTCTAGCCAAGATAGGAAAGGCGTGTGGAGGAGGAGCAAAGGTGCAGCAGCAGCTCGTTGGACTGTGAGGTAGATATCACTGTGAGATACCTAGGTCGATATCAATCAAGTATTATATAATAATCAACATCACTCTCTGTGCGGTAAAGGGTTTTGTTAGCAGCAAAACGTCTCGATCTCGTCTATCCTCATAGAGGAACTGTTCCACTTTCTATCTCTCTCTCTCCCCTGATCGTAATCGGTCTGCTGCGGCGAGAGAGAGGAGATGTGGAGAAGCGATGCCAGTGATGACTAATGACAGGTGACTAATGACTGATGACAAGCGGGACTCCCCGTTCCGAGGCTGCCCAGGTAGCTGGAGGTGATCTCTAAGGGTTCCAGGGTTTGGCTAGTTCTCGTCTCCATGGCCTCAGGCACCAACCCATTCACGTCGATGTTGTCAGTCACCGAGAGAGAATGACAGCCCGGGAGAGTATTGGAGTACTGGAAATATCTCTTGCAGCCCTTCAACTCCCCCCCTACCTCCTTCCCTCTGTGGAAAGGTCATCGTCGGCCATCATCATCAGCTATGTTATTATGATTATTATGATTACTCTACGGCGCCATCTGACTACAGTACATACAACCTCCTCCTCCTTCGCGACCGACATCGCTGCTATGTCAATCGTCGCCCGCCCGCCCCGCTTCGAGCCACCGTCGGTCCGTCTGTCCGTCAGTCAGTCAAGCAGTCAGGTGGCGAAGGCGGGCGCGCGCTTGTGGCCCTCTGGGTACATACATGAATAGCGTGTGTCCACGGGCACGATCGAGCGACCGCCCTGGCGATTCTTTTCCACTGATGATCAATGCCGCGTGGACGACGGGGCCAAGGAAAACATTTGTAGAGCGGTGATGATGAACCCTCTCTCTCTCTCTCTCTGTCTCTCGCGTGGCATCATGAGGCTCTCTCTCTCTCTCTTCTCTCATTGTTGCACTAGACAGAGCGGGGACGGATGAGGGACGAACGAACGAATGGGGTGGAGGATATTCCCTCCCATCACTGCGGCGTGCCCGGTTCTTGGGGCGTGCAGACGGAGCAGCAGCAGCAGCAGCAGCCGCATGACGATCACTACAGTAGACGGCGCATTCAATCATCGACCCAACGACCAACCGGCCGGTGGACGTCCCGTACTGGGTGGTCGTAGAGATGCTACAGTAATTATAAGTACTACGTTGACCGCCTTGGATTTTGTACTGTAATAAAGTCATCGGTGGATTTGACCTCCCCCTCCCCTCGCTCAGCCAGTCAGTCAGTCAGGAAGTCATGCTGGCCATTTTGGTTTCCCTTCGAGGGTTTCGAAGTCTGTCTGTCTGCTGATGAGTGAGCGAGCGAGCCAGCGAGCTGGGCTGGGAGGTCCGGTGAAGTCGCGAGTTTTCCCGGCACTGTGTGTAGGAAGATAGGTACTGTAGTCCATCCTGCTAGGAAGACGGCTTGTGGCGGGGGCGCGCCACACATGCACCTATATCAACGAGGCAGTTGTGGTGGAGCAATGCCATCGACGCAGTATTTGGGAGGGATTTGTGTGCGAGATGTTGTTGTTGAGCACAGTAGACCGTTTCCCTGCATGTACACGCGTGTTGGACGTGGATATGTGCTGCTTGTTTACCACTACTGTATCTGTATGTATGTACTGTACTGTACTGTACTCTCCTGTACGTCAGACAAGTTCCTGGAGAGAGGGAGAGAGATGAGAAAGGCGGGAGACGGCTGTGAGATGGGAAAGCTGGCGGGCGGGCGGTATGGTATGCACACCTGCATGCAATGCGGCCTGGGGAAGAGGGAGCCCAGATCCCCGCCAACGATGATTGAGCGAGAGGACGTACGTGGTGGCGGTGGTGGTGTTGACGATGATGTATATATCCATGCACATATGTGATCTCTCCAAGTTATTATTGTCGTCCTACGTGGCGGTCTTGTGTGTGTTTGGGCACCATTGTCGAGAGGTCCCCGTACAGCAGCATATGAACGTGTTATGACGAAAAGGTACGACGGTGCTTGATCGTACTATAGATACATTCCGTCCCATCGTAGAACATGAAATAGATCAACTATACGTACACGGCACGAAAACAGTAATACTGTAGGATGGCGCCAGGGACGTGACGGATGGCGTGAGATCCCCAATTGTCGCGGAGAAAAAGCGCACTCCCTCGTCCATGTCGATGCTGTGCGTGCAATTCGTGTTTCTTCCCTCTCTCTCCCCGGGTGTCCACCATCACCGACCTTGGGAGATCCATGGATGATGTGGCGGTGATGCTGATGCTGGTGCTGATATGCTCATGTTGCATGGATAGAGGAGGGATGACGGACGAGATCCCCAGCGATCGGATGCCAGCCGATCGCTCCGAAGACATCAGCCCTGCAGTGTCGTATCTCGACGAGGAAAGTGGATACGGTCCAGCGGTCTATCATTGCATCTGGCGATTCATGATAACAATCGATCAATCAATCGACCAATCAATCAATCTATCTATCTACCAATCCTAGACGCGTCGCGCCTCAACGATGCAGGTGATATCATCTCGCCCATTGCCAGCCATGGAACCCTTTTTCGAATCCTCCGACGATCCAATGAATGAGAGGATGGATGAGCGAGAGCCTTTGATGATACACCTGCACTTGCCGTGTACCGTCAGGTATATATTAGATTGTACATGCAAGATACATGTTTCCCTCCATGGAAATGATTCTCGCCCTGTCCTGTCCTGTCCGTCCCAACCGACCGAGATTTTGACCGACCGCCTCCTTTGATCACTCCCTCCTCCGCCTCTCTGTCCCCAATTATTGGCTGCCCGCGCCACAGAGAGAGCAAACAGACATTCACACTGGAGAGGATCGATGCATTGAGGCTGCTCTCCTCGAACCCATCCCCCCGGCCGCGTATCACTATTACAATTATGATTGTGATTATGATTATTATGATTATTATGATTATTATGATTATTATGATTATTATGATTGTTCCCTAGCCGGAGCCTCTCTCCTGGATATTATTACGTGATCGTGGGCGATCGCTCCCTGGGGCTTCCTTCAGCTGTGCCATCATCAACGCATCATCAACATTACTGCGGGAGAGTGTCACCACCAGACTTGATATGATACTCTCTTCCACAATCACGGCAGATCCCTAGGCACTGTAGTATAGCACAGAGTCGGATGAACCACCGTTTGATTGACGAACCCATCAAATCTGTCCTTTCAATAGTGCAGGTGGTGTCACGATCGTCACGTCACCTTGGACAATCGCCGCCCACGGGGTAGTGTTGACCCTCCAGCCTTCCCACCACCCTGACAGGCTAGCGCTGTACTGTATGTTACTGTATGTTACAGCCCTGGCGCAAAATGATAATAACTGAAGCTTCCATTCCCATCAAATCACAGGGTCATCACCCAGCTATCTCGCGCGGATACCTATCTCCGTTATCGCCCCCGACCATACCATACCAGACCATACCAGACCATACCATACCACTGGACAACAACAATACAGGAGTGGTGGTGCATACATACATACGTACATACATACTACATACACACATACACACAATACATACACATCATCACGTCTCTACACCCCAAAGCACACCATATTCCAGCACCAGCACCAGCACCTCCTTCTACTCCTCCATCCCTCCTGCTGCTGCTGCTGCTGCTGCTCCTCCATCCCCAGACCGATTAGATTAGCCCGCGTTGGCTCCATCTCGTCCCTCCCGCCAAATTCCTCACGCGTATTGCCCAACTCCATCCATCCCGCCCCGTACTGCAGGTCGACAGACACCCGGCCCACCGTCGTTGATCTGGCTTGTATCCGCGCTGGTGGTTCCGGTTCCGACTGAACGCTCTCCACCTCCACCATCATCATCATCATCACCCGCCCGTCGTCGCTTGGTCAACTGCCCGTCTTTCGCATCGCCCTCTTCACTCCCTTTCTCGTCTCCAGTTCACCGCCGTCGCCTCACTTTCGCCCTCGATCGCGGTGTCTCGTGACCCCCCCGCTGTCGCATGACTGGCCAGCCCGCCGCAACATCGGACGAGACGAGGGTACTCCACCACAACACAACAACGTCACGCATCGACTATTATTACCACCAGGGCTCCTACGCCGACGACCTGATTGCTGCAAATCCTGCAATCGTAGTCGTCCTGACCTGCGTCCGAAGCTTCCGCCGAGCTGCCTCCTGCCGACATGGCACAACAGCAGCAGCAACGGCCGATCGTCCCTCGCCAGCACTCCGCTCCACCCAACGCCACCGAGGCCGTTCATGTTCCTCCGGCACCGCGTCACCGGGCCATCGAGGCTTCACAGGAATGGATTCTGTTCTCGCCCGCGCAGGATGAAGAGGCCAGCGTCACCGCCACACACACCTCCCACACGCCACGGACAGCAACACACATCTCGGACTTCGGCGGTTCCCTAGAGACACATGTGAGGTCGCAAATCCAGCGCAGCGATGCCTCCACCGGCGTCCGCATCGACACCATCAGCGACGCGGGCGACGACCTCGACGGAGACGATGCCGAGGAGCTGGACAGCCTGGACGATGGACTCTACGCTTTTCACCATCCCTACTCCGCGACTTCGTTACCCCATCTCGATGCCAGTGGTGGCGCGGTCCTGCCCACACACGACGGGTTCGGCACATTTCCTTCCGGCCAGGATCTCCAAGAGCAATTGTGGCAATTCGAGCGATACAACCCACGGAGGCGCACCGGACGGCAGGCGCCGCGGAGGAGCAGCGCACAGCGGAAACCCGAGGCCGTCGAGGAGGAAGAGACTCAACAGATAGACCTCGGGGGTGTCGTGACTGAAGATGACCGCACGGCCCGGGTGGAGAAGTGGCGACTAGATCAGAGTCGAGCGGTCCTGGAGGAGATCGAAAGAGAGACGAGGAGGATGAGACGGCGGGTGGCCCGCATGAATTCCGCACCAGGGACGGAGAGCATATTGCGGGCGTCGGCCGCGTCGTCACGTCACCCCGCAGCCCCGGAGGCCTCGACGCCGCCCGACGGGGAGTCATTTTGGCGCCGGATCACGCGACGTGTCATTCGGGACCTGATCGGACTTGACGAGAGTGCCCTCTCGGTCATCTTCGGTGAGACCTTCGTTCAGGATGACGAGTCGAGCACATTCGCCACACGGCGAGAGATCGACCCCGAGTCGATCGACGCCACCCCTACACAACGATCACCGCTCGCCGATGCCCTAGACGCCTCCACTCGAGCGTCGCGCCGAGCGGAATCCTGGGAGCTCAGGCTCCTCGACACCATCGCCCGAGAGCTCGGTATCTTGGTCCATCAGCTGTCAGATCACAACAACGAAGGGGCCTTCAGCACGTACAAGCGTATGCAAGCGATGCCCTTGGAATATGCCGGCATGAAGATCCCCCGACAGCCGTCGCTTCGATCGACCCGTCGCCCAGCTCCCGGTCAGGTCGCGACGGGGGACGAGCCGGCCTCGGATGCGCTCTTCGTTCCGACCGTCCCACAGGACGTCCTCACCCCGGACACCGAACCCGGTGACACATCCCTGTGGGGCATCGAAGAGGAGCCGGAGGACGGCGGCGACACGAGCCGCGAGCGCGAATACTGGGAGCAGGAAGTCGACATCAAGATGATCTTCAACTATCTCAAACGTCGCTTCTCCGTCGGGCCCTCGACATCACCACCCCCTGCATCCGCCACATCCGCCGCGCGGCTCCCGCACCCCAACGGACCGATCCTGCCTCCTTCCTGGGCCGCCGCCTCCAACTCCGCCGGCCTGGCCGCCTCGTCCCTCTCGACCGCCGAGTCCGTCCGCCGCGCCGAGGTCATCCGCCGCCACCACCCGCTCGTCTCGCGCGCCGCGGCCAAGCAGCAACAGCACCAGAGTTCCGTGCTCCGCCGGCACCACGCCCTGCAGAGACGCGCCATCATCGGAGGCGGGCTCGCATCTGGCGGCGGCGGTGGTGGCAGCAGCAGCTGCGCCAGCCAGAGCACCAAGAGGAGCCGCACCGCGAGCTCGAGGCACTACTGGGGCAGCGTCAGCGGGCGCAGCGCCGGCGGAGCCGCGGGCACGGGCGGTGGGGCTTTGGGCAATTGGGGAGAAGTATGAAATATCTCTGCGCAATGGGACCTGCAAAAATAAAGCCGACGACCGCGATGTACGATTACGACGAAGACGATGATGGGAAATTTTTTCTGTTTGAGCTCGCGAAGCTGGGTCTTCTCTCTTTCTTTGCTCGCAGGCCTGGTCTGGGGGGTTGTTCGACGAGGCCTGGATTCTCCTTCCCATTTTTTTCCCGATAATTCTCCATTTGCTTTTCTGTTTTCGCACCGCTTCTCTGCATCAGGTGCGGTGTGAAGCGCCGGCGTCTGAGCGCCTTGTTCTTGTTCCATCCGTGCGTCTTCTTCATACACTAGCATGTTAATGCATCATCACCACGGCGAACGCCCGAAAGTTCATCATGGTCATCTCGTGAACCGCGCTACGTATTTCCCGGTTCGGATGTTTACGTAGGTTAAGATATTTCCACCACAGCGGCACATCGCCCAGTCCGAAATGTAATCCCGATAATATGGCAGAAACGGGATTCTCTTGAGTGGGAGGTTCAGTGATCCTCCTTGTACCGCAGTATTAAAGCTGAGCTGGGCGAGACGTCATCCCTCACTTTCTTTGGAACCCTAACCGAGTTGGTTGTCTAGAACATAGCTCCCGCCCAAAAATTGCCCAGGTGATAAAGGGAAAGAAAAAATCAGTCAAAATCTGGAGACAGAGAATACAGAAGCGGGTGGTGTGCAAAAACAAGATACCGATCGCAAACCCGGCGAGGAATCAAGCAGAAGAATTACTCAAATCCGACGACTGGAAAAAAAGACGATGGCTTCCGACCGCACCGTCGGCCTGCTCGGCGGCGGCCAACTCGGCCGCATGCTGCTCCAAGCCGCCAACCTCCTCGAGATCAAAGTCAACATCCTCGACGCCGCCGGCTCGTCCGCCAAGCAGATCAGCGCCCACGACGGCCACATCGCCGGCTCGTTCAAGGACCGCGACGCCATCCGCGCGCTCGCCCGGACGTCCGACGTCCTGACGGTCGAGATCGAGCACGTCGACACCTACATCCTCGAGGAGGTCGCCCGCGACCTCGGCGTCGACGTCCAGCCCGCCTGGTCGACCCTCCGCACCATCCAGGACAAGTTCCTGCAGAAGGGCCACCTCCTGGAGAGGGGGGTGGCCACCGCGGAGAGCCTGGCCCTGGCCGAACCCTCCCGGGCGGAGCTCGAACGGGTCAGCGCGGAGTTGGGCTTGCCGTTGATGCTGAAGTCGCGCCGGGAGGCGTACGACGGCCGGGGGAACTTCCCGGTCCGGACGGCGGACGATTTCGACGCGGCCCTGCAGGCGCTGAGCGGTCGGAGCGCCCAAGGCGGCCTCCAGCCGGGAGATGTGCTCTACGCCGAGAAATGGGCCAACTTCCGCATGGAGCTGGCGGTCATGGTCGTCAAGACCAAGGACCAGGTCCTGTCCTACCCGACCGTCGAGACCATCCACGAGGACAGCATCTGCAAGCTCACGTATGCCCCCGCCCGCCGCGTCTCCAGCGCGACGAACGAGCGCGCCCAGGCCCTCGCCCGCCAGGCGGTGGCCTGCTTCGCGGGCAAGGGCGTGTTCGGCGTGGAGATGTTCCTCCTCCCCGACGACACTTTGCTCATCAACGAGATCGCGCCGCGGCCGCACAACTCCGGGCACTACACGATCGAGGCCTGCCCCGTGTCCCAATACGAAGCGCATCTCCGAGCCATCCTCGACCTGCCCCTGCTCGCCGAGGACCTCGAGCTCCGCGAGCCGAGCATCATGCTGAACATCCTCGGCGGCGCCGGGCCCGACTCGCACATCCGCATCGCGAGGGAGGCGCTCCGCCAGCGCCGCACCAAGGTCCACCTCTACGGCAAAGGCGAGGCGAGGAAAGGCCGCAAGATGGGCCACATCACGATCTGCGCCTCGACCATGGCCGAAGCCGAAGCCATCCTGGCGCCCACCCTCGCCCTGGTCGACGGGACCGCAACCCCTCAGTCCTCCCACGGATCCGAATCCCCCTCCAAACCATCCCCCCTCGTCGCCGTCGTCATGGGCTCCGACTCCGACCTCCCCGTGCTCGAGCCCGGCCTGAAACTCCTCACACAGCTCGGGATCCCGCACACCGTGCGCATCACCTCCGCGCACCGCACGCCCGCGCACATGGCGGAGTTCGCGCGCGACGCCGCGGCCTCGGGGATCCGCGTGCTCATCGGCGCGGCCGGCGGCGCCGCGCACCTGCCCGGCATGGCCGCGGCGCACACGTGGCTGCCGGTGATCGGGGTGCCGGTGAAGCCGTCGATCGGGGACGGCACGGACAGCGTGCTCAGCATCCTCAACATGCCGCGCGGCGTGCCCGTCGCCACCGTCGCGATCAACAACGCCGTCAACGCCGCGCTGCTGGCCGCCCGCATCCTGGCCGCCGGCACGGACGCCGCGGCGCTGAGGGCCCGGGACGCCGTCCGCGCGTATGCCGCCGACTCGACTGACGAGGTCATGGGGAAGGACGCCCGCTTGGAGCGCATCGGCTGGAAGGATTACCTCGAGGGCATGAGGGCGAAGTAAACTCCTTTTCGGAGGGAAAACGGAAGGGCACGCGCGGGGCGGGGGGAACAGGAGACCGACTCCCCCTCTGGATGCGAAATCGCCAGGGAAGAATACCCTGCGTTCCAATCGCGCAGCGAGAGAGAGAAACATCTAGAAGAAGAAGAAAGGGTAAAAGAAAAAGAAAAAGAAATAATCCAAAATTCATGCCGTCCCGAACCAGACCCCCTCGATCGTCCTCCAATACCTCTCCGGATCGCGCCTCAAGTGCCCGACGTGCGCGCTCCCCTCGAACCTCACCAGCTCCACCGTGAAACCCCCCTCCCCCGCCGCCTCCCCCGCATGCTCCTCGACGTCCCTCCACCCGATCATCTCGTCCTCCCGCGAATAGACATACGTCCTCCTCCTCCCCCTGCTGCTCCTGCTGCTCCTCACACCCTGCGCCGACGCGGCAGCAGCAGGAGGGGGAGGAGGAGGAGGAGGAGGAGGCAGATTCATCCTCCCCCTCAGCTCCTCCAACGGATCGCTCGCGCCCCACGGCCACAACCACTTCCGCGCGAAGACCCCAGCCAACACCAACCCCAGGACCGCCCTCAGCGCCATCCGCAGCAGGAAAGAGCCCTTCGGCAGACTCGCCACGACCGCCGCCCACGTCTGCCTCCAGCCCGCCCTGCCCGGCGCGCTGTCCACCAGCGTCGGCGCGTCCGCCAGATCCGCCCCCGTCGACCGCGCGAGGGCCGAGGCGATGGTGCACCACTGCCGCGCGCCGGCGTTGGACATGACGTGCACGAAGAGCGCCCCCTGCCCATGACCATCGCCTTCGTCTTCGCCCGCCGGGCGGATCATCCCGGCCAGGATCTCGACCACGGGCTGGATGAGCGCCCGACTGGTCGTCTCCCTGCGCCAGAAGAAATCTTTCATCCCGCTCCGCACCAGCACGATCGTGCTCCCCGGCCACGAGGCCTGGTACAGCCGCGTGTACTTCTCGATGTGTCGCAGCTGGGCGTCGCCCCAGGTGAGCAGGAGGACGGTCTCGGGGGGGATTGTTTGCTGGTTCTTCTTCGTCGTGCGCTCTGTGATCGTCGTCGAGGACGAGGAGGGCTCGCCGTGGTGGATCTGAACGATTTCGTTCAGGCGGGTGAATGTTGGGAGGGCCATTTCTCTTTTTCTTCGTTTTGCCGGTTTCGGGTTCTTTGGGGTCTTCTGCGAGCTTTTTCGGAGGTGAGGTCCGGGTTGGGTTGGCGGCGAGGCTTCCCTCGGCGGTTCTGAATGGCTTGGGGAATTCGGGCCCGTCGAAATTCTCGTCTCGGATCTTTGAGTTCAGCTCGAATCTGTCTCTTCGTGATTATGGATATCCTATAATGAACGGCACTGTCGCAAATATCTATACCGTAGCGTTTGGGGATCCTCTGAGAAAGACGAAAATGTTGGAGGTCATTCGGCTCAGTACCGCACATACTTTCAGGGCAGCCTCTCAAGCCTGACCACCCAGGCAGCACCCCACACAGACTCGTCACAGCCGCTGGGAGAAACACTCCGAGCAATGAAGAGGAATCTTTTCTCTCTACCTGAACACGATACGATGTGTTAAACTTCGAGATTCATACGCCATTCAGCAGCGCGATCTCAACATATCCTATTGTCCTACAGATCCATGATCCAAGATCCATGATTGTAACAAAATAAGACCGATGTCAGTCCAGCGAACTCAACCCTACCTCCAGTGTGGGTCTTCTCGTTGGAATTAAGCCCCATCCAGCCCTAGCGGGTCCCTTGGAGGAGGAGGAATATGCGCAATGTCGCCTTGCAGCGGCGCGGGACAAACCACACGTCGCTCGTCCTCCCAATCAGATCCCGAGGTGTTGGTTACGGCACAGTCACACACGCGCGGGAAAGGAGACGTGCACCACCACCACCACCCACCACCTGGAGGCACAGCCAATCTTATTACGCGGTCGCTGGTCTCGGGCCATGGACCCGACACGGGCCGAAGCTGACTCGTCACCGGCCGGCGAACAGGGCGTCGGCGGAAGCAACAGCGGCAGTAGCACCAGCCATGCGAGTCCCGGCGGCAGTCCAGCAACAGTTGCATCGTCTGCACACGACAGCAACGAGAAGGACGACAACGACAGGAGCGCAACAGAGCCATCTCCACAAGCACAGTCTCAACCGCCTCCGCCGCCGGCGCTGGCGCCGGCGCCGACACCGGCTCCGGTGAAGCAGGAACCCCCGACACGTAAGACCCCCGAGGCCACCGTCGAGATGCTCGAGCGGCTCTCGATCACAGGCGCGAACGCGCTGAACGACCGCGACCACGACTTCACCGGCTCGGCGGCCACGCGCGAGTTGCGGTCGCGGATGGCGGCGAGCTGGCGCGGGCAGATCGACACGTACGCGCACGCGAGGGAGGTGACCTTCGCGGAGCAGTCGGCGATGTGGGCGCAGCGGCGGGCGCAGTACCCGGACGTGCACTTCGAGGTGGTGGCCATCTCGACGGAGGTCGACGAGCGCAGGGGCGAGGCCCTGGTGTTCATGGACATGGAGGTGTCCGGGCTGGCGACGTTCAACCTCCAGGCGATGAGCGAGCTCACGTGGAAGAAGGTCCGCGGCCAGTGGATGCTGGCCCATACGCTTTCACTGAGAGGCACGCGGGGGAATAGTGGGGGGTTTGGGTGAAGAGGTCCCGGATGGGTTTTGGGGGTGTGGTTCATTGCATGCCTTATCACGGTGTCGGGAGCCGACGGGTGGAGTCGGGATGGAGATGGGCTATTGTCATCATCGCTTGGGTGGTCTTCGTTCCGAAACCAAGACCGGCGGGTCGGAGGCAGATGGGACGCCGCGTTCCCGTACTTCCATACCCGACGACGCAAGCCTTTCGGTGGGCGTGTCCATCACTCGCCCAATTTGTGAGCGTGAACGCGTGGTCATCGACGCAACACCAAACATCTGCCCGATCGTCCACACAACATTTCCGTGACGATGGACCAAAGTAAGTTTGCGAGCGGCACGATACCCCGCTGGGACACGATGTGAATGTGATCAGATAATTTTCTCATTTCTTGGAAGTGCACTCCATGGCCCTCCCATAGCAACGCCGAATGCCCGAGCCATGCGTGAAAAGACATCTCCGACGGGTTCCCAGTAAAATTCGTTGTACGCTCCATCGCAGAAGCACACAAGACGTTGAAGCGCTGCCCACGACTCCCCTCTCCCGGGCAGGCCGAACCAGTATATGCAAACCATAAACACCGGCTCTTTCTAAACCTTGAAACCCTTCGACCGTCTGCGACCACGAGCGCGCTCGAATTTCCTGCCCTTGCTCTCGACGTAAGGCTTCTGCAATGGTTGTTAGCAAGATATACCGCCGAGTCCCATTCCCTCAGGACACTTGCCTTGTGCTTGTGAGGACCGAAGCCGAAGTGCTTGACGGATTCACGGGAGTTCTTGGGTCCACGGAGGAGGATGACGTTGGAGCCAGTGGGTGCTCGGAGAGCCAACTGGTCGAAGGTGAGGCACTCGCCGCCGGCCTTCTCGATGCGGGCGCGGGCAGTGGCGGTGAAGCGAAGAGCGACGATGCTCATCTTGGGGACCTCATAGAGGCGGTTGTCATCGGTCACGGTGCCGACAATGGCTCGGATCTTGCCCTCCGTTGATTCTGAGTTGTGCTTGTTGGCAGTGACGGCGACAATTTTGGAGAGGGAGATTCTAAATCGATGATTAGACCGGTTCGGAGGATGATCATGCGCAGAGGGAGATGTACGGTGGAGCGTTGATGCGGCTCATGCGCAGACGGCGGAGCACGGTCTGGTTGAAGTTGGAGTCGGTTCGGCGGGCGAGGAACGCGTAAAGCTTTTCATCCGTCAGATCGATGTCCTGATGTCTCTTATCCTTCCAGGCGACTCGTCGCATACCTTGTGTAGGAGCTTGCGGTAAGGGTTGTCGCTGTGCGGCGCCTTGCGGTGGCCGTTCGACACGTGGTGCTTGTCTGCGAAGGTGTCAATTCTGTGGCAAACCGATGACAAGACGTCTGTAGGAATTCATCATACCCAAATCGATACCCATGGCGACGGTATTTGGCGAGCAAGTTGGTTGATGCTAAAATACACAATTGTCGTCTTCACTGGTGGGATTTTTGGTAATGCAGAAGTTGCCGTGTGTGCCAAGGAATCACGGGTTCGCCCGCAATTTCGCAGTGCTAACGTACCTCATAAGCCTGTGCGTCATTATAAGCCTATGCGGCAATCCCTCAACATCAGCTGTACGAGAAAATCAATAAATCCATGAATACTCAAAACGCAGCTATCAAATTGATAAATTGACTATTTTTGACTTAGATCTATTAACCGGACATGTTGTACGCGTATGTCCTTCGGTATTACAGCTGCTACAACGCGGTTTGCGACGTGTCTGCCGGCTTGAACCAGCTTTAGCTGGAACTTCTTCTGCTGACAACGTAGCAATTGCAGCTGTTGCAATCCTTAAACTATGAAATCCTTCTTTGTCAACGCTGCCTAGAACCTTATGACGGGTTCTTTGACGCTGCTTACGCGCGCCGAGCGTCTGGACAGTTTTATGAAGCTGCTGAAGCTCAGCTTCAACAAGGGACAATTTAGCAGCAACCTTATGGTAACCCTTGGCGTTCTGTCGCAGAGCAGCAACAATTTCTGAGGGTGAGGTGCTTGAACGATTTAGCTTGTTCTCAATATAAGCCGTTTGAGAATCAAGCTCCTGCGTATTTGACGGTGTCGCTGCAGTCCACTGCAGGGGGGTCTGTAGTGGAGGTGTTGCTAACTTCAGCGTCAATTTGGACAACACAGCTTCAGGATTGAATGGCACGAGTCCAGCGCCACGAAATCCAGCTCTTATGTTTGCAGCTGTTAACGCAGCTGGTAATGCGTGCTGTATCTCGGCAAGGAAATCGTCCTTCGTAATATTGTAATACCCAACGTTAAAGAGTCGTTGGAGCCTTGCTGTATACACTTGTTTCAAAGGACCAAAACAGCTGACGTCAAGGGGCTGTAGACGGTGTGAAGAATGAGCTGGCAAGCAGAGGGTAATAATGTCGTGATCTCTGCAATATTGATCAAACTCAGGGGTCAAATGACTGCTGTGTCCATCAAGGATAAGGAGCCTCTTAGCACCCTTTGTTGCCGCCTGCGTGTGTTGATTGAAGTGCTCAACCCAGCGTAGAGCAAGAGCGTGGTTTGTCCAGCCGTTCTCGCTACAGGCTAGAGTCCAGCGTGGTGGTAGTCCTTCGAAATAAGCTGAATTCAGCGTTGCTCCTTTGAAAATCATGAAGGGAGGCATGTGCCAGCCTTGAGCGTTGACACAGGCAATTACCGTTGTCCATTGAGTAGAATCTGAGCCGACCAAGGTAGGCCTACCTCGCCGTTCAGCAGCAGTCACCACAAGGCGATTAACGTCTATCCCTGTGACCCGAGACGCACTGTGTTCCGAGACAACATGAAACAGTAGCCACATAACGTGGCTGGGCTTGCTTATCAGCCACAATTGTCGCGAACACAGTGACTAATTTAATGCGGCCTGTGGCTAATATGGCGCATGCTGGCGAGTACAGGAACTCTTTCAGTAAATTCGACTAGCCGCATGTCTAGAAGCTTCTGAACTCATTACATGAGGCTATAAAGTTGCATTCCACCCGAGAACCCATCTTGATGAAAAATCCGAGAATAAAAAGCAGAGGAGACATGTTGTGTAGCAGGCAGATCTGGTCAATTACAGCAATGGGAAGTTACTAGACCGAGACAACGTCATAGGGACGCAGTACACACGAAGCCAGACAACAGTGGGTTTAGGCAATTCAGGTAAATTGAAAGCCGTGCATACATCGCAGCACTTGCTTCGATCAACTCTAGCATCAATTGAAAAGAAAGAGCTCGTCATATTATTCCTCTGTGTTTTCATCTTCTCCTGTCTTATTGATTGCACCTGCGAACAGCAGCAGCTGCACCACCTTGTCGTGGCCCCGGGAAGATGCGGCATAGAGCGCGGTGCCGTACTGTCCGCCTTGCGCGTTGACGTCGGCCTCGGCCTCTAGCAGCAGCCGCACCACCTTGTCGT